TTTTTACGCCGCTTTCCTATAATTTTCTTCAAAATTTATCATTCAATGCTATTTACATTTCATGCAATCTTTTTAAGGATTTCAAGTCGAATAGAATCTTGATTAATTTTATCTGTTATTAGAGTTTTATTTACCAGCCTTCATAATTGTTAAAGTCAACAACGTCCAAAATTATAAGGAAAAAATATTTTTTCCTGTATTTTTTTACAATTTTATTTTCTATCCTTATACTTTTCATTATTAATTTGATCTACCATCTTTTAAAAATATGTGATTTTATTTTTTTTATATCTAATTTTAATACTTAATTATGTTTTTTCATCTTAATAAAATTGATAAAAAAGCTAAATGTGATTTTATTCTTTTTTTACCTAAATTTAATATTTAATAACATTTTTTTACTATTATAAATTTGATTAAAAGACAATATTCATTCAAATAAAATAAAGCAAAATCAACCCAAGAATTTTCCATACTAATGAAGATGTAGTCACAATTGAGACTTGAACTGAACTAATAGCACCCAGTTGAAAACCCTGGACTTGTAGTTTAAACAAAAACAGCTCACTACTGATAATTGATTCCAAGTCCCAACCAATTATACTCGTTGATGAGATTCCTTGTTAAATGTTATCCTTTCTACTTAGGAAAATTTGATATTTATATAAGTGAAAAACAAATTACCACCGACAGGTACACTGTCTGAGTGTGTCAGTTTGTGTTCAAAAGGACCTACTAATTTAATGATTAAGCCTGTCCTAATGTCACCAAGAGATTGCTGGTCTGTACTCTAGTTTCCTTAGCTGTTGACCAAAATAGATGAATATTGCAACTATAAATATTACAGCTATGATGAAGGTGCATTTTGGATATTGTGTTTTGCTTTGTAATTTATACTTCCATACAGATAACAAAAACAATAACAAATTTTTCTCTTCCTCGGACATTGGTTTCTAATCTAAAATAAATAAATAAATAAAAATCAAACTTTACCATAATAAGGGCAATGACAAACGTGGACTTCAAAATGGGGTGGGTTGGCGGTAGGAAAAAAAGGAGATAGGAAGAGAATGCAAAGGTAAACGGATAAAGCAATAAATATGATAAGTAATATGGTAGAAGAAGAACTAGAAAAATAAAATAAAATAATGAAATGGACAGTGAGCTGGTAGAAAAAGCGAGAAAATTGGGGAAATCCACATGATTTGAGAGGGGCGGATAATTGTAATATAATACAACAGAAGATAATATATATATAGTAATTATGAAAATCTAGATTACATCATCGAGAAATATTGATAATGTTTTGTAAATTTAACTTTTACTTGTTAAGAGGGATTTGAATTTTTTTATAAATAATAATCAAAGAAAACAATAAACAAAAGATGTTAAGTGAAAAAGTAAAAATAAAAGATAAATTATAGAAATTAAAGGAGAGAGATAAAGAAAAGAAAAGAAATATGATTTAAAATAATTTTAATAGATGAATTTTGAAATATAATTCGTATATGATATGACGAAGTAAAAGATGAAAATTATTCTAAAGATAAGAGATGAAAACTAGAGAAAACTAAAGAGAGACTAACTTGATGTCCTTTGATTTTTTTAAAGCCATTATATATAATAACAACATGTAATTTATTTCTTCACTCGTTTATTTAGTTGGCCAGAATCAGCAGTTTCACTCAACGAAATAGCAAAACAAAATAAATAAATAAAATATAGAATGAATTATCTACAACATTAGCTAAATAAAATTATCCTAGTCAACGATTAAGTTCTTTTAAAATTTATTACTTCTATATCAAAATATAAATAGTTAATTAAAATATAATAATTAAACAATAAATTAGATATATAATTATTTAATAAAATTAAATATTTAAATTATATAATTATATAAAATATATTAATAAAAATATTGATAAAATATTGCTTATTCAGTCAAAATTAAGTAATAAAGCCATGCAGTCCATGCAAAATAATAAAATCCCTCGAATTGCCTGTGAAGTAAAAAAAAGCGAGTAGAGGTGGATATGTTTCCCCTCGGCATGCAAAAGTTATATATATAGTCAAGGGAAAAAAGTAAATACATATCGATAGCAATTGCCCGCGTGCTGACTATGAAAATCGTTTCTGCAAGTGGTGCAGTTAAAAGTGCACTCAGCCGTCATCATTGCTTGCCCTTGCTTCGTCCGCTCCATGGTAATTCCTATTGAAAATAACAGCCACGATAACATCATACGGACAGCCAGAAACCAAAACCAAATACTACTGCATTTTAAAGGACTTTTGGGCAGGCCATATGAAATACTATTATTTGTTTTACTGGATGGATCATCAATCATTAGAATATAATTACAAGGTGAAAAAATATGATCAAGTAACTTTCCATCAACATCGAACATGTTTAACGAAAAAATTACCTTTCTGGCCTATGAAAATTGTATTCATGGAAAATATTCAGAATTGCACCAACTCATAATACCTAAATAATGACTAACCAAGAGAGTGTATCACCCCCAACAATTAGAAGGAAAATTACAAGGGAGAGTAAATTTTGTCCGCTAGCAGAAGTTTCCCAAAAATCTAATTTGGAAACAATAAACTAAGCACAAAAATAGTGTTTGATAGTACACAAAAGGTTAGATAATATCCAAACAAGAGTGTGCTCGTGTGCGCACACGGATCCGACTCAATCGAGTAAAAAAATCTGTTCCCTGAAAGTGGGGGTATGAAATCAGTAGAAATTTACACATTGGTTATCGTTTTTTCCAATAGCTTTAGATTCAAACTCTGCTATTCATTTTGCATCTAGAAGTTTAAAAAAGAATTAATACAAAAAATAAACTATAACCTAGATAGGAACGCTACTAATTGTACCATCTTCAAAACATTGAGAATATATGAAGTATTAAAAGGCATGAATTACTAATCCAGACTCTTCTTTAAACGTGACTTAAAGAGTTCCTTTTGCAGCTTGACCGGTAGTTTATCTAACTCATCTCATTCAAGCAATTCCTGTAAAAAATGTGAACCTGCTAACCACTAAAGTTAGCAACAAAGTTAATGTAGCACAAAACCACAATCTTGAGCAACGATCCAAGAAATCCCAATTAAACATGATACATTAACCCCCCATAACACGCATAAAAATATGAAGCACTTAGTGTTTCAAAAAAAATATCATTTGACATGGGAATTTCACATAGCTCTTTAATTTCAAGCAAATCCTATCACATATATATAACTCATGATGCACAAAAAAATCCTGCAGTAACACTACCAATTACAGGGAGGAGGGCACCCAAAATTGCAGCCGAAGCATCTAGTCCTGTATCAATTTCTGGAAAAACTACGGCCACCCAACACAAAATAAGGTATTCAAACCCTCAGTAATAGTCATCAAGTTAAACTCACCCAATGCAGGGGCTAACTAGCAACTGTGCTAATGGCCTCCGGCAGAGAGTGAAAATTCATCTTCGTAACTTGAAAATGTGAATCCAATAGATGTAGGATGTTTAATAATTGAAAATGTAAAACTAATATTATAACTTATACGCATACAGGATTAACCTTAACATGTAACCCAGAAATCAAGGTAAATTTATAGGCAACTTTATCCAAAACAAAGACAGTATCTCAGCATGTTAATGCATTGCAAATAGTAAAACCTTGTATCTAATGATCACCTCAACTTAAAAGAAGTTGCAGCACAATCAATTACCAATTCAAATATTAATTTCAGAAACCATTTTTGAATGCTTGATATCAAGCCAGGTTGCCAGCAAGGATAAAGCCACACATTTCAGGCACATAACCTTTCTTCTCCAAGTATATTTCTTGTTGTTTACGTGAGTTAAAACTGATAGCTGAACACCACAGAGAACTATCATTTTCCTCAGATAGCTGAACATTACCTCTTCAATTGACCCCTCGTAACAGAGAACTTACCTTTCAAAATTCGGTTCACAACATCTGTATTCCTTAAACTTCGCATTTGGATTTTAAAAATTTTCTTTTTCAGACTAGTGGCGTGGCATCAACAGCTTCAGACAACGCAAGTTCTTGATATCATATCTTTGAGAATAATAATCACCAAATTCTTCTGATAGTATTAGCAAGAACTGTGACATTAACATATGTTGTCCTTAGAAGATATGCTGGAGAAAAGCATGTCATAAAAAAACGAAATATATTAAGCACAAAAGTATAAACAAAATTAGTTGGCAATATAACACCATGATTAGACACGGAACACTAAATTCTACGAGACGAAGAGGGGGAGGGAGAACAGAGAGTCAAAACAGCAACAATAAGCCATGATATGCCATATAAACAGATCAGTCTACACTCAGAGTTGAGTGTACGAATGCCATTAAGATTTCACAATTCAAACACATTACAAAATTTTGAGAGCTCACATTCAAAAGATACTCCTAATAATTTGTTATCAAAACTAACTCTCTCTCTACACATACATCTCTTATACACACAACACAAGGATGGATCATGTTACTCCAACAGCAATTTTAAAAAAGTGATTCTCTATTCATCATCCTTCATTTTCTTATAATTTAATTATTAAAGCTAAATTGCTTAGAACTATTAGATTAAAAGAAAATGAAAGAAGATGATGAGAAATAAGTTTAAGTTACTCTTGGAATAACTTGATCCTCCTCCTCCTCTCTATCTCTCTATCTATCTATCTATCTATCTATCTATCTATCTATCTATCTATCTATCTATCTATCTACCTATCTATATATATATATATATAAAGGCAGAAACAAAACCAACAACAAAAAACATAAGCAAGAAAATTTGTAATTAGCAATCTCAAAAAACAAAGATAGATCAAGCAAGAGTAGTTCCATATAAAAAAATTATGCCACTTGACTAATACTGTTCGGGTTAAATTACAACAATTGGAATGAACCGACTTCAGATATGTTAAGGATTACAAAAAACAAGTGTCACCAGTGCTAATGAAATCTAAATCATGGGTGCCAGTAATCACAGGATGCTCCCTTCTTACAGTACCCACTTTCATAAAATTTACAAACTCGCTGCCCTTTGGGCAGAGGCCGATATGAGGCTCCATTTCCACCACCATATGAAGGTTGCCTGGTATATGCAATTCTGCTTCTACCAAAACCCGATTCCCTACCATGACCTTGAGAACCCCGATCTCTGGGTACAGAAAATCGATCGCCACCGTACCTTGTTTGGCTATCCCCAAAACCTGGAGTTACTACAGAAGTGTATGAATTTGAGCTCCTGTTTTCCTGCACTGTTGTTTGTCCTACTCCCCAACCCAAATTTGCATTTCCTTGATCTATTCCACCCCATCCCAAGTGTGTATTCTCTAGCCCAAGTCTCCAAGTGGTGTCTATAGCCAGGCCCAAGGTTGCAGGAGATGGAACAAGGGCTGAATTTTCTGAGCCTGAATCCCATTGATTACCTAAAGCACTAGCGTTCTTTGTACCCACCTCAACTTTAGAACTTCTTGAAGAATGCTCCGCAGAAATTCTTTGATGATGATGTACATCTGCTTGCCGTAATGGTTCCTCTGTTGCCGTTGGTTGAGATGGTAAGTTTAAATCTCCAGTGGAGCTCAGTGCATCACCTTTACCTGCATCAAGCATTGGGCCAAGCTCTGCAACAAAGCTGAGACAATCATTTTTAGAACCTTCAGCCAAATCGTCACCACATTTCATGATTGAAGTGGGAGATTCCAGGCCACCACCTAGTGATTCCATTGCTTCCACTTCCGCCAACAGATCTGAAACTGATTCATCAAAGTCATTGGGCTCACCAATGATTGCCTGCCATGTAGATGTATTACATGTCGGAGGGGAAGGAGGATTATGCAAATCAAATCCCAGCTTATGCGGTGATGATTTTGTACCAGAAACGTGAGTTGATGAGGTAACTAAGCAATTAGAAGAACTATTGATATCAAAGTGTCTCCAGGTCTGTCCAGAAGATGTATTACAAGCTGGAGGGGAAGGAGGATTATGCAAATCGAAGCCTAGCTTATGCGGTGATGTTTTTGTACCAGAAACATGAGCTGGTGTGTTAACCAAGCAATCAGAAGAACTATGTATATTAGGGTGACTCCAGGTCTGTCCAGATGATGTGTTACATGCTGGAGGGGAAGGAGGACAGTGTAAATCAAATCCCAGCTTATGCGGTGATGTTTTTGTACCAGAAACATGAGCTGATGTGGTAACCAAGCAATCGGAAGAGATATTCACATTAGAATGTCTCCAGGTCTGTCCAGAAGATTGCCCTGAATTCTCTTCACTATCTGATGGCTTCTGATAACTTTGCCCACTATTACATTGCCCGTCCAGTGTCCTGTTTGAGCCATTATTTCCATTATCTTCAGAGTTTCGCACACTCCCATGACCTTTCCTTAATTTATCAGAAAAATTCTCATTCAATTTCTCAGGAATGGCAGTTGACAATGGTGAAAGGTATACATGTTGTGGCCCAAGCCATCCATTGCTCCTAACAAGCTCATCTTTACCATCAGACTGGGTAGAGGTATTGTCCACCTTTTGTTCTTTGCTCTGTTCAATAATTTGCCCATCTACAGAAATTCCATTCTTCACTGAATTTTTCCCAGCATCCTGACTATTATCTTTATTATCCGATGTAACACTGACCCCTAGAGAGAGCAATGGGCTGTTGAATGGCAATGACACATTTTTGGAACACTTCCCACTTAGTGCGTCGGTTAACAATATAGAGTTATCCTGTCTCTCACCTAGTCTCCATATTTTGAGATCTGGAGGGAAACTTCCACTTGCATTCCACTTGTACAGGTGCAACATAGAAAAAGGTCCTTGAACCTTCCCAGTTGGATCTTGATAATTCCATGATCTATCATTCAAAAAATCACTAAGTGGCTGCTGCATCCCAGCAGGAATAGGTGATGATGAAATGTCCACTGCAACACTGGACACTTCTGATTTCACAACTGCATTAGTGCTACCCTCGATAGCTGTATCATCACAGTCCTTCACTGTGCATATATTCCCAACTAGTTCTCGGGTAACAGGCAAGTCTTGTGTTTTGCCTCCAGCATCGTTGAAAACACCACTCGAAATTCTTGGGAAAAAAGAGCCCCTCTCTCTTCTATCAAACCCAAGATATTTTGAAAATAAATTGCTATCTGCATATACATAATTACTGTTACCATGAGACAACATTGTTTGGGCAACTGCCAAAAGAAACATGAAAACAATGCCTATGAAGCAAATTAATGCTACCTTGCTTCCTTTCATCAGACTCTCCATCATCTTCATCAGACTCAAACATAAAATCCAAATTGGGGTCAGAGTGTACATCTGGTATTTCATGTAGCCTGCGTTGACGTTCCTCTGGAGAGTTAAGTAGCTGCAACTTCTCCACATATTCTTTAAGCGTTCAGTTTGGTCAAGGAACCTTGATTATGCCTTTGGCACATGAGCATGCAAACGTGCACACACATACATGCATAGAAACCAATCACAACTAATGAAAACCTACCCACTTATTGCTTAACCCATCTTTGTTAAAATTTCAATCTAGTTTACTAATATTTTATTTGTCCAACTTTTTGGCTAAAAGCAAAATAGTACAACATATCACATGACTGCATCTATACATTAAGCACACATAAATTTAACGACAAAGTAAAATAAAAAATATAGATCCAGCAATAATATATAGCTGCACAAAACAAGATAAAACAGAAAATTTACAAGTAAAACTACTTTATAACATGTATGCCTCCAAAGAATTCCCATAATTTTAGCATCTATCCAGCTAAGAACCCCTAATGGCTTAATGAATAAACTACTGTGTATTCATAAGCATATGTTTTACCAATGGATGATGAATAGTTGCAGAATCAAACTATCTATCACTCAGTTTACCCACATTTAGTGTATTTGGAGGAATGAACACCAAAGAGTAAAGTAGTAAATGGTAAAGGATATTCTTTTCTATGCCCCTTTTCACTTGCTCTATCACGAAGATGATTAAGCCGCAATATCTCAGCTTCCAGAAACTATATCAATAAAAGAGCATAATGTTTAAAATCAAGGCCAACAATATGGCTGGTCATATTTTAAAGATACAATATTAAAGAATGACAAAGACCATGCTCGAATATATATATAGTCTATCAATAAAAGAGGTGGAAATTTTATGCCCCTAAAGAAAGGGCATTGCTATTTTAACCCAAACATTTCACTAAATTCACGTTTTGAGTCCACTAGGAAATTGTTAAGTGGCACATAATATTAATAACCATTCCATTCAAAATGATTTAGATTAGTGGACGTAGTTACGTGACATATAACATGATACCCTAATCAAGGTATCTGTATACAATTTTTTTGCTTTGAATTTTTCTTACAAAAAAATGAACATTAATCATAAATCACATTTCCTTTTCAGTAGTAGAAAAATAAGAAGGAAAGGGACTTACATCATTAACTCTAATTGCTTGAAGTGTTAATGCTTTGTCAAGAATCTCCCCCTACAGCCAACAAAAAGTCATCTTAAACACAAAAAATGGAACATACTTTATGAAATTGAAATAATATGCACACTAACCACAGTCAATCTCTTTGAGAGACCATATTTTATACTCTGGCGCAACCGCTTGCATTCATCCTGGATGTAAAATAAATATATTAAACATCAGCAAACTTACATAGAAGAAACCTTACTCTTCTAAACATTCTAGAGATTTTGCTGAAGGTAATATGATTAAAATAATATCTAATTTCACCTCAGAGAACTCCTGATTAGAAATTTCAGCAATGGATATGACCTCTTTCCTGTTTAAGTTTAAAATTTCAAGCTTAATATCAGTTGCTCTTGTGCCAATTTTGTATGGTTCAGCAACCTTGCTTGTACCTGCACAAATAGTTACCAAAACCAATTTCAAGTCAAACGTAACTTACAATAAGTGTAATTTACGGAGTATTGGATGCTGTAAAAGTTCATTTACCTACAACTTGGACAAGTCTATACATATCTTGTTTTTGATCACTGCTAGAGATTCTAATCCGCACAAATGAACCAACAACCTTCTCGTGAATTTTTTCGATATCTTCAGTTAGATTCTCCAAGAGACATCGCCTCAAGTAGATCAGGTTAAGGTTGTGAACATCTATTGCAGCATATGCATCTGGATTAATCTGCGGAACTAGAACATCAGCGTTTTGATGTGAATTACATCTCTTGTCATTAACTAACATCAACTGTTTATTGTAATTGCCAATGGCCTCCCCTTGACTAGCAACAGTATTAATAATTCCTGATCCAAACGTATTTTCAGCAGGGCCATTGTCTTTTAAAAGAAAATGGGATTCAAGGAGCTTTAGCATTTCAAAGTGGCCAACTCGTGCTTTTCCAAACAAATTTAGTAGTCTAGAATCACAAACAATTTGGGACATCTGTTGAGGATCACGAAGGTTATTTTTCTTTACATATTCCAGCAAGAGAGTCTGGACATCAAATTGAGACAGGAGAGTAGTATCACCATTTTTCATGTGTGCAACAAACTCTAGTAGCTCCTTCGATGCCCATTTTGTGCATTCAGGAAAAGTCACACCTCTGTCACCACCTGAAGCTATCCTGTCCAGGCAATCAGCATTACTAAGAAGTTTTGGCTGTCTCTTGGGTTTCTTGTTCTTCAAATTATTTGATTCTATGTCTATACAGGAGTTGTCCGAACCAGAACCTTTGTCATCTCTAAGATGATAAAGTTCATGGGGACTTTGAACCTTATAACTCATTGGAGCAACACCTTTCCATGGGTTTTTAGCTCGTAGGAGCTCACCAAATGTTAAAGATAACTTGCCTTTCAAATACATCCAATAAACCTTGAAAAGATACTCCCAGCTACTTTTGTCATCAAAATCCACTTCACACTGTACGCGTAGTACACAATGAAACAAAGATAAAAAAAAAATGTTAGACCCGCAGCAATCATACATCATTAACTCAACACAAGTAATCCAGCATAGATAAAAGTGCATCAGCTATCCAGATAAGAAAGTTTAACCAACCATTTCCTTATTTCCTTGGGCACTGTTCTCAATCAGCATTATAGTCCTCATGCATATTCCGCACAAACCTTTATTCTCTCTGACGCAAACAAAATCAGCATCTTTTGTGCATCCCTTGCACAAAGAGTACGTGCAAGTATAGCACATATAATGCGACGCCTTTTGACAAGCGCTGCATAGATGCCAACCTGAATACCACAGAAAGCAAATGGCTAATAATGGAAAACTGCCCAATGCAAACTAAGATATTAAATTCCGAAACATATAGGGGCAACAGTCTTTTAAAAACTGAGTATGTGAGTGTCCCATAATTGTCAAATGTGATAATTGATGAAAAGCATTGGAGGATATTGAGTTGATTCTGTGTAATCCCTTTGATAATTTCACTGATTTCTTTGATAATTTTATTCTGTGTAAATGAGGCGTGCATAGGAAACCATACCAAATATTACAAAAGAATAAGCAGAATGAGCAATAATTTCATTTTAATAATAAAAAAATAAAATAAACCCATCATACCGCAATTCCATTTGGCCTTTGATCGAAAAAAGGCTTCATCTCGCTTGATACAAGTGGGATGATATGCTTTAGGACAACCCCTATAAACAGAAGAAAATATAGACAGATTAATAATTAATAATAAACATATATTAAAACTGAGACGAATTAAATATCGCATGAACTATCTTAATTACGAGCTAAAATGGCAAGAGGAGGTAGAATCTACCATACAACCGCAATTTATAACTAACCTACGATCGCAGAGAACTAGGCTCCCGCCATCGAAGCAAATGAAACAGACGTCCTCCTCGTCCTTCTTCTGTTTCACCAGAGGCACTGCTTTTGGTGTTCCCTTGGCCGGACGACCACGCTTCCGTTTCAAAACAGCGCCATCAACTACTGTGACCTCTAAATTTGGCAAGCAACTATTAACATCTCTTTTTGCCACGTCAGCATCACAAGCCAGCACGACAGGGACTCCTACCAGTCCCTTGTCCTCCAAACCCTCAGCTGCACTCTCCGCAGCCTCCGACTGCGGTTGAAGAGGCTGCTCCATAGCGACCAAAATCAAATCAAATCTAACAGACAGGAAAGAATCAATTATTCCGAAACATGAGTTCAGAACCGTGGGAGAAATAAAACCCTAATATGGAGTGCTGGCAGATGTAACAAATTTGTTGGTAAATTCGTGTCAAAAAGTGGAGAGATCCCGATTGCAAGAGAGAGAATGTGTGGAACTCTGACCTCTCAGTAAGAAGAAGGTAGACGACATACTCGAACTGCGGATTGGTTGAATGTGGCAGCTCCTCTTACTCCTAAATTCTCTCTCCCTTTCTATTTTTTTTTTTTTTTTAGTTTTTGCTTTTTCTACATGATTTCGATTTTTCATTTAGCTAGAATTCAAAGTTCTGAATCGTCAAACGGGACTCCTTTTGAGTACGCGATTCTGTGCTTCTCGAGGACCACGTGGTTAGTGGTGTTGTGGTAAGGCCAGCCAAAGTGGGTCCACTTGGTTATTTTCTTCAACTCTCTATACTAGCTTAAAACATTTTAAATTTATTAGTTATTAATACATCTTTCTATTTTAGAATTATGAAAAAAATTAGAATTTTGGGTGTAGAAAATTTCAATGGACTCTGTTACTAAAAATAATTTATTTTCTTTACGAAAACAACTTTTTGCTCAGATTTAAAAAAGGAAAGTTAGGCTTGTTTTTATTCTTGAGGCACAAAGGGGATGTTGGGTGTAAAAGAAGGCAGGCTTACTTGTTCCGCTTTGCCACTAGCTTTCCCATTTATCTACATTCTTTTGTTTAATTCTTTAAATGGTAATTTTCTGAAATGGGGAGGGCAATAATTTTTCCGTAGTGCACAGAAAACATTAGGAAACAGATTTCACACTATGCCAGCCACTGGAACCAGACAATTGAAGTCCCTGTGTGCGTGTGTTATTCGTCGCAATAGAATATTGCGATGCCATGCGAATTTGCGAACTTCACACGAAAGTAAGTGATTATTGGTAATTGTGATTTGTAAGAGAGTTAGGGTAAGATTAATAGATAACGGCACTATTGGATACCTGTCATTAGTCAAAAAAGTTGCTGTATTATTTATGGGAATATGCTATCCTAATAAATGCTTTGTTTGGCCTGTGGGTTGTGTTACTCCCACTGGTCGTAGGACTGTCATTCAATTTGTTTGAAATTAAAAGTCCCCTACATGAATAGGTTAGTGTCATTTCACTATAATGAAAAAAAAATTGTGAAAAATATTAAACGCACAAATAATGAAAATAAAAATAATACAAATAATTTTTTTAATCTTAAAAATTTAAATGGATTAAAATTTATAATAATGAAAGGTTAAAGTATATATTTTTAGTTCATAAATGTTCTTATTCTTATAAATATTTTATATTGACTTTAAGATTATAAATGTATTATTATTATTCATGAAGATGAAATTTTTGATAAATTTTAATATAATTTTTTATATAAATTTATAAATTTTCATTTTTATCTATATAAAATATTTATTTATTTTTAAATATGCATGTAATGTCCTTATTAACCGATTGATGAACTTATTATGCTTTATATTAACATGTTTATTAATTTAATTACTAAATATATTATATATTTGGATTGATTAATATTATATATATATATATATAATCTTAAAAATCATTAATAAATTACTACTTTGTGATTTTGAAAGACTTTAAATTATATTTTATATTTTTTTATTTCTCAAATTTTTTTCAAATAGCTATTCGTGCACCTTTTATTTTTTTTATTTTTTTTTATATCTACTCAAATTTGTATAATTTAAAATATTTAACTTAATGTGAGAAGTTATTTCTCGATAGTTGAATCATAAATAAAATAATAGTCATTTGTATAATATTTTATTTATTTGAAATATAATAAATTGTTTTTTATAAAATATTATACTTTTAAAAAAATTAGTTTAATAAATTTGAATAAATATTCATAATAATAATAATATTATTATTATTATTATAAAGTGTATAATTTTGAGATTTATTGCATATTAATGTTTATAAATGAAAAATAGTATGAGTTTACAAAAGTAGGATGAATTATTAGATATATGGCTGTTGTATTAATGAAGTCTGGAAATGAATGTATTTTTAAGGTGCCATCTAATTGATAATGATTTATACAGACCAAAAGATATCAAAAAAATTGTAACCACCACAATCAAAATGTTGAGAGATAAGCGTGAGAAGAATAACGTAGATTTCTACGTGTTATATTAAGTTGTAGATCATTCCGAATTTAAAAACATAATAAGTGTTAAAACTTAAAAAAAAAAACATGAAATGCATTAGAGACAACAAACAAGAGATGATCAAATTAAATAAGTTTGATTACAGACATTATAGGATGAGTTGGAAAACATGAGAATAAATGAGTAAGAAGGAATTTTTTATTACACATGTGTATTCAAACCGTGGTAAATCAACTTAAGCAGGATAAAAAGATGATTTATAAAGCCCATGTTGCACAGTAAATCTTGAGATCGTTATCTTATTACTTTGACAAAATAGAGTGTGTATGATAGAATAATCAAATAATACGTAACTAAAAGTTTAAGGAAATCGATAAATTATAAGATTTAATTGAATTTATAATAAACAAACCTTTATAAAATTTGTTGAAGGTTAGAATTCATAAAATGTTGAATTAAAGATTAAGGTAATAGAGAAAATATTTTAAGTTATAAATTATTATGAGAAAGTAAAATGTGACTTATATTGTATTTATGTTAATAGGATAGACTAAATATTAGTGAGATGATACTATAAGGAGTAATAATCCTTATCTTTAGAGCAAATGTTTTAGAACAAATATTTTTTTAGTGATGTGAGAAAGACAAATCAAGTTTATGCAATTGAATCATACGAATATGAAATTATATGATAAAGCGAACAAATATTTGTAGTTCGTCCTGATTATAGTAGGTCAACTTGATGATTTCTATTTTTTATGACTTAAAAACAAGATAGATCAAAATGACGAATACTAACCCTTTTACCATATTTAAATAAAATGAAAAAAAGTTTTATCATTGCCTCTAATAAATTTCTCAACCTAACAATTTTTCTTTAAAAAATTGTAATAAACCTATAAATAATTGACTTTAAGTAATAGTAGAGAAGATTACTATGATTTTCATACCAGCAAAAATCACATTATAATCATTCTACATCAAAGTAAGACCTACAATAATATACTCTATAATTAAAATTAAAGTTTCTTAAAATAATTATATAATTCAAGTTACGTGCTTTGTTAAAAAGTAAAACCATAATTCATTTATTTTAATACCGGAAACCTTCTTTTTAGACAATAATTTAATTGTTTTAACCCTATTATGTAATTATCAGTAAAATAAGTTTAAATTGCTCCTATTCATTAAAAATAATAAATATTTTAAAATTTATATATTTATACATACAATTATATAAATATTTATTTTATATTTTATTTTCATCAAGATTTAATAAAAAAATAATTATCTCTAAAATATAATTAAATTAATAACTAAATTATATATTTAAAAATAACTTAATAAAAAAATGTTACAAAATATGAACTAATCCAAAAAAATATGCAAAACTACTTAGGTAAAAAGAATGAATTAATCCAAAAATATGCAAAACTAATTAGTGGAAAAAAAACACTATAATAATAATTATTTTTCAAAATTTAAGGACATAGTTGTGGTTGTGATTTTTGTTTTTGGAAGGACCACGAGCCTTGAATACAGGTCCCAAAATTAAGTTATAGATGCAATGTATGAATTTAATTATTAAGCCTGACCTCACTGCAAGTTGTATGAACACTGCATTACATTTGCAATTAAAGCTACCTTTACTTTATTATAAGTGTTAAGGAATCGAATTTATTTTCATGGTTTAAATTTAAAGTCTTTATCTAAGATTTTCAACTATCAGGTTTATCCTTCAGTTTTCTTCTATTAAGTAAAAAATATATTTATCACTTTTTTTATTTTAAGTAAATAAATGAAAAATAAATGCTAAACAAAATATAAACAAAAGAAAAGAAAATTCAATCAAATTAAATAAATTCTCAAAACTTGAATTTCAATCCTAAAAATTTAGGGTTTAATTGATGAAGAAGGTGTTGTTATGTATATATAGAAGTGTGGGATAAAAACATATGAAAAGTTTACTATTAGTTGCGCCCTAAAACTAAAAATATAATAATCTTCTACTAGCCAAACGTCCCAAGAGACTTAAAACTAAAACATTTCATTTTAATTATCTTATTATATGATACTAATAGTTTATTTATAAATCCAAGAACAATTAACTTCAACTACCCATTAGATACTGAATTTTGCCCCTTACTTATTTAGGTATTGGGTTTTGTAAATAAAGATACTTAAATAGTAGATCTTCCACACCAAAGTACTTAGGTACGGGACTTGCGCGTTAAAGTATTTAGGTAATAAGTCTTAAACATAAATAATAAATTAAGTCATTTAAAAATTGACTATTTAATCTAAAATTATACAATCCTTAATCTTGAACAATTTAGGAGAGAGTAGAATATTGGTTTAATCACGTTATTGTATTCTATCCACAATTATTCATGTGATACACAACCGTCAATGTTAAGCATTCATATTAAAGAGGTTTAAATACTTACAACTTATGTGCAAGCGGTGTTCTTTGAGTCGGTGACCAATGAACTGATCTGACCCAGTCTATTTTAAGTAAAATGGGTTGGTTTTTCAATGATTGAGTCAAACTTAATCTAACCTAATTTAACACAATTTTTTATGAGTTTGTGACAGATTTTGTATGTTTAACACAACATTCAATAAAATCCATTGGATAAAAATTATTAAATAAATTTAAAATTAATAATATACATATATATATATATATATATTATTTGATTTATTCAATTATTACATTAACTATCTTTGTATTTTGAAATATTATATTATTTTTAAATAAAAAATAATTTAGTCTATTTAAAAAAATATACTTTAAAATTAAAATTTTATAACTTTTAAACCAATCAACAAAATTGACCCCACCTTATGTACAAGGCTTATACATTCAAGTTAATTATATCAAAAGTTGTCCTTATTAGTACTTAATATATTTTTGATAACTCAACTATACTTTGAGGTCTCTAATAAATCAACAAAATATTTGAATATTGTAAGTTGTTAAATTTTCCAATTGTTTTTATTCTTTTATATTAGTTAATAAGTGATAATTTCAATACTAAGAAACAAAATAACTTGATTGAATTTAAAATAATATAGATCAACATCACGTGGTAGTATGAAGATTAACTTAATGAAATAAATTAACATCATATGGTAGCATAAAGGTAAGATTAGTCAAAAAATATCACAACATGAAAATTAACATAAAATAAGATAAATTAAAATCACTCAGTAGCACAAAAACTAATGTATAAAAGAATCAATTAAAATTATAACATAACATGAAGACTAATCTAAAATAATACCAATTAAGATAAAGTAGTAGGACAAAGTTAACATTTAAAGGGATCAGTCAAAGGACAACCACATGTAACAAAAAGCCTAACATAAAATGGGATTAATTGAGATAATGTGATAACACAAAAAGTTATTATATAAAGAGATCAATAAGAAATAATGGTTATAGCATAAATCACATTATAACACAAAGTCTAACTTAATAAATCACATGATAGCCCGAAGACTAATTTAATAAGATCAATTAAGATAATATGATAGCATAAAAACTAACATATAAAATAATAAATTATGATCATATGGTAGCACAAAAATAATTAATTAAGATCATGAGGTAATAAGAAGACTAATATATATAAAAATATCACATAATAACATGAAAGTTAACTTAATGAGATAAACTAATATCATAAGGTAACATGAATATTAAACTATGAACACATTACAAATAACATGAAAGTTAACTTAATGAGATGAACTAATATCATATATGAGGTAACCTGAATGTTAACCTATGAACACATCAATTAAGATAATGTGATGATAGCATGAATGTTAACCTATAAAATGATCAATTAAGATTACCTGTCATTTATACATTGATATATATATGATGACCTGGTGTACAAGCTACAAATGATTTACAAGGTTTATGAGGTACAGTTTCATTCAGTTCGAAATAAAGATTATTAATCTCTTTATTTAGATATAAAATGTATTCCTTATTTAAGTCTATGTTGAAAACAATCAAGAATACCATCAACAAAACTCATTCACAATAAAATGGATTAAACATGTTTTAAATAAAATAAAAATTATTCATTTTGTTTGAATGAAAATTATCAATGTGGTAATTGTCTATTAAAATAATAAAGATGTAAAATTTTATTTCTTATACAATGCATATTTTTCTCATTAACAAATTTATGTATATTTTTTACTAATTTAATATATTTAAAAATTATTTAATATTATAGACGTTTAAATACTAATTAATTAATATATTAATTTTTTAAATATTAAATAAAACTTTAAATATTTTAAAAATATATGAATTGAAATCGTGAATCAATTAACGATTTTATTATAACTAAAATAATTAATCAATTAATGACTTTAACATAAATTGAATTGAAATTGTCAATCAATTAATAATTTTTATATAAAAGAAATTGAACTAAAATAGTCAATCAATTAAAAAATTCATTTAAAAAAAATACACTAGAGTTATTCATTTGAACACGATTTAAAAAAAATATTATAATAAAAAAATGTACATTTATATATAATTTTAATCAAATTATTTTTCTATGTATTATTTTTTTAATCGTAAATATTTATCTATTTTTAAAATAAATAAAACAAATTGCACCATATTAATTAATTTACCAATATTTTACTATGATGATATGGTATTAGAGAGGGTGAATTTATTATAATAAGGTATTAAGAAATTATTTAAATACATTTATTTTTCTTCTCCCTGAAATGGTGGTTTCTGAATAATTTGCACTAAAGTGAATAATGTTAAGGAAATCATCGTTAATGAAGTAACAATGTTGAGTGTTTTATTGAACTCTGTAATGATGATAAAGGATACCACTTAACCGAGAACCATATTAATATTTTGACATTGTTTTACCAATGATAACCATATTGGTCCTTCTAAAAATTCTCTTAGGTCAAGAATTTGTATTTCTTAGTATGGACATTATCAAAATCAAACATGAAAACAAAGCTTTACATCTTTGGAAAATGTGTTTAGAAATTAGATTCTTAACATCACTTTAAAGAAATGTATGGACAGCATTAAAGTTAATCTTAACTAAAAACTTTTTATTAAATAAATCATTCTAAAATTTAATTATGCGGAGAACAATAAATAAAATTTATTTTTTAAAGGTAGAATATTTTTGTTGCACCGGATAATATCTAGCAATTTTTTCTTTCAAAATTTAAGTGTTTATTATTATTAGAATCTCAAAATAAGTCTCATCTAATATATTGATCCGAAAAGTCTAAAAATAGATAAAAAAGACAAAAAAAATTATAAATTAAATTGAATTTGATTAATTTTGATATAATTTATTTAGCTTATAAATTTAGATGGATTTAAGTTGGGCCCTTCTATAAATTAATGAACTAACTCATTTTATAAAAAAATTAACTTTTTAAAATAAAAATAAAGTTAATATTATCTTATTAAAAGATATATGTATTATAATTTTAATTTATACATTAAATATTATATCTAAAATTAAAATTAATTTTATTAATGTAACTTAAATTTATATATATATATATATATATATATTCAAATTTTATTTAATTTTTCATAAATTATTTTTATATAAATATGTTGTCATTTTTTAAACTATATTAAAATACTCATTAATTTAACATTGAATTAAATTAAGAAAAAAGTTAATTTATTTTAAAATATAAATTATAGTGGACATTGAATTATGTTAAGAAAAAAATTATAATTTATTTTAAAATATAGATGAAATTGAATTAAATAGTCTAATAATTGAATTAAAGCTTATGTTATTTTTTAATAAAAAAAGATAAATATTTTAATATGTTCAAAATATTTATTATAAAATTAAAATATACTTACTTTACGTATTTAAATATTTATTATGAAAATTAATTATATAAAATAATACTTATTAATTTTATATATACAAGACTACAATAGTACAAAGATAATATTATTTGTTGTTTAAGGTGAAAATTTCCACGTCTACAATGATTAGTATTTATTTTAAATATAACATTTTAACATTTTCACATTTAAAATTTTAATTCTGGGAGAGATGGAGAAATTTGTTGGCAGAGAGATCCCCAGACATGTTTATTTTAAAAAGAGTTATTGTAAAAAATTAGAAAAAAAAAACATTTTTTCTGCTTTTATATTTTTAAATAAGTTACCCTTACAATGTAAAGTTTTTTTTTTGTAATAAGTGAATATTTTATTAAAAAAAATTAAAGAAATAGACACATTGTATAAAAATGGAATAAAGTGTATTGGTATTTTTTTTAATTAGTGTATATTCTCTGAATTTATACTTAATAGGAGAATTAAAATTTTCTTGATAAAACTTTTTATCTAGTTTTAAGTAGTTAACAATGATTTGTTGAAAAGGAGAAAGAAACATATCACAATGGAAAATTTTGTTTGTTTGAATGATAAGATGAGAGATGTGAGTGAAAAAAAAGAAAAGAAAAGGAAAAGAAAAATAGAGTAAAAATGATATTTTTTGAATTAAAAAAAAGAGTAAGATATTTTAATAATATTTTATTATTTTAATATAATTAATTATTTATTTATTTATTATAATAAAGAATATAATGTAATCGTAATTTAAATATTATAACATTTTATATCATATATTGATCACATGGAAATGATTTAATTTGTTAAAGTTTATAATTTCCGCTTTTCCAAAATTGTAAAAACATCACATTTCTTCAATAAGTGACTTTCCATTATTTAAAACAAGAGAAATGTTAAAATTTTATCCAAGGTTGGGAATTTCTTATAATAATAAAAGAATAAAAAAGGTGTAATGGTAAAACATTCAGAAGAGATTTTTTGTCCATAGAAAATATAGCATCTTCAAATAAATTGGAAGATATAGATACCTGCCGACAAAACAACTAAATTGTTGTAGATATATCTTACTTTTTATCTTAATCAATTTTAAAAATAGGTATTTGTAATTTGTTTATTTTAGTATAATTATTGATTATTTATTTATTTTTTCTCATAATCTTCGTGCAAGACTTCCCTTGTTTGATGCAGGGCTCCAAGTAACGGCATGGGCATCTACAAGGCCTAACTGTTTAAGGAAAAAAGAAAAGAAAAGAAAAACAATAAAGGTGAGGTGGGTTTGGGTGACGTGGGAGAGAAGCATCTTTGCGTTTGGGATGTTAAAAGGAAACAGAAGGTGGTTTTTCCATCTAATGAAATCGAATCGAATCCACTACAATCCTATATAAACATTCTAATTCTACCTCTCCCTGTTGTAGTTTATATCTTTACAGAAAGTAGCGGAGGGATTTCCTTCACCCGCAATCCCCCAACCCAATTATTTCCCTCTCTCACCAACCACTATGTTGCAGAGACCCCGACGCCGTTGCGAGGGCACAGCCATGGGAGCTATCGTTCTCGATATCAGACCCGGTGTTGGTATTGGACCCTTCTCCGTCGGTAATTATTCTCTCACGTCTTTTCAATTCAACACTAATCCAATCTGTTTTCGATTTTCATTTCTCTTTATGAAATTTCGGTCTAGGACATGGTAATTTAATTTTGTATTTTGTCTTTTGACCGATATAGTTTGTATTCACTGACTTGGCTTGTTGCCGATTCCTTATGCTGTTTAGGGATGCCTATTTGCGAAGCATTTGCTCAGATAGAGCAGCAGCCTAATATATACGACGTGGTGCATGTAAAGTATTTCGATGAGGTTTGTCACAAATGGTTATGGCTTTAGTTTTTGTCATCTGTGTTGGTTATGATTGTCTGAACTTCGTTCGAGTATTTTGACAGTTACTTGTTTTTATTTTGAAAAAGATGAATTTGTGTATTTATCTTGTGTTCTTCTAATGCACATGCAGGAACCCCTAAAGTTTGATATTGTTATTAGCTTTCCCGATCATGGCTTCCATCTTCGATTTGATCCGTGGTCGCAGGTCTTTAATTTTTTGTCCCTTCTTTTGGCTCTAGTGATTGACTTATTGTTTTGTGTATTTGGAAAGCATGAAATAATGTGTATCTGTTAGTGAAGTTTTTGTTTATTATGTCTTTAATAGGAGACTTGAGTGCTTGACTAGCTACTATTGTAAGATTAGAATTCATATGATGGGGCCATCGCTAATTCTTTGGTAGCTCTATGATCTCATGAATAATAACTAAACAAACCACAGCTAAATTAATCTGACTCATCTGAAATTGCAAACTCAACAAGTGTGTTAAGAATTCTGCAAAAAATGAGTTCTGAATGTTATTGAATTGTCTTGGAAAACTCTGTAGTGTTAGTTGTATTATCATTGAAGCTCATTCTGCTTGCATAGTACAACTTGATAAGAGAATGATGAGGATGAAATTGTATAAGGATTTCGTGGTACTTTACCCATTCACATGGAAACTGTTGAACTGATGTAATAATGCAAGTTTAAATTTTTTCTATCTTTTTATTGTCCAACTTAGCTGGGGTGAATTGTTTGAAGCTTTTGGATTTTCTACACTATCTCTGTTTCTTTTATAATGCTTATATTGGTAAACTATACAAGACTAGTCATGATGAAACATTTCATCCCTATTTCAGAGACTGAGGCTTATTGAAATATTTGATGTAAAGCGCCTTCAGATGCGTTACTCTACTTCTTTGATTGGGTGAGTATTCGGCCTTGTACTTTTGGTGTGTATAAATTGTAAAACACTATTGCTGATTTTTTCCATTTCTAGAGGATCATCAACTTTAGCTACTTTCGTTGCTGTATATGCACTCTTTGGGCCCACATATCCTGGAATTTTTGACCAGGAGAGAAGCATTTATACCCTATTCTATCCGGTACATATTTTGTATATCAAATACTTATTGCCTTGTTAGGCATGATTCAATGTAAATAATACTTTCTGCGGTTTGTTCTTTAGGGTCTTTCCTTTGCCTTTCCTATTCCAAGTCAATTTGTATACTGCTGTCTTGATGGGAGAGGTATTTATTATTACCTTGAAACTGAAATGTTTACCTAGTTTTCTTATTCTACTACGGTGACACGTTCTCTTTAATTATGACAGTGGAATTGCCATTGGAATTTCCTGATGGAACCACACCAGTTACATGTCGTATATCTGTATATGACAGCTCTTCTGAGAAAAAGGTTGGTGTGGGGTCCTTAATGGATAAGGCTTCTGCTCCACCATTACCTGTTGGTAGCATTTACATGGAAGAGGTTCATGTGAAGGTTTGAGTCCTTTAAATCCTATATCCGTTTGGGTTTTTGCTTATCTGCTGGTTTCATTTGAGATTTGGCTAGATAATTTGTAGTATTAGCATCTAATTCAGTACTTTCTTGGTTAATATAGCTCCGAGAAGAATTGTATTTCACAGTTGGCTCTCAACACATCCCTTTTGGTGCATCTCCTCAGGTAAACATTATGTAAAACCATTTGAGATATTTTAGTGGACTAATATTCTATCTCATCCTCTGAAGGAAAATTTATGCAATACGTAATGTTATATGCAGGATGTGTGGACTGAGCTTGGACGACCTTGTGGAATTCATCAAAAACAGGTGCTCATATTATGAATTACCAATTTTTAAATTGAATAGAAGTTTTTTGCGAAACTAAACTATATACATTATAGAAATGTCCACAAAACCTTATCAACTATATCTTCTATCTTATGTAATGTTATGAGTCGTATTAGCTATTAGCACCTAGGTGTAGCCTTTAATATCTAAATTCTTTGTAGTAATTTCTTTTTTCTCCTATAAATAAATGGATCAGATGAGAGATAATCACTCTCCTAAGCTCCTTTATCGTGTTTTTCTTATGGTATCAAAGGAGGTCAATCATGCTCTGTTTGCTTTGTCCAGTGAGTCTGCTCATCTGGTTTGTTCCCTCAAGATACAGTGAATCCACACTATTTGCTTCTGTGTTTTGACACTAATCATCTTGTGTATTGAGAGAGGTCCAGGTTATTGTTGCTTTTTTTGGTTTTCTATTCGTTATTGGTTGCTGGCTTGCTGGTTTGGATGTTAATTAGGTCACTTCAGGTTGTGGTTTTTTCCAGTTCTGGTGATTTCCCTTTCTCTATGTCCTGTCAACTTCTTTTATGAAACTCCTACCATCACTTCTGACAAACTCAATGGAAAAAATTATCACTCTTGGTCTGCCTTGATTGAATTATGGTTCCCTGGGCCCATGCTTCCATGATCATTTGGAAGAGGATGGGAGACAAAGCTTGACTTTTAGCTTTGTGCTTTGCTATGGCAATCTCTGAAACTATATTGGGTACTCTCAAGACATTCAAGATCTTCCATTCTTTTTGAAGGGGCTCATAATATCTTTGTAAATGATATTCAACACCTTTATAATTCTGCCCAGAAATTGGCCTCTCAAGCAAATTGATCATGACATGATCTCCTTCATTGCCAAAGCCTAATATGTTGCTGAAGAATTAAAAATGTCTTTGGAAGTTAACTCATTGGAAGAAGACTAAAAAAGGATGGATAATTTCTACAGGTTTATGATTCTTCGTCCTATGCACTGTGATTTGGATTATCACAATAGAGGACATAGTGGACACGAAAAATGAGTCACATTCAAGAGAATTGTTTCTCTTTACGCGAATTCCCTAAGAAAGCAACAAACATCTCAACATTTGATATTGTTAAATTAAGATTCACAAATGAGGAATATCAAGAATATTTTAGGTTAAAATCTAGTAGGCAAGCAATCTTCCACCTAAACTAGCTTATAAAAACAATTTGCATTTCCTAAACCATGGAGAATTGATTTAGGTGCCTTATATCACATTTTTGGTGATGATTCCTTGTTTTCTTCCATTTCTTCTTCTAAAGTTCCCCATTTTATTAATTTAGCCTATGGGTCTAAAGTTGCTCCACATGGTGCTTGTCAAATATCCCTTTTTTTCCTCTTTAAATCTGAAATCAGTTCTTCTTATCCTTACTTGCCCTTTTAACATACTCTCTCAAAGTCCATTAGCTAAACCTTTAAATTCTTCCATAACCTTTGATGGTTATTCTTTTGTTATACAAGAGTGTTGTATGGGTCGAATGATTGACACAAGACATGAATAGACTATACTATCTTGGTCCAATCCATCCATGTCTTGTTTTGCATTCCCTTCCCCTAAATTGTTACATGATCACTTGGACCATTCATACCTATCCAAACTAAAACGGATGGTTATTGAGCTTAACAAACTTCAAGTCATATATTGCGAGTCTTGTCAACTAAGAAAACATATTAGATCTTCTTTTCCCAAAAGAACCGAAACTAAATGTAACAGTTTTTTTTTTCAATAATTCATTATGGCATTTGGGGTCCAAGTTGGGTCACATCTTTTGTTTTTGGTATTTTGTAACATTTATTAATGAATATTCTTGTTGAATTTGGGTTTATTTAATGAAAGATTGGTGGTAATAGGGTGTACTTAGGTATATTGCCTTTATTATAGTGATGCATTTTCTCTTGTTGCCAAAATGACAACTGTCAGCCTCATTGCCATGTTAGCTATTCATCATTGGCCTCATCAATTGAATATCAATAATGCTCTCATTCATGGTAATCTAGAGGAAGAAATTTACATAGAGCCTCCTAGATTTGTTGCTCAAAGGGAGTCTAGTTTGGTTTGTAAATCACATTTTTTGTTTTATGGCTTGAACCAATTTTCATGTGCTTGGTTTGAAAAATTTAATCTTTGAGCTAAAACATAATCAAGCAGACTAATTCTTTTTTTTTTTTTTTTGTCATACCTCCCTAGATAGATGTGTTTACTTAATCATTTGTATGGGTGATATAGTCATTATAGGAAATAATGTTGATAAAATTTCTTAAAGAAGCACTATGCAATCACTTTTAAACCATAGATCTTGGATGTCTTAAAAACTTTCTAGTCATTGAAGTGGCTCAATCAAAGGAAGGTATTGTTATCTCTAAAAGAAAATATGCTTTAGATAGTTTAGAAGAAACAAACATGATAGATTGTAGACTAGTTGATAGTTTTATGGATTCTAATAAGAAATTGATGTTAGAATAGAGTGAACCTATCTCAGAACCAAAAAGATATAAAAGAGTTGTTGGGAAACTTATCTGTCTTAGAATTAGTAGACTTGACTTGTCTTTTGTTGTTGGAGTGGTTACTTAGTTATGAAGACCCCTTTGTAATTCGTATTCTTAAATACCTCAAGAAGGCTCCAAAACAAGGATTGTTATATGAAGATAAGGGACACACTCATATGATTGAAAATTGTGATGTTGATTGGGTAAGATCTCTTATATAGGCAATATTATTTCTTGGAAAAGCAAGAAATAGAATGTGGTTGCTTGTTTTAGTGCCAAGGTCAAGTATAGGGCAATAACATCTTTCATTTGTGAACTTATATGGATTAACACAATTCCTCCAAGAGCCGGAGTTCTGTGAAATTCAGCAAATGATAGAATGTATTGTGATAATCAAACCGCCATTCACCTTGTTTCTCATCTTATATTGCATGAGAGAATTAAAGAGAGAATTTGATTGTCATTTCGTCTGAAAAAGGTTATTGAACAAGAAAATTTGCACAACATTTGTCAGCTCCAATGATTAACTTGCAGATATCTTTTCTAAATCTTTGAGAGGATCTCAAATTCAATTTATATGTTCCATGCTGTGCACATACCATTTGTATGCTTCAGCATAAGGGGAGTCTTAGAATAGATTATTTAATTAGATAACTTGTTCATATAGGTTAGCAGTCAATGTACTAAACTTTTTTATATTGGCACCTAGGTGTCACCTTCAATATCTACATTCTTTGTAATAATTGCTTTTTCTCCTGTAAATAAATGGATAAGCTAAGAGATAATTACTCTCTGAAGCTCCTTTATCATATTTTTCAGTCTTAAGTTATACCATGCCTTTGTCTCCTAATTTCTTTAAGAGAAAAGAACACAATAGGAGGTGGAGGTTGGATAGTGAGGAATTTATGTTGTTCCATCTGTTTGGATGGATGGAAGCGAAAAAGATATGGCTTATATGAACTTCCTTCCTGTTTCTATTTTGTTTTCTTTTCTGTTCATTCAACTCTATACTTTGTTTTCTTTTTCTTTAACGGGAGATATATGATTAAAGCTTGAGACATGAGGAGATTTTGTTCTATACTTTAGAAAAAGGGAGAACTATTGATATTTACTAAATATATATTTATTGAAGTAGGTCTGAATTATAACTTAGCAGTAAACTACTTGAATGGGTATTGGTTTGTATGAAGTCTGACTCTTAATTCTAATTCTGTAGGTAGATCAAATGGGTATTCATTCTGTTTCAGATCTTCGACCACGGACAACTCTATGTGGAGATTACTTTTATAATTATTTTACTCGAGGTCTGGACATCTTATTTGATGGACAGGTTTGTATCTCACATCATGCTTTTGCTTCTATTCATGGTGGCACAACTGATAATTAAACAACTACATGTCCATTGTATTTTTAGACACACAAAATCAAGAAGTTTGTGTTACACACCAACTTTCCCGGTCATGCGGATTTCAATTCTTACATTAAGTGCAACTTTGTTATCTATGGCGCAGATTGTAAGCAATCTTTTATTTACATTGGAGTCTTAAGTTTGATCTTGATGTAACTGTTGATTGTAAATTTTTTTGTTGAGAAATAAGAGATATAATCTATTTTTGTCCTTTTCAGCAGTAGGGGAATCACTAAATAATAGCAAACAGAAGGTTATTACGCCTAGCACCAAGTGGGAACAAGTGAAGGTGATCTTTTATCCCTTAAATTGGTTTATCTTCTTTTGGATTTGTGAAAGATTTTTTATTGAAATGTATGAAGCAATTTGTAGAAGAGAATAGTGACTGGCATTTAATGTGGTTTTCTTATAATGATTAATCAAACTGTATATCATATAATAGTTTTGTGACTGATTCTTTCAGGAAATACTTGGGGATTGTGGACGAGCTGCCATCCAAACACAAGGCTCAGCAAGTAACCCCTTCGGTTCTACATTTGTGTATGGTTATCAAAATATTGCTTTTGAGGTGTGTACTTTTGTATTTATGATGTCCTATTTTAATAGTCTTGTCCACAATGATGCTTTGAAGAGATCACTAATTCTGGTGATGTTAGCAGGTGATGAAGAATGGTTATATTGCAACAATAACTCTCTTCCAATCATGATGATGGTACATTTCTCTTATCGTGCCTTATATTTTTTCTACCTTATTCACATAGCAAGTAATAACCTTAGTTTTTCTTCTTAAATCTCATCTATTAGTTCAATCTTACAATTCAACTCTAAATCTTAGCAGCTAGTATCTGATCACTGTCTTCATTTGTCCCGCTTCAGTCACGCTAAACTTGTCTGTTTGATTTATTTATTCTGTTTGTCCTGGGTCTTAACCATTTTTCATCCTAGTCTCTAGTTTTAAGTTTTTCCTAACTGGGTTCTTAGTTACGGTGATGTAGCAAACGGAGAGATCTTATTACTTGTACCACAATTGGTTTTCGTTGATAGAAAAGGATTTTACATATATTTTTCATTTATCTTATTAGTTTTTTTATTTCTATTTTCTTCAACCAAACACCTTTTTTATTTGTTCTAATAATTTTATTTCACTTTCTGATTCCGTACAATCCTATCTTATCATGAAGGAAATTGTCTTCTCTAATTATTGCTAGGATTCATAACAAACATGATTTAGTCTTTTTGTATTACTGCAGGTCACACTTTCTATATATGGTGCTGCTATCCATAATCATTATTGTTGCAAGATGCTTTCTATGACAATTGTACAGCTGTATATCATTTGAATAACATTGACATCTACCACAAAGCTAATGTATATATTTTTTTTTTGCTTTGCCTTTCAGTGTAACAAGATTCTCAGTTAGTTACTTGCTGTAATTTGTTCGTTACTGTTATAATTTATAAAAACGATGTTGCCTAATCCTTAAAAATTTGAAACAGTATTAATGACTCGAATATATCTTTTAGAAAGTTTCATATAAATTATACTTATATCGATTTTGAATTGATAACTGATTCCCAATCTATTCTAAATAGAACCAGCTTTGCATGTTAATTGCTGGGGTCTGTTTTCAATAATTTGAAACCAAGGATAAAAATTAAAAATGTGTTAAGTTCATATTGGAAGCATTATAAGTGTTTGATAAAACGTCTGAGTGAAATTTTTGGTGAATGCGAAATTAACTCTTCTAATACTTATCATTATATACTAGTTAATTCATGTAAAAGTCTAAGTCACTAAATTGAGAAAAAGAAAAGAAAGGAATTAAGAATGAGATAGGGAGGAGAGATGGGGTAAAAAAGAAGAAGAAACAAATAAACAATAAGTAAAGACTGGAAGATAAAATGGAAGAAAGAATTCATGGAGAAATAGATGTAAAAAATAAGAATAAAACAAATATATAAGGTGATCTATCTATTTATTATGTCATAATTGTGATGATGTTATTAATGTTCAAATTTTATTAAATTATCTATAATCTCGTTAAAATTTTTTTAAATTTTTTTTGAGACTTTGATAATTTTTTAAGTTCTCTTTAAAATATTTGTGGGTAAGTTATTAGTCGTCACAAATTATTTTAACCTTTTTAGTTGAAATGAGATATTTCATTTTGAGGTGTGAGAGAAAAACAATTGTGTAGTGAATGTCTCCAAATAGGATGTTATAAGAGGATGACACGACAACTAGGTATTCAATTACCAATGTTTTTATTACTTGACTATTATCGAATGTTGTTCGCAAGTTAGTACATCCTCCAACTTCTACTTGGTTGCTTAAGAATCCTATAAACACATCATCAAAAGGCTTTAAGTAGTCATACAAAATCTTTAATCTTAAAAATGTGTCTCAATATAGGATGCCAATTGAATTGCCTTGGTCTACTAGTACTTTATGTATGTTACGACTTACCATTACTACCAAAGTTAAGATTGGATCTTCCTCATGGAGACTGACGTTGTATGTCTTTGTCCAAGAAAGATATCATTGAAGATTTTTGTAATGATCGATTATTTGAGATTACTTACATGATCGATCTAGAATAACAATTACATGTCGACCCTCCTCTTGTAAAATCTCTTGTTATCATGTCAAGATTTTGTGCTCTTTTGTTTATTGTTGTTGTTGATTTGTTAGGTAACCTTCTCATATCATTTTTTTTATTGTTAGATGAGAGAAAATAAATTATTTGTGTCATGGTCGTAGGCTCAATGGTACTCGTATTAGGTAGTGCAATCTAACCCTAATTGTCGGTTGGTTTTACCTGGCTTGTCAAGTAGCTTTGTGACGTTAACATCACAAATGAGTCTTTGTTTTAAGAAGGAGATGTCTCGAGGTTTGGGATAGTGTCCCCTATTATCATTTGATGTGTAATAACATTCTTCTACCTTGTGTCTATAATTGACATTGTCTCGATGTTTGAAGATTTTTGTCTAATGTGTATACTTGTTTTTTTTTTTTTTTTCCTGATTCTCTTTCTTGTCATCGTCTCTTTTGCTTCAATGTGTGATGCGACTCTTGAATATAATCCATCGAATTTTTGATGGGTCGTTATATTAAAGATTTATCAAATGATCTTATTCGTAATCTTTTCACAAAAGCATATATAAACATTTATTTGTTTGCTTAAGGGGTTTTACTATGACACAAATACTCTCTTAGTGAATGGTTGTTTTTCTACTTAATGTCAAACAAATTGTTAAGTTTAGGTGACTTTGTTTTATTTACCATGAATTGTGATACAAATATCTTTGAGAAGTCGTCAAATGACTTGATTAACTTGTATGGGAGACTACTAAATCAATCGAAGGTAACCCCTACGAATGTTTTGACAAGCATTTTATATTGGACTCGTTGAACCCCACACTGATCAACATTTGAGCTCAGAAAGTTTTGAGATGTTGAGAGGGAGTAAAATGTTGTATTTTAAGCACTATAAGTGGGTTGGGATGGGTTCCTCTAGTATTATAGGAAAAATTGGTTGAAAATTGTGTGTTTCTAGTGGGGGATGATGCTTTCCAACATTTTCATGGTTGTTTGAGTCCATAATGTTTGTCACAATTCCACTTATCTTGTTATAGTTGCTCCTTAATTATAGGGAACTTTTTACCAATCATTGAGATTCATCATTTTTTAATTATAGTCATTTTTAAGAGAGCTTGTCTCCTCTGCTTTTTTGAGGGCTTCTTCTTACATCATATGCATTATTTGTGCCAATGTTAGGGCTTCTTCTTCTCCATTAGGTTGATATATTTGTGTCTTCATATTCGTAATTTAGTTTAGGATTTGGTAAAGGGTAGAAGTAGTTTTACTGAGTCCCACGATGGATATTAAATATTCTAGTAATTGAGGATGTTTTCTCTATTAGATAGTGAATTATACTAATATGTCATTCCTTGTTTTTGAGAGTTTTTTTTTCTATCATAACAAGCTTCCCGAGATACAAGAGTTAGAAGCCTGAGATACATGGTCTAAGATATAGGGTTAATTATCCTTATTTCTTCGAGTTCAATTATAACGTTTAGTTAGGTCTAGAAATATTGTTGGGCTTGGTTGTTTAATGGGCCTTTGATTTCCACAAAACGGTTTGATGATCGAGCTGACCAGATATAACTGTGGGGATTCAATAATGTACATAACACATCTTTAAAATCAGAATGTGTTAAAGATGCAATATTCGTTAGGACAACAAATTCATGAAAACTTCTAAGTCTCTTCATCATCGGCTCAAGACTGATCGATTGTGTACATACCAAATCCCCTCAGTCATGCTCAGTTGCCTTAACCATCAAACTATCTTGTGAATCTGATCTCATAACCAAATACTCAATAAAAGATCAAGTTCAACAAATTAAAGGACCAATAATACTCATTGGATCCACCTCATTATTATAATTAAAACAAAAAAAATAGAAATAATTAGACCTTATATCTCATGCCTCTAACCTTTGTATCTCTAAAGACTTATTACACTGGAAAATATAATAATAAGGAATGACAAATTACCCTAATTCACTATTCTAACATAGAAATCATCCATTGTTATTAAAACATTGTGACGCTTATCAATCGAAAATAAAATATAGTTTCAATTCATTGTTACTTCTTAGTCATCGATTTAAGGCTATCTTTATGTATGTTTATAAATCTCTTTATTTAATAGTCGAGATCAATGATAATTTATATATATACATTTTTTATTAATTTTTTTAAAACAAAACAGTAATAAATAAAATTAATTTTAGTTTTTATGAAGAAGATATTTTTTATTTTTTTACAAATGAGTATTAACAAAATAAAAAAATTATAAATATTATATACTATAAATAAGTCATACCAAAACTTTAAATCACTATTTTAAATATTACTTGTCTTTATAAGGAATGCAAATTAAAATAGATAAACAATATCATGAAGAGATGAGCTGATAAAAGATGCAGTTGCATTTGTATTTTCTAAATATTAAACCCATTATGAAAAAAAAATGGAAAAAACGTTAATAAGTTTGAACATGAAAATTTTCAGTTTTAAAATATTACAATAATAAAAACCAAAAAACACCTTATTCTTTAAATTTTGATTATTTCAAAAAGAAAAAAAAACACAAAAAAAGAACACTTGAACCGTTCTCATTTTCTCATTTTTTTAAATTAAAAAAGTATTACCATATTTTAAAAACTATTTTAATAAAATAATTATCAAACAAGTTTTCAATTTTAAAAACTAAAATACTGATAATAAAAAGTGTATTTAAAAACAATAAACTCAAATCGCACTTTTTTGAGAGGAAATTGCCGCTACTTGCACCTGCTGTAAACAGGTTCCTAACAATCGTCGGTTAATTTTGAGGTACAGGTGCCACTCACAAAGCAACCTTTATTAATTTTTCACCACAATTGGTCGGTTCCGATCTTGGGTCTTTGGAGGAAGAGTCACATTTCAGAGGAATTTGTTCAGAAATCTAAATACGATTCTATGTCACATTCAGAATAATATATAAAAAAAACTATGATTCATAATCTATTCTTTTAAATAATATATAAAAAAATATGATTTATAAAATTTCTAATTTAAAGGAATATCATTTTTTATATGAGTCAGATTCGTATCTTATTAATGTTATATATAAGTTTTGTATTAAATAAAAATATAAAAATTGAAGATCGTATAAAAAATCTAATCTATAAACTTTTTAATAACATGAAATGTATGGCTAAAATAAAGTAAAAAAAAATTACAAAGAGAAGGAATATAAGATATAATTAATTGTTTTTCGGGTTAAAATAATTTTAGTAAAAAAAATATAAAGATATTTTTTTAAATATAACTTCTTTATAAAAATCATAATAATTTTATTATGCTTTAATCATATTTAATTATTATCTTTATTTCAGTTTTTAATATATTTTATATTTATAATCTTTAATATAATTTATAATGTAATAATAATTATTTTTTTTCCTTTTTTTATATATAAAAAATTATTATTATTATTATTATTATTAAATTTATTATATTACAAAAATATTATATTAATAAATTTGATTGGAGTATATAATTCTAATTGAATTTTTTAAATTGAATTTTTAAATCTTAAATTTATATTAGACCAGTCGGATTTTTTAAAAAATTGCTCTCCTTGACAACAAACCAGAGAAAAGGGTACAAGGTATTATAATCATCCAATAAAGTTAGGGAGATCTGTTAATTATCACCTATGTTAGCAAGTTTCTCAGCACATATTGCCTTTGCAGTAAATTTGTTGAAACTTAGCACCCAGGATAAGACAAGAAGTCTCTAATCTTTGTAAAAATGGAGTGTAAAGATGGTAGGTGGAGAATCCTTGAGTAAATCAATTTGATAGAGACAAGAGAATCGTATTTGCATATGAAGTGCTTGACAATATTTGTTGTAACAGGTCATGAGACATGATTCCTACACATGAAGTTTGAACTTTTCAAAAATAAAATTAAATAATTAGTTATAGAGTTTATCGGAATAAAAAGATAACAAGAAGATAATTAGGATTTTGTTAGAATATTTTGATATCAATGATATTTTGGTATTTATTATTTGATTTTGGGAAGATTATGAGATTATGTATAAATACAGTATTGTATTTCTCTTTTAAGACATGACAAATAATCAATAATAAATAATATATAGTTTTGCAGTTTCTGATAAATTATTTGTTATCAAATTGGTATTAAGAGCTATGGTTTTTTTTAGAAGAATTAGAGTTTTTAAAAGAGTTAGAGTTAAGATTTCTAGGAGGGTTAAGAGTTTAGTGTTGAGTGTTTAAAAAAATGAGATAACTGGTTTGACAAATGTTGTACTTTGACTGATCAAGGAGGCCGATAATGATAGATGGAGTGTTCAGATGAAGGTTCTCCTCAAAGTCTAAAGTTGTTGGGAAGTAGAAGAGAAAAATTTTGAAGAATCTAAGACCATGAAAGAATTGACGATTAATATATTATGAGAGTTGAATAAGATCGTGGGAAAGACAGTGTTGATTTGTTCACATTGTTTCCAGTTGTAGAAGATATTGATTTTCAAAAAATTACTGATGTAAAATGTACAAAAGAAGCATGGATGACGTTGGAAACAACATATAAGGGTGATGATCGAATCAAACAAGTTTGGTTATATATGTTGTATGGCGAGTTTGAAAGCATGAGGATGAAAAACTCTAAAGAAGTTTCTAAGTACATCACCCGTGTCAAAACCATGGTGAATGAACTCAATCGGGATGAAGAGGCGATATCTGAAAATCGGATTGTGTAAAAAATCTTAAGATTGTTAATCAACGATTTTGAGAACCAAGTTTGTGCCATAGAAGAGTCTCAGATTTTGTCCGAATTCACGCTTCAGGAATTGATTGGTTCGCTTGGAGCCCATGAGTATTGGAGGAAGAAGATGAAGGAGGAGACAACTCAACAAGTGCTGAAGGTCGAGTAAAAAAAGTAAAATGCACTCTATTCTTAGAAGAATACAGGACAAGGACGAGGTTGTGGTGGTTAGTCTCGAGATAGTCGATATGGTCAAGACCGAGGTGACGAGAAAGAATAAAGAGTTCAACAAAACTAGTGAGGAAGAAGATGTGGTCTGAGAGGAGGTCGGTCAACAAACCACTCAAACACCAAGTGTTTTAAGTGTGACAAATATGGTATCACAATGATGACTACTCGACAATACACTTGGGAGCATATCACAATGATGAAGGACAAGAAGATCCTGATCACAAGTCAGTATGGTATCTGAATACGTGTGCGAGTAATCACATGTGTGGGGACACACACCTATTTAGCAAATTGAAAAAATTTAAGGACGATCATGTATCGTTTGAAGATGACTCAGGAGTCTCGATAAAAAGACGAGGTACTATCTGTTTCTTGCAAAATAATGACCTAGTCAAGTCAATAAGAGATGTGTTATATATTTCAGATCTCAAGAGTAACCTTTTGAGTATGAGACAACTGATGGAGAGAGGATACTCGATTTTCATGAAAGACTGAAAACTAGAGTTGAAGGGAAACTCAAAAGGTTGATTGCCCTAGTAGAGATGAGAAAAAATAGAATATACAAATTGTAGTTGAGAAGCATTCGAGAAAGGATTCTTAAATCAAATGTAGAGGGCATGTTTAAGAAGAATCATCGATCTGGTCACATGCATTTTTGTGGTTTAACTAAGTTGATTCATGATGAAAATCATGATATTGTCCAAGTTGATGAAACAAGCAAATGAAATAAGTTGATTTAGAGGACGACAAAGGAGGTTGAGTTACTGCATAACCAGTTGTTGTTAGCTCGGAAATACGCCGAGCTACTACACCACCAGTAGTAGCCAATTCAAAAACCAAGAAAGAATAAATAATCGTGAAATTTAAGAAAAATATGAAGAGCATGGTGTTTGAATGATCGAGCATGAAAGGGAAAGTTTACAATGATGTGATGCTCGGAATGCCGAACATAGAGGGGAGAGTTTGCAGATGAGTGGTAGGTAACAAGGCGAGTATCGAGTATAGAGAGAAATCCGAGTTAAGTCCAAGTAGTAAATTTCGAAGTAATCATGTTCAAGCTGTCGTGGATAAGAAGATCCGAGCTGTTATTGAAGACGAGAAGGTTTGAGCTATTATAGAAGAGAAGATCTGAGTTGATATTAAAGAGAAGATCCGAGCTATTATGGATGAGAAAAGTCGAATTAGAGAACACAATGATACGTTGGTGATGACCAATTACCAAACTATGCTCGACCTATTGGTGTGAAGCCGATACTCAAGAAAGATGAGAGATATGATATAACTAAGTTGTTGGAGTGAAACAGGTGGGTGTCAAGTTGACACTTTTGGATGATTTGCTCAAGGAGAAGGTGGATGATGACCGATTGTAATTCGGTATCAACCCCCATAGAACCATACACGAAGCTTTCCAAATTTGATAGAGGAGACTAAGTTTATCCGAGTAAATATCAGAGCGTAGTTTGAAGTCTTCTTTAACTCACATGTATGAGACCTGATTTATTATTGAGTGTTGGGATTGCCAGTCGGTTTATGGAGAGTCCGAGTTACTATCATTGGAAGGTGTTGAAGCAAATTTTGAGGTATATCCGAGGTACACTATCACTCAGACTGTTGTACACGACCGACACATCAAGTATTTGAACAATGACTGGTGTGGATATATGGAAGATCGATATGAAGGATGGAAGGAACTCAAGATACTAAAAAAGATGACAATTCGACTAGTAAGAAACTCAAAAGTTTGGAGTTCGCGATGTTTTGAAAACCAAGAAGTTTTGAAGTGCAGCAAGTTGGTAACTATCAAATTATCAAGTTGGGAAGTCAGTGTCAAGCCAATCTCATGTTTTTAAGCTCAAAGAAGTATTGAAGACAACAAGTTGAGAGTCAAGAGATCAGTATCAAGTCGATCTTAGTTTTGTTGAAGAAATTTAATTTTACCTGGAGATTTTGTTGGATTTTATTAAATAAAATTAAATAATTAGTTTTAAAGTTTATTAAAATAAAAAAAAGTAAGAATTTATTATAACATTTTAATATTAATGATATATTAGACAATTATTATTTAATTTTTAAAAAGATCTTGAGACTATATATAAATACAAAATTATATTTTTTTTAGTAAAGACATGACAAAAAAAATTAATAATACAGAGTTTTACAGTTTCTCATAAATTCTTTATTATCCGTCCTCACCAAGATTCGTGAAGTTGTTGTTTGGTACTTGAAATTCGTACTCGAATTGGATAAAATTAGTGGAAAAAAAAACTCTTAATCTCAAGCCCTTTTATACTCGTGTTCCATTATTCATAATTTTATGCCTCAAAGTTGCAAGAATTTCAACCAGTGGATGTGAGTTGGCTAATTCTCTCATCTTATTTGGAAAAAAAAAAAAATAAATCTTCCTCCCCTGAATTTTCTGGGCGACGTAATAGCATACAAAAACTGAAACCAAAAACCAAATTCAGTAACACGCAATTCATTGGAAGCGGTCATAGATATTACTATTAACAATGCTTTTGGAATACAAATATGATGTGTTGAACTACCAAACTAAGTTCCTACATAGACGAAGAAACTCCTCAAAAGATTTCGGGGCCTTATTTGCCAGAATAGTAGCTGCTAACAGAATATCTATGTCATCCTTGTGATGAGCATGACAACAAAATGAAGCTTTTGCCAGTGGTAGATTTTTGGTGTAGGATCCTGTCAGAGCTCCATTGCCATGTTGCACCATTTATGGCTGCAAAGAAAGAAAGTCAGTATTACTGAGAATTACAGTCATTGCACATCAAGAGAAGGTGTAATTAGTACAAATGCTACAACTTACTTACAAGGTTACATTCATCCAGCCATTATTGGATGATTGCACTGAAGATGGAAAGTAGAAGCATATGGTATTGAAGTTGAGTGAAAAAGGGGAGGGGGTGTTCAATTATGATCGATATTATTGTTCAGATCAACTCATCAACCACGTAGTTTAAGATTTATGACAATTTATTGAATACCTGCTTCAGAAGGAAGCAATATGTAAAGGTTCAGAATAAATTACATACTTTCTGGAGTGACATGAAGAATTTTTAAACCCACAATTACAAATACAAAACAGTATTGGCCTTGCAATGTTAATCTCTTCAGGTTGTAGTTGTAAAGGGGATTTAAATGCAGGGAACCCTAAGATGTTCCTCTAAAAAAAGCTAGACATTGATTCCACGAGACATAAAGTAATTTGACAATCACATCAGATGACATTTCAATTATTTGCATATCCCAATCACAACTATTTGAACAAGTTTACTATATTTAATGCACTAGAAATAGATTTAATCCCAATAGAAAAAAATTATCCATATTTTAGTGAGATGATTCGCACTAAAAGGGTTAACAATTTTAGCTTGCAAGTATTTGCAATATCCCATTTATGTGAAACACACCTCTACTAGAAAAGAAATTTCTAATTAGGAAGGCAAAAGTTACTTTCCATGCACTCTAACCTGATTATTTGGTGATTGTTCATGTATCCTACTAGGCTTCATGTTCAAATCAATCATTTTGGTTTCCATCTTGGTATGTCCATCAGCATCAGGTGCTGGCGTTGGACCCAGAGGCATTCCATGGTTTTGTTTCTCTCCCATTTTCAGTTTGGAAAGTGAATTTTGTCCCCTTTTACTTTCACCAGGTTCCAATGGTTGTGAAGACGGATTTTCAGGATGACTAGATTTGTCTCCTGGAAACTACGGAACAAGGAAACATTACACATTTTATGGGAACCCAAAAGTATGAAGATAACAAATGAGCGAACCCCTCTTTAATCCCAAAGATTATAAGCATTGGTCACTTCAATCCTTGACTTTGCATAACATTATTCACTTTAACTTTTCTTCACTGCATTTTCCATTAACATTGAGGAGTATAATGAATAAACATTTTATAAAGTTAGGGACTGAAGTGAGCCTTTTTGTAAAGCTAGAGACTAAACCAGCCAACAATTGAGATCTCAAAACAAAAATTGGGTTTACTTGATAAACATATGCAAACCAATTTTTGCGGTAAAGGAGAGACTCACTAACCTCAACTCTTTGCCTGAACAGAAGATATCTTCCATGCGTTCTTTTACCTCCAACATGAACTATCATATCACACTGCAAACAAAGGGAACTTCCATCTGTCTCACAATAGAAGAAAGCTACATCCAGATTGAAAGGGTAAACACATATAAACAATAAGCATCATAAGAACATCATAAGCATAAAAAGAGGAAACTACCTACCAGGTGCATTCTCACATATGTCACACCGTGGCACATCACTTGGACTTGCAAGACCAACTCTCACATGTCTACTAGCTAGCTTATTGCACATGTGAACCTGTCGGCACAAAAGGATTAATCTTCCACCCATTTGGTTGAAAAATGTTGACCATAACAACCAACACCATATTAAAGTAAAATACAAGCTCGGATATACAATTCACACACCACAACAAAAAGATCAAATCAGATCGAAGCATATCTATGAAGCTACAATAAAGCTGGAGGGTCAACCTGCAAGAATTCGTTACCCTTACATACAAGGACTTATTGATTTCAATATTCTTACATTACCAATGAACATAATAATTGTCCACACTTTTCAATAAACACCAGATTATAACATTCAAGTCAGTGATCTAAATGAAACACCAAAACATCACCCCCAAGCACAAATTAATATCAATAATGAGCACTACGTATCAACAAAGACGATCTCAGAAAATATTGATAAAAAACACACCTTCTCATCGCAGGCACGACAAAGTGCAGCCTCATCAGCGGCGCAGAAAACGATAGCCGCCGCACTCTCACAAGCATCACAAAGCGTTCGCATAGTTGGACTCTCTCACTTTCATTGCTTCAACAAACAAACACAGAGAAAGTTAAAGTGAGACACAAAACATAATATATATATATATATATATATATATATATATATATATATATATATAAGTATGTGTTTATGCATACATATATTAATATTATGAATATAATATGAACATCAAGAGAGAAGCGAAGGCACAGAAGAGGACAGGTGTTCACCAAATCCATGTGGGTATGATAGTTTTGTTTTTCTCTTAATGTTATGTTGTTTGTGAGGGAGGGTGGAGGTGGTGGTTGATGACGATGATGATGGGGAAGGACTATGATTAGAGTGTGGGATAAAAGAAAGGATTTTGTGAAGGAGTGGGGGGACCTTGAGGGTTGATTCCAGAACTTTGCAAAGACACAATAAATGAGTGTTTGTCAACTCCGTTTGCCTCAAACATTACTTCGTAGCCACAAGTTCAAAGCCAATGTGGGTTTGACAGCAACTCACGCTTCATTCTTACCCACCAATTAATTATCTGACAAGGGACCCACATCCTTCTCCTGTTTCTTGTTTCTTTCTTCCTGTGCCTCTGCCTAACTTCTCCCTCCCTTTCAGCCACAACAACCAAAGCCACGAATCTTCACTCTTCTTCTCTACCTATACCTTCTATGCATTCATTATTTTTCTGCTCACTCTTAAACTTGCTTATCTACTCTAGAGAAAATTCCAATACACATAATTATTACAAATCTATGAGAAGCTGACGTGTGTTTTTTATAGTTTAACCGGATTTAGAAAAAGAAGACCTTTTAATGAATGAAGTTGGTTATCTTATCTCCAACCTTCCTTTTAAAGAGACACATAATATTGCTAAGATTTCTTGTGCGACCAACTTTTTTGCAATTCAGGGGTGGTGGATAAGTGGATGACTCATCAAACCGGTTTTGACATCTTTGTATGTGTAGTTGGGCGAGAAAAAGAAACGCTTTAGACACTGTTCACAGTCCACAATTAGAAGGACAATGGTACATTACTCAATTGGTAATTTTTGCTGTTACTGCAATAACTTTCCCAAATAGAAATAAAAGGGGACTCAAGATGTTTACAGCTTGTCTTTAATACCTCCAATATTGCTCAACATCATCACATGTTTCAGAAGTTCTGTCAAATTAGCCTTACATTTTTAGATGCTACCATTTTGGCTAATACTCCCTTTAATGTTGAGAATTCCCCATCAATAACCTTAGATGGTTTCTTTTTTGCATGGTCGAATAAAGAGTGTTATTCTGGATTACTTTTGTTCAGTCAGTGCTGCTGGCTAGTATAGATGCGATCATGCGATGTGTACGAAATGCAACAGTGACAATGTTAAAGCAAATATTGATTAAAAGGTATTAATAATATATAAAATTGGATTTGATTGAAATCATAGTTCCCGTGTTTTATATCAAAGTGATTCATAACAATTGTTTTTAAGTACGTGGTTAGAGATTTAATTTCTGAATTCTTGTATGTAAAAATACATGTTAGTAAAGTGGGACTCCTCCAATGTGATGAGTTCAAAATAATTGCATGACCTAAATTACGCGAAAAAAAGAAGAAGAAGATATTAATCGTTTAAATAGTTACACTGTGAATTCAGCTTGTAGAGATTACTGTAGCTTTTATTTTTGGTGGATGGTTATTATGACAAGGCCAATGTATGACCACAATTACGAGACAAAAGAAATTACGTTTTCATGAATCTACTCATCGATCAACGCCATTTATGATGCATTGGTTTCATTAGGAGAAAACTTTTCTGTGATGAATAAACTCTTTCTACTTTTTTGCAGTGAATTTGAACCATCCATTCGGTAACCTCGGGCCAATGCCAGCTCTACTTTGTGCTTTTTGTGGAAGCAGCACAATTTTGTTAGGCTACAAATTTCATCACCCTATGCTTCCTGTGGAAGAGAATCAAAATATAAAGACAAATCCACTGGTGAACATAAGATACAAGTTAGCAACTCACAATTTCTTCTTATTGTTATTATTTCAAACAAAACATGATACAATAGCAATACAGATTTAGTTTGGTCCACCATATTCCCTTACAAATGAAGAAGACTTCTAGACCACATAGAGTCTTTTAATTTGTATATTTTAACATAAATTAATAACAGACTTACCTTAATATCCCCAAACCTATCATTTTTTTGATAAGCTAGCAAACCCCCTTTTTTCTTTTATCTTACAAAGAAAAGGAAAGAAGGATAAGTTTCTTCACTCAGTTGTTTTAAAAGGAGAAATTGATCATGTCGGTGCTCAAGCTCTCCATCATCACATTCTCCATGAATCCACACTTGTAAGGAGCAGTCTTCTTGAAACTCTGGCCACGAGGCTTGAGAGAGCAGGAAGAAATAGGAATGATTGGTATGTTCTCACAGTTGCAGAGCTCAATCATGTAGCCATCAGGGTCATGGAAGAACACTTGGTCCACCTTGGCTCCTCCTTCCTCTACCACAGCTGTCACATACCTCATCCCCCTCTCTTCTAACCTCTTCTTAACAAGTTCAACATCAGTACACTGTCCAATATCAAAACATTCTAGTGAGTCATGTTCCACGTCAACATTTAATTAGTTCTACTGTAACTAGAATTAATTAAGCTGTACTAACATGCAACAACTTCTTAAATATAAAAATTCTTATCACATAAACTTAGAAAAAGTTTAAGTTAATAATCTCTTCATCGACAATATATATAGCATTTTTACATGATCTATAGAGATTACAGTAAAAAATAAAACAGTGTTTTAAACTGTTCAAAGTCTCTCACCTGGAATGAGATATGGTTGTCCTTGGGATTAATGGGCCTAAATTCATTGACACAGGTATCAAATTCATCAATGAGTGGATTTTCAATCAAGTGTATTCCAACACCGTAATTGTAAAACCTATAAAAAGAATCATGTAACACATGAACATCATTTGTCATTTAGAAGATGTTGGGTATGGAATGAAAAGGAAGTGATAATGAATAATGAAGCTAACCAGGCTCCAGTGAAATTGAAAGAAGAAGGGCGTTTGATGGGAACAAAGCCCAAAACATCCTCATAAAACCTCATAGACTCCCACACCGATTTGCACAAGAGGGACACATGGTTGAGTGAAAGCAGTGGAAGTGGTTGTGTTTCGCAGTTCCCAACTTCCTCAATCTCCATCTTCATCTGTTCCTTATTAGCTTTTTCTCGTGTACTCAATTTTGCAGTGAATGCAATTGGCTACGCTAAGATGGCTCTTATATACAACGTGAATTAACTTCGTAGTGTAACAGTATGTATCCGAAGCTTCCTAACATTTTACTTGTAGTAGGAACCTTCCTGGAAGGTTCTTTTGATTGAAGGAAACACAGTGAAATGCTGCATAGGGCTTAATAACATACTAGATTGAAATCTAGTTTTTCATTATCTGGTGTTTGTTTTGTTACGACCAATTGTTTAGAATGAGCTTTTCAAATAACACCGTTGTAATTGGAAGAAAAGTTAACGACAATAGTGATCGTATTGTAGGGTAATTACCCATCCTATAGAACGAAAGAACACAAGGTTCAAAATATTGAGAAATTTCTAAGATGCTTCCCTGCAAAAATTTGACGATTTTTTACGTTTCGATACTAATTTATTTGGAATGAGATTGATTTTAAAAATATTGTAATTTTTATTTTGACTCGTTATAAAATCATCAGTCTGACGCAAAAGTTATATATTTATTTATAAATTTAGAATTAATCAAATAATGAACAAATGCTCCCGGTGATTTTATGGGAAATTTGGAAAGCTAGAAATACTTTTTTTGTTTTTCAGATAGCTTATAACATTATTTTTTTTTATGCATGAAAGTACTTCTCATGCTTTTAATGAAGGTTATTTTTATAAACAAATAGTCTAAGATCCGTAAATATATTACAAAAAAAAGTAGATAAGACATTATATTATACGTTAAAATATTTATGTGTCGATATTTTTATATAATTAATTTCTTTTTAAATATTATTTTATTTTCCTTTTTCATTCTTTAATTTTTTTTTCATATTTTTATTGTTTTTTAAATATATAAATCATAATAATAATTTTTTAAATTATAATATTTTTTTATTTTTCTTTCTCTCTAGTATGAGATTATAAAAAAAGTTATTTATATATAATTATGTTCTTCTCGCTCATCCCTTTTGCTTTTTATTGGTCGGACCCTCTTTCCTTGTGAACATGTCGAGGGCACCCACCATAATGTAATGTAAGTGTGGCCCAAAGAATTAATGGGGTTTGAATATGTGATTTTTAGTCCATTGAAATGGTCTTAATACATATTTTTCAGGGTTTTTTTCAATCTATTGCTTCAAATCTTGGACTACACATTTGTAGCCCAAAACAGACCAATGACATGTACAAATTATTTATTTTATTTTAATATATTTGATATATAACATTTGACTTATGTGATTTTGTCAATTAATCTCTATTAGAAATTTTAATTGCTTTTTTATTTGTAATATTGGAATTCAATATTTTGAATCACACATGAATATCAATATTCAATATAATCAATATAGTTGAGATGATTGAAATTTATTGATGAGATTAAATATAATAAATTAGTTGAAGGTGAGTTGAGAAAATGTATGATTGTTGATTTACACAAGTCAATGAATAATTTATGGTGTGAAGTTATTATAATAAGATGGATGAGCATTCAATGGGGTAGAGGGCAGGATGGGATCTTGATTGATGGGATCATAATTTTGTCAATTCAACCTCTGCCATGTTGAAATATTAAAAATTTTAAATAATATAATTATATGGGTTTGTTTTATTAAAGTCTAATTATCAATATTTTTAAAATTGAAAGATCATTAAGTACAAGAAAATATAAATTTAAATTATAAAACTTTAATCCAAGATCAATTTAACCAAATTTAATAAAATAATAATTTTATATTTATATAATAAACTCATTACTAATAAATATTATTTTACAAAATAATAAAAATTATTAATAATTAAAAACATAAAATATAATAATAAAAATATTATTAAAATAAAATAAAAATATAATAATTATTATTATTTAAAATTAAGGTAACTAATATAAAATAAATATATAAAAATGTTATTATTATATTTATTTTTTAATTTTTTTATAAAAAAATTAATCTAAAAAATTAATTAATTTTTAAAATTTTATAGATTTAATTAAATTTAATTATTTGAATAGACTGATTTTAGACATAATTCTTTCATTAGAAGTACCGTCTAATTTTCAAAACAGCACTTATTATTACCTATTTTCAACTGATTAATTTTATTTTCTTTCAAGGTCTTAACTTATTAATCAATGATACGTTTTGGTGAAATTTTCCAATTTGAGTAATGTTTTGTGAACTCAATGGGGCAAGCGTGTTTGATCACAGCTGTATTTCAGCTAACACGTTGCCAGGGGCATTTAATAATTTATTCAAATAATTGTAATTTGTTAAAATAATCTTCAAAGTTAAACAAAATAATAATTGAAAATAAAATGTACCCATTTTTCTTTTAACTTCATTTATTTTTTATTTGATCCTTGACCGAATAAACTTGTTCTTACCATTTAGTTGTTAAAAATAACATAGTATCGTTGAGTACGGGAAGATGAAATTCATTGTTTCTGTTTTGTTACTGTAAAGAGATTCAAACAATTTTAACAAGCAAGCAAAGTAGGTTTTAATCAATAATCTTAGATTTTAATTTTGTTGGGTTTTATTAGAAACTCTTATTAAAATAACTTATTATGATGTAATGAAAAATTTAAAATAAATAATTTATTCTTATACAAAATCTGAATCTTAATAATAAAACTTATTATGTCAACCATTAAAATAATTTTGTAGTAAAAAATTAAGTTACAACTACATGCAAGTTATTAAGAAAAAAATATACTATAAAAATGTAGCGTTAATTGTTTTAAGATATTCGGGCAGTAACATCTATTTAAAAGATAATAACATATAATTTTTTATAAGTCTGTTGTACTCTATAAACACTATTAGATGTTCTTTCACAACTTATCTAAAAATACTTAGTATAATTGTTCCACTTAAAAAATAATTTTAATAATATAAATATTTTATTAAACATTTTAAATTTATATCGTTAATATATTGTGACATTATTTTGTTGTAAATTATTATTGATGATTTATTCAGTTGTCTATTGATTTTAATAGATGTTATTATAATTTATATAATTTAATATTTTTAGGTTATTACGTAAGTTTTATTGTTTGAATAAGATATGAAAAAATTACAAATAATTTAAATATTATATATATATATATATATATATATATATTGGTATTTTAATATCATATTTGTGTTTGAATTGAAAAATATATTTGTGTAAAAATATGTGAGAAAATAAAATTGTTTTGATTGAGATAATAGAAATTAATGGAAATTGTTTTGATTGAAAGAAAAATAATAAAAATAAGTGAAAAATAAAATAAATTTATTTATTATTTAATTATTTAATATTATTAAAAGCATGTATTATTATAATAAATAATTAAAATAACAAATATTATTAAAAATTATATTAATTAAATATTTATATTTTTTTATATATATTTTTTTGTTTTAATATGTGCAAAGGAAGTTTTGTGCCTTAAAATCAGCATTTTCTCTCCTTAAAATGTCAGTAAAAACTCTTTACATGGCCTTATCTTGCAATTCTTGACCGTGCTCTTAATCCAAACAAACACTATTCAAGTTTCATAACACGTTATTACGGAAATTTTAATATATTACGATAAATTATTTTTTTGAATATATAATATAATTATTATTAATTTTAATATTTTAATTTTATATCATACTCGAAATTTATTAAATCTTATATGCTTTAAATTTTATGAAAAAAATAATAAATTTTTTATTTGTGTGGATTTAAATACCATTCATCATTTGTGAAAATAATTTATTTATATATCATTTAAAATTCATCAAAGGAAAAACTTTGTTAACTTGATATTGTATATATTTATTATTAGTCATCATCTTCTATGAAAATGAATTTTTATACAATTAAAATTACACATTAATTATAAATATCACTTAGTCCACTTGGTATAAAATTAAATATTATTTTAATGATAGAAAAATTTAACAAAGTAATTAATATTATATAAAAATCAGATGAAATATTTGTATTATACTAAACACAAATAATATTAATCATAATAATTATTGGATGAAAAACATATTTTATCTTAAAAATATATATTTTATCTGTATTACTTTATAAACATTTAATAATATGTTATTAATTTTGATATTTTCATAAAAAAACTAAACTCATGTTAGTAATAATCATAATTAAAAAATTATAATTGTAATGGTAGGATGGTAAAGTGAACATAACGATGATTCCTGAAAGAAAGGTTGATATATATAAAATAGGATAATTTAATATATATATATATATATATATATATATATATATATATATAATATTTATTGTACTGTGCATATTTTGTTAATTATAACGGAAAATGGTGAAATTAGGCTGAATTCGGGAAATAGAAAAACTAGGACATTTTCTCTTATAATAATTAGGTTTATTCATATGTTACTAAAATAATGTGTTATTAAATGTAAAACTTTAACAAGAAGGGCCAATAGTCAAGGACAGAATTGGTTATCTTAATACTATCTTATCTCATCTTAAGGATAAACAAATTCTCCTAATCTGAGCTTACTTTAAATTAAATTTATATATTAAATATATGTTTCATATCAGACAAATGAAATATTAAAAAGCTATTTTCATAACTTGGGAAAACTAAATATAAAAGTAGAAACGTGAAATCAAACTAACATTTAGATAGAAAATAAAAAAAGAAGTTGCTTTCAGTTGTAAAGAGATGTATGTGCAGTGTATGACGCGATTTGCACACTTGGCTTTCATTTACAGAGAAGCATAGAATAAGGAAAAAGCGATTTAATAAAAGGTGTATGACGGCGATAATTTGGCGGTGAGAAGAAGTAGCAGGTGGATACTATGGAATTAAGTAAAGTCCAAATGTGACATTGCATGCATGCGATTGTGATTTGAGGTTGGGCATACCTAATCCACCCCTCAAAAATGTCCAATAAATGCTAAATATTAAGCTATCAATCGCTGTTAATTAGCCCATTTAACTACTTATGCCTTTTGGACTTATTTGTCGGTTCCGCAACATCTCTCACCTAATGCACCTTAGCTACCACTTTCTTGTATATATATAATTATGAAAATAAGTTGAAATAGTTGCACTTGATTCTTTTAACTAGCATTTTGTGGATTGGTTAGTTTTTTTTTTTAAAGAAATATTATAATAAATGTATATTTTATTAAATGTGCATGTATTAAACATGATTATTTTTATTTGTTAAGAATGTTTTTTGGACATTGGTTTTAGTTAAGAATGCTAACGTGGGTCATGTATATGGTGCGAAGATATTAAAAGTAGAATATTTTCAAATAAAACGTTTAGTGTTCTTGTCAATTTTCAAGATATTTAATATTTTGTTTTTCAGTTTTTTCCTATCATAAAAGAGTCCTATGATACAAATTTGTGAAAATATTTTTTACAGTGATGGTAGGTACTAGGTAAGTACAAGGAGTAATGTCGTCTAGACAAAAGTTTTTTTTTTTTTATGATGGTTTAGTACATTTGCAATTTAATGGCGTTGGAAGGAAGTAAATAATGGAATATATTATTAGGAGTTTGGTTTCTACGTTGAAATTATGGTTATACTAACAGTCTTATTTTCTATATTTTTAAATAAAATCACAATTTTCCATTTTTATTTAATCATGTTATTTGGAGATCGACAGATTAGATTTATGCTTGATTAATAATATATAATTAAAATAAAAAAATTACATTTTTAAAATTAATTTTTATAAAATATATTTAGATATTTTTTAATTTTTAATATGGTATCAAATTTATTAACTTATTAATTTATTTAGTTTATTCTTAATATTTAGTTTCATATCTTTGATATGTTTTTTATTTTTAATAATAATTTTTTTGTTCAAGTAATAAGTGTGTCCCCTATAAGTTAGGGTTAATTATTATTATGGTCAATTATTATATTTGGGGTACTGTGAACTTAAAGTTCTTATCCATCATCATTTTATTTTTAAATGACACTTTAATAAGTTAAAAGAGAAAATATATTTAAATTAGTTTTGACTTCAATCTTAAAAGACATTGTAACTAGAACAATAATTATTAATTTTTTTATTTTTAATTATAATTTTTAATTTTTAATTTAATAAAGACTCAATATAACAAAGGAGTCCAATACTTTCTTATATATTATAAAATTTATTCGTTTTCATGTGATTAATATATTTAATTATGTAATATTTTAGAAGGTACCTTAATATTTTAGAAGGTTAATAATTTAAAGTCACAAATATCTTGTAAATGGAGCGACTTATACAACATTATTGAAAAACATATTCATACATTTATGTTAAGAAAGTTAAATCTCAAAAAGAAATATATTGTATTTAAAAAAAAGTTTTTTTAATGACTAATATAATCTATCAAAAAATAATGAATGTATTTTTATTTACATTAAACAAAACACAAATTGAGATGAAATACGATGCTTCTTGAGCTTGAGAATGTAATGTAGCAGAAGTTTGATACGTGATAAACCACAATCATAACTTGTTTGGGCAGTGTCTCATGACTCTGGGTCACATAGGGCTTAAATGTGGAACATTACCGTCCCAAGAGTTTCCAGTTTCATATTCATATGTTTGGTTGTATCCATCCAATTGTTTCAACAATTAATTTCCCTCTTTCCTTCCTTGTACATGTGACCTGTAAGAAATTATAGACCTTTCAAAGTTTAGTCTTTTATGATACATAGATAGGTACAGGCCATGATTGACAATGTTCATAGAATCTAGTTAGATTTCAATTCCTGGACCATATCCATAATCATTATGTAAATTATTTTGTGGGTTTGGAAACATACTGATGAATTTTTCTGCAAATTATGTTGCATGCTGTTTCTATATATTGCTTCATCCTTATTTCTAACATGTAGGCATGCCATTTCCACATTTTAGTTATTCCTTGTTAGTAATATATATATATATATATCATCGCTCAATGTTTATAAATAACTTTATACTATTATCCAATTAATTTATTGAGTTTTTTAATTATTAACAATAATTTATGAGTAGATGACCGTGTTAAATTTGTTTTATACTTTCAGTAATTATAATTGTTTGTTATTCTTATGTAACATTTTGTTATATAAACAAACTTGTCCTAACTAGTAAGAGACATATAAGATTGGTGCATTAGCTGATTTATTCTTTACGTAAATATAATATTATATATATTTTAATTGGTTTTAACTTCTATCATTTGTATTAAAATAAAATAAACTATATAATATTTATATAAAAAAAACTAAAAAACATGTAAAAATAATATAAAGAAAAAAAGACTATTAAACTTCCAATCACAACAAATATCAAATTGTTAATTTCAACGTTAAAGCAGTAATTAAAGAAATATTATACGATAATGAATGACTGCATAATATTTTTTATAAAGACATTATATTACGCAATTCTATTTTTATTTAATAAATTTTAAATAAAAAAAGAACTGTTTCGCCTAAATGAAAAGTCGTATGAATTCTTAGGTACACAACCCAACCCACGACATGTTTAAAAAAAAAAAAAAATTAAAAGAAAATTCATATACATTTCTTTATCACAAGTCACGGTTGTTAACTCAAAGCACGTTAATGTTTAAATGCATATAACAGAATTTGCCTATTCTTGAGAGGCATGTGTTAGATGCTTAAAACCCTTGTAGTAAGTTTAAAATTCTGTGTCGGCTACTAATGAATTGAACAAGGAAGAAAAAAGAGGGATGAGGAGAAGGAGTAATTTAAAGAAGGAACATGCACGTGTAGGCATGCTGTGTGAGAACACAAAAGTCCAAATGAATAAATGAGTAGTTTTGTAGTGTACATTGTAGTTCATTATGTAACATTCATTCATATTTCCACATCAACACCCACAATGGGCCTCTCTAGTCCCCAGTGATTCACTGAATGAAGTTTCTCTCTCCACCTCCAAACCTGCACATGGCCTGTTGAACTTACCTTACTTGTTTCGGTCAAAAGGTCTCTAATGCCTTTTTCCATTGCCTCACCTTTCGGAATGATTGTGAGAACGTAATACTCAAACAAAGTTGTGTTCAACCACACACAAATCTTACACATTCTGCTACATTAAATAAAACCATAAGAATCTCATCACCAACAATAACTAGAATCCTCTACTAAGCTTAATACACCCATAATAATACTGTGCTTTCATAATTTTCAATAAAAATATATAAATTCTCCTGTCATCATAATTAATCTGGTTGTTAGATGCAAGAATCTTAAAAAGCATTATGCTTCACGTCCAAAGTACTGAAACTCGTGAGCATAGTGAGGCCTTCGAAACTTGAAAGTAATTATAACACTTGCAAGATGTGGAAAAGTGGGGAGAACCACCACGTGCTTTACCCAACTTATGGGCTATGCTATGGCATTGCACGATTCAAATCCTACCTTTTTTTTTCTGTAATATTTTCACTGCTGCTTGTGGAGGCTTTATCAATTATAAACAGTTACGAACGAAACTTTGTTGAAGCTTTATTTATGCAAGAAGTAAGAATTGGATGCAGGGTTGTGGGTAGATTGGTAATTTCAGGTCTAATGATTATCATAGTCTAACTTCAACATGTGTTGTATGTGGAGGAAATGTGTTATATAATGCAATTCATCAAAAAGATTGAGAGAGAGATACATAACCTCTGCTCTCAATTTCAAAAGCCTCGTCACAGCAGGACTGAAATATCCACAGATGCACACTCCCTTTAGAAATAGAAAGGAAAAGAGAGAGAAAATGCTATTTCTGCTTTCTCTCTTTACCTTTTTAACTTTTAACTTTTAAGCTCTCATTTGTTGTTCCCTGCATTTGCACCACAATAAGTTCCTCTTTTCCACTTCAGAACACATTTGCACCAGGTGAAGGAATATTCACATTTTGTTTATGTCATGCTCTTTTCTTCATTTTTTTTCTCTTTTGGGTTGACTTTGAATATTGAACTTCCACATTGTGTTCTCCACACCATTGCACCGAATGGAGGACCAAAATTCGTTGAATTATCCCTTGTTACAGCTGTTTAAGGCCGTGTTTGTGACGATGAAGACTAGAATCAGCACTGAAGTGTCGTTTATGCCGAGAATGCGAGATTCAATCGCAGTTGATATGTTCGGTGACATCAAATTTTGCTGTCACAGTAATCCTATCAGAATTTGGTTTCGAGATGATATTTTGCAGATTCTCGGGATTTATTTTTTGCGTTTATTCATATCCTATTTATAGAATTTTCTTCTGGGATCTGTTTGGATTATTTATAGACTAAATTTAGAAGAAATGTGAAACAGCCAAAAAAGAAAAATAGAGAGGATTTTTGGTGAGACATTTACATCCTTTCATTTTTCTCCCTTCCATTTTCAAACCATCTCTCTCTGAATTCATTGCACAAAAAGTTGGATGAAGAATTTTCCTTGAGAAATCGACTACCTATGTCCTTATCACCTTTGGTAAATTTCCTTTTGCAAAGTTCTTATTTCTAGACTTTTTCTTATGTTCCATGTGATGAAGAATTTGACAGTCTGTTTCTTGGGATGGGGACCATTTCACAAAACTCCAACCTTTCCACAAGAATACAGAAACCACCGTATAATTTGTTCTCTTAATAATAGGACCTTAAGATATTAGTCAATTACTATTTAATATTTATTTTCTCCCACAGCCATCTCTGACTATAATATAAAATTTGTAAGCATCATTTATCTTTTTTGTTTCTGCTGAATAGCACCGTAAGCTGTGATTAGTCTCCTGCGGCAGACAATGATTGGAGGAATGGAGGCTGAAACCTTGAGTGGTCCTCGTGCTCCATGCTATCTCAACTCAACAATGCAACAGAAGAGTGATAATTAACTGAAAACCAAAGGGGTCTTTGGAATGCTCAGAATTCAATGACATGTGATGTCATTCTCATCGTTGGAATTGGAGTTTGGGCTAGTTTTGAGGAGAGAGAGTGAGTGAGTGAGTGAGTGAGAGAAATGGGTTCAGTTGGAGGGGAAGAGGCAATTCACGAGCCTACAGGACATGATGAGAGGATTCTTGTTTCTGTTCGTCTTCGTCCCCTCAATGAAAAGGAGCTTGCAAGAAATGATATTTCGGACTGGGAATGCATCAATGACACCACCATCATATACAGGAGCAACCTTTCAGCTTCTGACAGGTCACTGTACCCAACAGCATATTCCTTTGGTAAGAACACACCTCCATCATATTTGATTTGGTTTAATATATTTCCCATAATGCAGCCCCGGTTTGTGTATGTATTTTGTAGTGATTCTTTCTGTAAGGAAAGAACAAATGTTATGGAAATTCACCAAATGTTTATGTTGTATGTTGCAAATCTGGTCATATCTACATATGAAGTTGGTCCATTGGTTTTGTTTATGAAATTATTGTTACTGCAAGATCATGATTAGCTTTAATTACTTCCCTCTTCTGATCTGCCATGCTTTCCTTTTGGCTATAGACAATGTGTTTCGGTCAGATTGTTGTACAAGGCAGGTGTATGAAAAAGCAGCTAAGGAAGTTGCTCTTTCAGTTGTCGGTGGCATCAACTGTGAGTTTCTTCCCTTTGTCTGCTTTTCCTCCTTCAGCAGCATCATCAGAATCCTTGGAATTTCCGTGTTAACATCTTATTTTGACCCCTCCCCGTGGTGTCTAATTGATCAGCTAGCATTTTTGCATACGGACAAACAAGCAGCGGGAAGACATACACCATGAGTGGCATAACTGAATACACAGTAGCAGACATTTTTAACTACATAGAGATGGTAGGCGAAATATGAACATGTCAATACATTACCTTGCCTTTATCAAAAACAATTTTCTGATTCCGTTTTACCTTCTATAGCACACGGAAAGAGAATTCGTTTTGAAGTTTTCCGCAATTGAGATTTATAATGAATCTGTCAGGGACCTCCTTAGTCCAGACTGTACTCCTCTCAGACTTCTTGATGATCCGGAGGTAAACATCTTCATCATTTCCTACAGAACTAGTATTTGTGCATGTTACTTACAGTTTTTCAATTTAACAGAGAGGGACAGTTGTTGAGAAACTGACTGAGGAAACCTTAAGAGATTGGGAGCATTTTATAGAACTTATTTCTTTCTGTGAAGGTAAGGAGGGTTTGAATGATTCTTGCTTCAAAAGAGTAACCTGGACTGAATGTATTTCTTTGTGTTTTATTTCCCTGTTTAAGATATTTTGTCCAGCTGTCCCTTCAATTGATTGCATTTTTGCAGCTCAAAGGCAGATAGGGGAGACAGCACTGAATGAAGCAAGCTCCAGATCTCATCAAATTCTAAGACTGGTATGTTATGTTATTCTTTTGATAAAGGGATACTAACTTTGTGAACTTTTATGATATTTCTTCTCATACATTTCCTAAACAATGTGCTTCTTCAGACAATTGAAAGTTCTGCATGTGAATTCCTTGGAAATGACAAGTCTAGCTCTCTTTCCGCTTCAGTGGTACGATTGATCCCCTCAGTTTGAAGAAAAATATTTCGAGGATAAGCTTATAGTCTTAAAGAACATCTTTAGGAATTAAAATAATTTCTTTTTTCTTTTTCTGAGTACAGAATTTTGTTGATCTTGCTGGAAGTGAGCGAGCATCCCAAACCAATTCAGCTGGCACAAGATTGAAAGAGGGTTGCCACATAAATCGGAGTTTATTAACTCTAGGGACTGTTATCCGCAAACTCAGGTTAGCTTATGAAAATTGTGTTTCTTTACTTTTGACATCCCTAATTGCAGAACAGGAATACATGCTCACTCCAAAATTTTTAATATTCTTGCCAAGGAGCCAAAAGCAGAACCTTTGCTTCGCATGTAATTTGTCTAGGGGCAAGTTTTGAAAGAACTCTGATCAACTATATAAAGCCTCAAACTCCTACACACAATTACATTTTCCTTAGGATGATGGCTTTACTTTGCCAATCACACCGCGTTACCATGTATTTTACTTTTTTGGGACGTTATAAGCAAACAAATTATTTCAAGGCTAGTCTTTTTCTATTTTAGAAACGTGCTTCATAATTCAATATAATCAATGTTTGGCATATGAAGAATAATTTATAGTTTAATTTTGGGGGAAGGGGGTGTGAATATTTCTTCCTTTTCATCTAAAAATAAAAATCTTGGTTGCAGCAAGGGTAGAAATGGACATATTCCTTTCAGAGATTCAAAGTTAACCCGCATATTGCAGTCCTCGTTAGGAGGCAATGCCAGAACTGCTATCATCTGTACCATGAGCCCTGCACGGAGCCATGTTGAACAAACCAGAAACACCCTATTATTTGCAAGCTGTGCAAAAGAAGTGACAACTAATGCACAAGTCAACGTGGTGGTTTCTGATAAAGCACTGGTAAAGCAATTACAAAAAGAGTTGGCTAGACTGGAAGAGGAATTGAGAAACTCAGGGCCACCCCACGTTACATCCGATACTACTGCATTGTTGAGAGAAAGAGACCGTCAAATTGAGATGGTAATAATAAAGATTTTGTACTAATTAAAATTCATTATATTTTGTGGTTTTAGTATAGATTTGTTTGTAGTATGTATCTAACTTCACATCTGGGAAAAATGCTAAATTTCCAGATAAATAAAATAATAAAATATATCAGCCTTGTACTGTGAGCAGAAGATGAAGAGATTATTTCATCCATGCCTTATTTCATATGAGCATGAATACATTATCCGGAAAGAAGGAACCAAGGAATTAATAAATAGGATATTCTCAGAATTAACTAGAAATATAAAAAACTACAGGATGAAGTAAAAATGGAATAGTTGACTGTAATCCTCCCAATTAATGAGATGCCATGATTAATTCTCCTGAAATTTAGGGGTTGGTGTCTGACATGTATTGTTTGAGTATACTTATTTTGTCACTTCATTGTCATTTTACTGATCCTGCTGTGTTATTCTGTCCACCCCTGCTGTGTTATGCTGAAAATTTTCAAGATTAAAACCTATATTGTTCTTAAATCTTTCCAATAGCAAATAATAAACCATTTGAAGCTTTATAGACATAAAACATGAGATCCGAGATCTTTAACTTTGATTGTTTTATACTTGTTTTCACTTTGGGACCATAATCTTCGTAAAAGCTTGAATTAATAAAAATATAATTCTTTAAAATTCTTTCATTGCACAAAATAATGGGTTTTAACTTTCAAGCTCCTCCTGATCCTAAGTGAAAAAAGGAAAATCTTATCAAAACCTTAGGGCATTGAAACTTTCTACCACTGACCATGTTTTCTCTTGTTGGCTGTAATTTGTAATAGAACTCTGCTAATATGAATGCTGTTACTGTCCATGCAGTTAAAGAAAGAGGTTAAAGAGCTGACCGTGCAACGAGACCTTGCACATTCTCGAATTGCTGACTTGCTCAGAGTGCATGGAGATGATGTGTCAACAATAGATATGCTCCAAGTGGTGAGTAGTATATTTGCCTTCCCTAAAGCATTAAAAGTGGCTACTCATATGTCTTTTTTTAATCCAACCAATTTTCCTGTCAAATCTCCAGGAAAGTTTGGATACTCAATACCAAAATTTAAGTGTCAGAAATTCATGGAACATTGAAAGTCAAAGAGAGGAGCCAAATGTATTATGTCTTGACGGTGAAGAGAGTGTCAGGTCTTTTGATGCATCTCAATATTCAGATGGACATAGTTTTAGTTCTGATGACAACTTATTCCAACTCCCTGACCTTGAAAAGAATCTTCTGGTCAGAAGTTCTTCCCCTGGGCTGCCGGTCAAAAGGACTGATTCTGTACCCAATGATTTGGATCAGAATGAAGAGGACAATTGTAAGGAAGTTAGGTGCATTGAGTTAGAAGACCTAATTATAAACACACATAAACCTTCAAACCCAGAGGATTCTAGATCAAATACATACACTGATTCTAATGCATCATCTCCTAGAGCAAGCACAGCTATCTCAGGATTGATTGCAGCTGATAATAGAGACAAGGAAAAAGTAGATTTGAGTTCATCTGGGTTGAATGAAGACAAAATATTGAACCATTTGCCGCATGATTTTGTTCTTCCATCTCCAAAAGAAATTTCCGTGTACATGACAGGGAACAGTAGAAGTGGTACTTCTAGATCCTTGAAGCTGAGCCGAAGTAGAAGTTGTAAAGCAAGTCTAATGAGGAATTTATCATCAGATTGGTTTGAAGATGAAGATGAAATTCAGAAAACACCTCCAACAGGGAATGAAAAACAGTTCCCTGGAAGACCCGAGAACTTTCCGAGGAACATTTATGCACTAAATTACAATGCCAAAACAGAGAGGCTTTCATGTAATGGCCAAGGGAATTTTGTGCAAAGTTCTGCTGTTGATATTGTTCAGAATGTGAAATCTTCCACTAACAAGGAAAAAGAGGGTAATACTCCCTTACCTCCAAAAGGAAAGGAAACAGGAAATCTTAAGAGGTTGAATTTATTGGATGACCAAAAGGTAAGCTTCGAGATACATTTTATGTTTCTTCCTCTCTTTTTATTGGTCTTATTTGCCTTCTCCCCTTGATGGAAAAATATTAGTTAACAGATCCAATTGATAATTATTTTGACCGTTGCTCTATTAATCTCTTTATACCTCTTCTTATCGCATTTATGGTATTAGATATAAGTAGCAGACGTACATGCCAAAAGCCTGGTTATATTGAGAATTCAATCAATCGATGATTGCTTTGCATGACAGGTTCCAGGGATAGGATTGGATCCCATCATGTCTGCACAGAATGTCAAAGATATTGGCTTGGACCCAATGCAAGATGGCAGAGAAAGTCATTCAGAGTGGCCGTCAAAATTCAAGAGGCTCCAAAGAGAGATCATTGAATTCTGGGATGCTTGTAATGTTTCATTGGTTCACAGGACTTACTTTTTCCTTCTATTCAAAGGGGAAGAAACAGATTCATTTTATATGGAGGTAGAGCTGAGAAGACTATCATACCTTAAGCAAACATTTTCCCGAGGCAATCAGATAGTGGAAGATGGAAGAACCCTCACACCTGAATCAAGGTAACACAATTCAACTGTTGGGCTTTTGTTCAATTCCTTTTATATATCCTTAAATTGAAACTCTACACTTTTTTTTATTATACTAGAACTTACTTAGCATTCCGCTTGAAAACAGCATGAAATATCTTAGAAAAGAGAGGCAAATGTTGAGCAAGCAAATGCACAAGCGACTGTCCAAAAATGATCGACAGAACCTGTACCTGAAATGGGGGCTTCGTTTGAATTCAAAGAATAGGAGTTTGCAGTTGGCCCATCAATTGTGGAGTGACACAAAAGATATGGACCACGTTAGAGACAGTGCATCCATTGTTGCAAAGTTGATTGGTTTAGTGGAGCCAGAACAGGCTTTTAAGGAGATGTTTGGACTCAACTTTACCCCACAACCCACCAGTAGAAAATCTTTTAGTTGGACAGCCAGTGTGAGGCATATTTTGTGAGCTTGCATTGCTTTTTAGGTAGTTTGGTATGGCCATGTGAAAATCTCCCCTCGCTCTATGTAACGTAGGCAATCTCTTTCCTCTCTTATCTTAGAAACAAATTGATTTCTGTTGTATGTTTCCAACTCTCATTGCTATTGATTGTAAAGTGGTTTGTAAGGGATGTGCAATTCTAAGGTCGTAGATTTGTTCATCTGCATCCAGGTGGAACATTAGAAATGGTTCAATACAGATTGTGATCTGGATTTCTTTTTAAAATACTATGTGATTTCTTACATGTGTTAGTGTAAGAGTCCATTCTTTGGTAAAATTAGGAATCATAAAACCCTAAAATCTCTCTAAGCAAGGTGATTAGATAAAAAATTCTCTTTATGAGATGAAAACTCATCAATGAATCTCACATCAAATAAAAATATAATAATATTATAATATATAAATAAATATAATTCTCATTTTATAAAATTAAAGTAAATATTTTTCTATTTTTAAAACAAAGGTTAATAGAAATGTGCTTTTCACTATATTATTTGTTCTAGAGCAAAATTCATTGCCTATTCTATTGTAAAATTTGTCTTTACTTTACAACAACAAATTATTTATTTTAAGTGCTGAAAAAATATTCCAAGATTAAATAATTTTTAATTCTTGTATTTAAAATATTTTTTTTGTATTAGACATTAAATATAAAAATTTAGGTATAAAAATGATAAAAATAAAATATTTTATGATTTTATTTATTTTATAAATTTTGTGACAGCATAAATTATTATTTAATATTAAATGTAGATATAAAAAAATTAACTTAATGTTCAAAAAGTCAAAGAATTGAATTAATTAATCCGAAAATATATAAAAAATAAGTTAGAAAACATGAAACAAAATACTTTTCCCATTATTCAGTCTTGAAAATACACAGGAAATGTTTTCTAAGTAAAAGAAAATTGATATGTCTTAATAACAAGTTAAGAATTTCTGTAATATTACATCAAATTAATTCTTAAATAATCGTTATTTTTATAAAACCATATATATAGAGAGAGAAAGAGAGGAGAAAAGCTTATTCCTAATAAATGGATTTGTTCAAGAAATTTAATGATGTAAGAATAAACTATTTGTAGTCCTTGGAAAGGTTACATAGATCCTTCTCCGTGGTTTTAGTGAGCGCAGACATACTTTTAACATCATAAAATACTCAGATTTGTAGAGTTGTATTAGTTTGTAATAATACATATCCATTTAGGTATTTTTGGTTTAAAATTATAAAATATGTTTTTTTAATAAAAGCTTAGACACTGACTACGAAATAGAATAAAAAAGAAAAAAGGATATTTGGCCAAATACATGAAAACAAAATATTAGTTTGAACCTATATTCAGGAAGTTGTAACTTATAAAACATGCATCCTCCGCCTTGAAGTCACCTTCAATCTAAAGATGATTTCATCATCTTTCAAAATTTATAAAACATGACAACATTAAAAAAAAAATATTGTAAAGAGAATTGTTAATTTAAATTCTAACTATGTATGAGGATATTTTAGGATTTCATTGGAACGTAAGAGATCCAAGCTACAATAGATATAAAATAATTATATAATATTTTAAATTAAATTAAATAAGGAAATCATAAAATATTATAAATCTTAAAAATAATATTATTTATTATCTAAAATAATTTAATAAAAATAGAAATTTTTTATTTTGCATGCATATTTATATTTTTTTATTATATTAACATTAATTTAATAATTAAAGTATATTTATAAGTGAATCTCTCATTTTTATAAATACTATCCAAAACCCGACATATAAGATTGAAATGCGAAAATCAGCTAAATCGATATTTTCAAATACTCATTCATAACTCTATTTTTTGACAGGAATTTAACGCCTGCACTATAGATGGCACAAACATGCAACACACAGTTCAATAAACGTTGAAATGGACACAAACTTAATTATCAACAGTCTAAATTCTTCGATAGAGGAGATTGTACAAACATCGCGAAATTAGTCAAGAAGAGTTAGACCAAATAAAGAAAAAGCATTAAGAAAAAATAAAGGCCTTCAATGACATGATAAGGAATTAGAAACGTGACTGTATGTCCTGATAAGGAACTCTTCTCCTTTCCAGATACCAATATCCAATCCAAAAAGGGGAGACTCAAATAACTCCTCATCTCTTTTTTGTTGTTGGGGTGTTAAATCACAATTTTTGAATTTATGAGTGACTCATCTCTTTAATAAAAGAAGTAAAAAGCTAATTGCACAACTTTATTTGGACAGGTGGTATAGAAAGAAAAAGGGACAATCAAATCGGATACTGTATGTTAGCCTAAAGATGAAGGAGTTCTTGGTGTTATTTCTATTTTATTGGAAATTGTGGAGGTTTGTGGTGGAAGGTAATGTTTTGGTCCATTCACGGTCGTATGGTTTCTTAGTATTTTGTTGCAGTTATTTGTTGGTCAGCAGAGTTTTCTTATATTTGTAGAGAACTTTGTATGAGGTATCAATTCTTCAATTTCTTTGAATTCATTATTGAACAAGGTGAACTTCTTTTGCTTTTTTTAGAGCCTCTTCTTGATGGTGGTGTAACTCTTGCATCATTTGCATGATATGTGCTAATGATAAAGTTTTTTTCTTCTTTGTTGGTTTAGGTCAGACTTTGTTGCTCTTGCATGCTGGTGTTTAGCATTTTATTCAAGGAGTAAGAGCAATTTTACTTAATTCCGTGATAGGAGTCAATATATTTTGGCAAAAATGTCTTGATTTAGAATTTCAAGCTTTATGTCTAGTACATAAAAATAATTCTTGATAGAAAAAAAATGTCTTGACTTAGAATTTCCAGCTTTATGTTTGGTACATCAAGTGAGTATTGAGTATTTTTCATTAGGTAGGGGCTTGGAGCTATTTACAAGTTGGATAGTTAGACCCGGATCACCTCCCTTATTCCTAATGGGTCTTGTGGGCCAAGGTGTAGGTGATTGTGGGTACATTCTTTTTGTACCTCCGTATTTTTCTTCTTACGCTCCCATAATCTATGCTTAATAATGAATGACAATCTTGTATATTTTTAACTTCCTCATGTACCTTAATGGCCTTGGGTCCCCTTTTTTGTGCAGCAAGGAACATTGTCGCTGACCACGTTAGGTCTCCCATTGTGGGTCCAAAATCTTCGATTGCGGTTTGTTTTCAAACAGCCAACTTCCAAATTGGTTCATATTAACCAGGTACTATTCCTGCATCCTACCTTGTGCTCAAGGACCGAACTACAAAGGGTTAATTTAACCTACCCATAAAAAACATAATAATTTTTTACATAAAAAATGCGTTCTTATTGTGCTTTATTATTTTTTTTTCTAAATTCACATTTTTTATATTTTAATAAATGAAAATTATATATGGATATATATTAACGAAAAGAGAACTTGTAAAAGGATAAGTTCATTGGATGAACTATAAAGAGAAAATCATCATCATAGTTATGCAGTTGATAAAAAAAATTTGGAGAAGCATGTTACAGTAAAAGACAAATACTACAAGACAAAAGGAAGGCCCAATGAAAAAGTTTTGAGATCCAGGGGTGCATGCGCTACGATATAATGTCCTTTGAACTTAAATGGTGCCAACTTGATTTTAAAAACTTATTATGTCTCGTTTCTCCATCTTAAAACTAAACATTTTATATCATTCAAATGACTATAAAATTTGGAAGGACCCTTAACGGTCACTAGACGGTATTAGGAGTTGTGTCCCCTTACTCTTGTCTTAACTTTCAGTCTCCTACGTCTAGATGCTTGCATTGTACTATATATAATATAAAAATGTTGTACAACGTTTTCTTTACCAATTTTTATGCCAGTCCCACTTGTGTGTGGAGAATCTTGGTGTCTTGATCCACTACCACCTACTGCGGAATGGCTACCCTTACATAAAGAAAAGAAAAGAAAAAGTAGAATTTAGCAGAAACATGGACTCACACAGTTACACCCACATAACCTCATCCAATCACGAATAGGAAGGTTCTTTAATAGAAGAAGCGATTTTAAAAAATTATGAGAAAGAAATGAAGAGACATCCTACTCCCTTGAATATCCCAAATACATGCCAAGTGCACCCTGCAAAGTCTCAAAAGCAAAAAATGATAACCAGACAGAATCCAATTCAAAAAAAATGCCGGATATGATGATGATGATGACCCACGAAAAAGGTTCAAGAGTTGTTGAGCCGTGGGCCAAATGGCCAATCATAATGCTTACGTCGTCCCTCACGCCTTTTCTCTATTTCTTTCTCACTAAACCCAAAACAAATATAAACAAATGCTCTAATAAAGGAAAAGACAAATAAACAAGAATCGATTAGGACACCAGAAAAAGCCACATGGCGCAGCAAGGGAGAACGCTGAATTCTATCTACATGTCTTTCAAGCTGCAAAACCAGATGGGGTACACCAAAAAACAATGCACTACCCTTGGGAACAACGTGTACCTTGGACCCCACAATGTTAACGGGTACATCATTCAACTCCGTCGCCGGAAGCTGCGCCAAGACCACATGACGATGTCAGAAAAACTAGTGTCCGTTTCGTGGACGGGAACAACACCAATTATGTGCCGTTGTTTTGGCGGGAAACAACGCACCCCTTGTCCTCATTCGTGTCCCTCGGTATCGCAAACCACTCTGTACTGGTCGTAGACGTTGACTAACTAGAGCTCGAGAAAGCGAGAGATAATGACACACACGCTGTATCACGGGTTCCCCCCTCTCTATATACAAGTCCAGCACCACTTTGAAACAAACTGTGAAAATGGCCACATATAATAGAAAATACAGAGATGAACGAGAGAGAAGAAGAAAGTGAAAAATATGGGTGTCATGGAAAATCAATGTAGAGTGGCTGAGTATACACAAGTGTACCTATTTTAGGCCTAATGGAAAAAGAAAATGCAGAGCAAAAAATAAATAAAAACTAGACACGAGAGAATAAGTTAAGAATAAAAAATTCTAATTTAATTCTGTCGGAAAAGATAAAATAACAGAATTAATATTAGCTTTCTTTCAAAAGTCTTCCATCCAGATCCTTCGATAACCCCTCAAATAGAAAGCAAATATTGATGAGATACAGCTTGGAATAAATAGTATTGAAAGATTGAGGATTTAAGGTTTTAGTGTATGGAAATGGGAAGCAAATAGATGAGGTTCTTCTTCAATTTTTCATGAATTTACTGTAAAGTATCTGGGTCATTGTCACGGTACAAAAGAAATGATTGTTCAAAAGAGATTTTGAAAGCTTGAAGAAGATTGTTCATTACCCGATATTTAGTTTCATAAGAACTCTTTAGTCTTTGATCCTTATTTCTTTGGTTTTCAGGGTATGAGAGAATCCCCAGTCACTGATTGTCTTGAATCACTATAGGTTTCCCAATCACTGGAAGGCGTTTAGACGAGTAGAAGTGTCGGAAGACTAAAATAAACCAAGAATTGAAGCTTCTTTAATATATTTATGAATTCTAATTGTTACATTGAACAATTGTAGGCTTAGCAAGAAATTGGAAGAGTTATACATAAATCAATCTTGAGTAAGTTTGAACATTTATGAATGACTCACTTTGACTAGAAGACATTTTAAGAATCGATTAGAGTGACAGTAGGTTAATGTATATTTTCTTTGATTTGTCATTATGTCTTTCTTGCTTCCTACTTTAATACCAATAAAATATTGAAAGTATTGTTTGATCATGAAAAATGAAGATGTAAAACATTTAGTGTGTGAAGAGTATTATTTTTTATTTTACGTAAGTATCTTCGTTTGTGGTTAATCTTTAATTTTGGTTAGGAAATTTCTCAAAATTTATTTTAGGAATATCTTTGAAAAGAGATTTTTTTTTTTAAATCTACTAAAAGATTTTTTTATTTGTTAAAATATTATTGAAAAATTTTTTAATACATTGAAATATCATATTAGTTTATTAAAATCACTTAAAGACATTAGAGTTTTTAAGATTCAGTTTTAATCCATTAAAACGAATTTTTAATTGATTAAAATGTTAATAATTAAGTTTGAAAGGATTTTGAGTGTCACTGTTTTAATATATTAAAAGAACTTTTAATAAATTAATAAATTTTGAATTTTAAGGGTGATTTTTAAATTTTCTTGTTTTAATCAATCGTTTGATATATACAAAATTTCATACTTTTTTGAAAAGGTTTTTAAAATTCTATGTTTTAATCTATTAAAATAATTTTAAAAAGTTAAAACCTTATTATGTTTTTAAAGGACATTTTTGTCATTGTTTTAATTTATTAGATTACATATTTAATTAATTAATTTTACAATTAAATAAAATAACATATTAAAATATAGTTTTAGTTTATTAAAACTCAAAATTCAATTTTATATAACTTTCTCATTTTCAATCTTTTAATAAATAATTATGAATTACTCTTTCTCAAATCTTTTTCCCTAATTTTGAGAGAATAGGAGTTGCGTGGAAGAAAAGTTCTTGAAAGTTTTCTTATTCCAATTTCAAAATCAATTATCTAAGTATATGATGAACTTTGTTCTTCACATGGATATTTTGTTTTATATTGTACTAGCTAGTTTCTTAGGTGATAGTATTTTCATTTCTTTGTTGTTAATCATAGTTTGTATTGTAATTTTTAGATAGAGTTTCTAGATCTTGCTTTGTGGTAGAATGTCACTAGTCTTGAAAATTGTTTTTCTTATAGGGTTCGAGAAAACTCTTCTTGAATAAATAAGTTGATCTATTATTGTACAATTTTGTTGTTTTAATGGAAATCTTAACTAGTATGATTAATGATTGAATGTAGCTCTTAATTAAGAGTAAGTCTATATAAATTTTGATGCATTACTCTTTTACATTGTCTTACTATGTTCTCTATGGTTTTCTAATCATATCAAGTAATTGACTTTCAAAATTTTAATTTAATCAATTAATAAAATTCTAATTTTTTGTTATTCAATAAAGTTTTTAAAAAAATCTTTCAAAGTCCAATTCACTCCTTCCCTCTTGAACTGAACTTCTTTTTCTAATAGAAAACATCTTAAATCCTTGAGATCCTTGATCTTGAATGTCTCATTCAAGGTTTGTATGATTCAATCAATCTCATCCTAATCATTTTTTATCAATATTATATCATTCACAAACATATGTTGTAAAAGATCATTCGAAAGAATTAATGAACAAGGAATAATAGTTCATAAATTGAGTATATCCAATAAAAAACAAAAAAGATGATAATTTGACAAATCATTCTCTGCTAGCTTGCTTAAGGTCATATAAAACTTTTTTTTTTAATTTATAAGGATGAGCAATCTAATATACATTTTCTTCCAATTTTCCATGTCAAAGGGTATTTTTTATATCTAACGATTTCAATTTTCAATTATAAATAAAAATTAGGGAAAGAAGTAACCTTAAATTGTCATCTTTTACTACTAGAGAGAAAGTATGAACATAATCAATAACTTTTGTTTTTGTGTATTCCTTTATCATTAATCTTGTTTTATATCTTCAACGGTTTCTTCAACCTTACAACTTATTTTGAACACTCATTTGCCATCTATGACAGTTTTGTTCTTAGGAAGAAAAGTAACCTCTCTTGCTTGATTTGACTCATATCTCACATTGTATAGCCTTTCTCCCATAGTCATGTTTCACATATTCAAAATAAATATTTGGTTCAACATGTGAAGAAATAAACATAATAAAGGATGAATAAGAAGGTGATAATTTGTTATAAGACAAAATAAAACTCAAAGGATATTTAACTTTTTAAGTTGTATTATAAATATTAAGATTACAATGATAATCATTTATATAGTATAGTGGTCTTTTTGTTTTGGTACTCATTTGGATTGATGAGATTCAAAATTTTGTTTTATTTCATGGTCTTTATTGATGTTTTGGTTTATTTGCGAACATAACTTTTCTAGAATCTCAATGTTTGATTTGTGGTCATTATTACTATTGTTATCAGAATTTTCACAAGGTGCAAGAATGAATTGTGATAACTAATCGAAAACATATTAATCTTTACTAAAAAGACTTTTATCATAAATATTAAGACTGATAGTTCAAAATTTTGTTTTGCATCATGGTCTTCATTGTGTTTTTGACTTACTTGTGAATATATTTTTTCAAGAACCTCATGTCTAATTTGTGGTCATTATTACTGTTATTATCAGAATTTTGACAGGGTGCAAAAATGACTTGTGATGAGTAACTTAAATCAGGTTAATCTCCATTAAAAAAAACTTTGATTATGAATGTTAAGAATGTCGGTTTAAAAAATGTTCACAAGAAATAGCATCCCTAGACACAAATTTATTTAGATTGAATATTCAACAAAACATATCTTTTTGTCTCTTTTAAAAAATGAGGCAATCAATTAAAACAGATCAAATATTTTAACTGATGGAAAATGAATCTAATCAATTAAAACAGTGAGACATAATTCATCCATATTCTAGTGGTCACTTTTAACTGATAATACTTCCAACTAATCAATTAAAACAGATCAAGTAAAAATTTCACCAAGTTACAAAAATATTTTTAATCGATAACAATGTATTTTAATCGATTAAAATAACGATCCACTTTTTTTTAAACATCACTAGGGATATTTTAACTAATAAAAGAAGTGGTTTAATCAATTAATACTTTGAAACATAATCATGTTCAAGTGATTAAGTGAAACTAATCTATTATTTCAAATATTTTACAATTTAAAAATCAACCTAAGAACATTTTAACATATTAAAAATAGTTTTAATAGATTAAAACAATTTTAAACCAAGATTTAATAAAAATTGAGGCATTATTACTAACCTAGAATATGGTTAGCTAGAGAATATATTAAACCATACATATTTTTATACTCTAGAATCACACACACAAGAGACATAACATCTTGACGTCATCAAATTCGATATCAGAATTCATCAAATCATCAAATCCAATATTCTCTTTACAAAGTCTTTACAAATTCATGTTTATGTTTTAAAAGAAAAATTCATGTGTTCCTCAAATAATAATTAACTATGGTCAAGAAATATTTATGATCATTGATGGTATTGAGTATGGTCCTAGTAGATCAACATGAATCAAATCAAAACATTTTTAAAATATTTAGATGTACCAATAAGAAAAAAAAATCACTTTTGCTTACATAACAACAAACATCACAAACAAATTATTTATTATATTTGACAAAAGAAAATTTATTATTGATAACATCAATATATTTGTTTGAAACATGCCTAACCAAAAATGTCAAGGGTTTGTAGATCATTTGAAGTGAAATTGACAAAAAATGATATGTGTAAAAATGATGGGTTTCATTTAAAATTTTTGATAAGATGAAATTCTTAACATATAAAGCATATTTTGCATCTTAGTTGAACCATTTTCAAGAAGTTATTGTTGTGAATGTGATAATCATCAAAATTAAAGATAAACCCACAAGTTAAATTATTAATCACTTTATTACTAAAAGAAGATTAAAAATGAAGCAAAGAATATATATATATATATATATATATATATATATATATATATATATATATATATATATATATATATATATATATATATATATATATATATATAACATTGTGTATGACATTATTTTGATTATGAAGAACACTTCTAAAATAATTGACAATGGCTTGATTTTCATTTGGTTATTTGGCATAGATAGGATTAATTTGATGATATGAAGTGAAATGAGATGCTATGAAGTATAAAAAACGAAAGGAAGAAAGAAATTTATTACTAATGTGTGTTGTCATGTTGGAAGGAAAAATTAAGACTTGATTTGAAGGTTTGTCACTGGATATGATCTGTTATAAAAGAGCTAACAATTTTTTACACTACACGAGAGTAAAACGAGATTGTTGAGAGTGTAATTCAGACTTTCAACCTTCATGATTCTACTCACCATCTTTATTAGAATCTATATTCTAAAGTACTACATTAACATGATTCTAATCATGGTTCTGATTTTTAAACTTAAGGCATGTGGAAATCTACACTTTTTGTATGTTGCTGTTGAGTATATCAATTGTCATTCGACATACGCCAAGCGGGTTAAGTCACAATCAAATAACAATGTTTAGAGTCACAATCAAATCGCAGCTTATATAGAAAGTGTTGCTTCGTGTCTTTTGATATTGTGAAAAACACTTGTTCAATCCCAATTAGACAATTGTTCCTAACGAGACATTTGTTGACGAGGAAATTGTTGCACGATAACTATTCTAGGTCTAAAACTAGACACCTGCACAAAGAGAATCAGCTAAGAATAAAAAATTACAATTTGATCGTCAGAAGGGACAAAATAACAAAATTGATAACCCTTCAGTATCCATATAATCCTTTGATAACATAAAATAGAAAAAGTGGCTAATGTTTCCTTTTCCTGTTTCTTTCTTCTTCAGTGGAAAAGAATCCGGCAGAAAGAATAATATGTTAACAACCAAGAACAGAGGATAAAGAGAAGGGTTTTGATTAAAACAATAAAAGTTAAATGATCATAAAAAATTGGGGTTTTGGGTTACGCCGGAGAAGGTTGAGAGGTGGGATCCGCGGAGGATGGGATATCAGGACCGACTCGGCAGCCTTCAAGCATGAAAACAATGTCAGCCATGGTTGGTCGATCAAAAGGGTCAGGTGCTGTGCAAAGTAACCCAACTTTTACACCCAGTAAAAACTCTTCCCACTCTGATGATTCTGGGTCCAACTCAAGCAAGCCCGGTTCTAGTAGCTCTGTTATTTGACCCCTTTGCAGTTGTTTTTTTACCCACTTAACTATGTCTTCGTCCTGGGTGAACATGACGGGTCGTTTTCCAGTCAGCAGTTCCAAAAACACAATGCCAAAGCTGTAAACATCACTTTCCTTTGTGGCTTCCCCGGTTAAGACTGCTTCTGGAGAAAAGTAACCCAACGTGCCAACAGATGCTGAAGTGGAGGCTTCTCCTGGGGTTGCTGCTATTGTTAACTTGTCTAACCCGAAATCTGATAAATGGGCTTCGAAATCTGCATCGAATAGGACATTTTGTGGTTTTACGTTGCCGTGGACCATTGAGGATTGGTGTAGGAAGGCTAAACCACGGGCAATGCCCAATGCAATGAGGTGTCGCATTGGCCAATTTAGAACGTGGCCATCTTGATGAGAAGCTTCTTGTAGGAGGGTTGCGAGGTTTCCATTGGGCATGTAATCGTAGACTAGGAGTCTCATGTCGGGTGGCCCAGCATAGTAACCTCTGAGAACAGTTAAGTTTCGGTGCTTCACTTTCCCCAGTGATTCGGCTTCTTTTCTAAACATGTTTTCATCCAATGATCCATCTTGGAGCCTGCGAATGGAGAGGACCATTCCATCGTTATAGCAGGCCTTGAACACTAGTCCATACCTTGTCCTGCTCAGCACGTTCTCTTCGTCGAACTGTCTTGTTGCTTCAATGGTCTCAGCAAGTGTAATTTTGGTGTTGAACATCACCAGTTTTGGTCCCCCACTCTCAGTGCTGCTACGACCTCCACTTGTTCCAGAACTGGCTCTAGCGGGACTCTTTTTCTTTTCACCCGATACTCCTTTTTTCAGTCTTTTACGCCATCTCAATAGACTAAATACGTAGAAGCAGCAAAACAAAACCAGTACAAGAGCTCCACAAGCAACGACAACCACAAGCACTATCAACCTCTTTCTGTCCTTACGATTTATATCTTCGCATTTCGTATCCAATGGCTTACCACACAAACCCTTATTATCTGCGAATACATCGGGGTTACTGAACCGAGATCCCAACGTTGGTGGTATCTCACCATCCAAGTTATTTCCCGAGAAATTTAAGAACATTAAACCGGGAATGATAGAAAGATTGCTTGGAATTTCCCCACTCAAGTTGTTAGCAGAGAGATCTAGCATTGTTAGGTTTCGTAGATTCGACAAGGACCCAGGTATACCCCCGGAAAGATGATTGTGGTCCACCAGCAAAGTGGTTAACCACGAGCATTTGGAGATTTCCTCAGGCACATCCCCAGTTAAACTGTTTCCACTCAAATCAAGCACTCTCAAAAGGGTGAGGCGAGAGAGATCAACAGGAATGCGACCAGCCAGAGAATTTGATCCAAGCTCAAGAATTTCAACACCAGAGCAGTTTCCAATTTCTGAAGGGATTGCTCCTGTAATGTGATTATCAGACAGCGAAAGAACAAGCAAGGAACGAAGAAAGCCATAACTTTCAGGAATATGCCCAGAAAAGACATTAGAACTGAGATTCACATACTGCAAACTCGTCAAACTGCTAAACCCTTCAGGCACATCACCGGATAACTTGTTTTCTTGCAGTGCAACAACTTGCAGACTCGGCAATCCCGAGAGCTCAAGCGGTAACTCTCCAGAAAGATTCTGTTTGCTCAAGTCAAGCGTAGTTAGCTTGAAAAGATTACCCAAACTAGCAGGAATTTTTCCAGAGAAGCCATTGCCACTAAGATTCAGAACCATCAAATTATTCAAATTCCCAATACTTGTATAAACTTGACCCGTAAATTTGTTTCCGCTTAGGTCCAGTATCGTCAAATTGTTCAATCTCATAATCATCTCAGGCATACTTCCATTTAACCGATTACCTCTCAAACTCAACGTTTCAAGAAATGAAAGGTTTCCAAAACTAACCGGAACCGAACCAGAGAAGTGGTTCCCGCCGAGAGAAAGCACCTTCAGCCCCGTCATATCACCCAAAAACGAAGGAACTTCTCCGTCAAACTTGTTGCCTTCAAAATCAACGACGTTTAGGAACCCACATTTCTTCAGTTCCACCGGAATGCTACCTGTAAAGGAATTATTAGCCATCTTCAACTCCTCCAATTTAACGAGGTTTCCAATTTGAGGCGGAACCTCCCCGGAAAGGGCATTGTTCGAAACATCAAGCACGGTCAACGTGGTCACGTTAGTCAACCACAACGGAAACGTGCCTCGTATACGATTGTGTTGAATATCCAAAACCTGAAGAACACTTACACACGTGCTCATCTCAGGCCCCACGAAATCCACGAAACCGTTGAAACTGAGGTGAACAATCCGCAGCGACGGCGCGTGGACCGAACCGTGGCAGAAAACGGAAGCTGGAATGGAACCGGTGAAGTTGTTCTGAGAGAGGGAAATCACCTGAAGTCTCGGAAGCGCCGAAATCGCCGATGGAATCACGCCGGTAAGCGCGTTTCCTTCCACGCTCAGATGCTGAAGCGAGGAGCAATTAGCGAGCGCCGAAGGAAGCGTTCCTCCGAGGAGATTGTGGTCCAGCCAGAGGTACTGCAGCTGCTGAAGCGCCCCAAGGCTCGCCGGAATCTCGCCGGAGAACTGGTTGTACGACAGGTTTATCAACTGAAGCTGATAGAGGTTCGCTATGGAGCTCGGTATCTCGCCGGAGAACGCGTTCGACGAGAGGTCGAGGGACTTGAGGCCGAGAGGGAGAAGGCCAGGGATGCTGCCGGAGAGGTGGTTAAGCGCGACGTTGAGAATCTGAAGACCGGTGAGGTTCGCTATCTCTGTCGGAAGGTGGCCGGAAAATGAATTTTCCTGCAGGAACAATGACCGTAAGAGCGTGCATTTGGAGAGCGACGAAGGAATAGTTCCGTTGAAGTTGTTGGAACGAAGGCTTATCTTGCGTAGCATCTGCAACTCGGAGACACGGTCACTGAGTCTGCCACCGAGTTGAAGGCGAGGCAGGCGCAGCTCCGTGACTCGGCCATTGGTGCACGCGACTCCACGCCAGTCGCACGGTGCCGCCGGTGACGACGGATCCCAATCATCGAGAGCTCCGACGGGGTCATGAAGGTTGAGCTTGAAGGACGTCAAGGCTTGGATCTCCACAACGGTAACGGCGCTGCGATCGGCGCACGTTAAGAGCGGTGCGCACAACACCACGAGGAGAAAAAGAACAGGCATGGGAATGCCAAGCTGGTTGTTGGTTGATGGTTAATGGTAACCGTTGCAGAAGCAATGAGTGAAACAATGAATAATAACAAGAGAAGGAGAAGGAGTAGGAGTAGGAGGAGGAGAAGGTTATGATTGGGTGTTTAGGTTAGCCGGGTGTGCAGCTGTTGCGTACATTAGCACAATGCACACAAATAAGGATGAGAGTGTGCGCTGATGTGTGCGTATTTTCCAGATTCCGCAAAACAACTTTCCGTTCATACTAATTTTTATGTCTCATACTTTGAAAACGCAGTTTTTATTACATAACGCCATAACCTCTCCCCTTTCTGTCTGTTTTTGTTTCTGTTTCTCCTTCTTTAATAATAATAAAAATAATAATTTTTATTATTATAAATTAGTTTATTTATGTCTCCCTCTCTCCCCTCCAAGAACTAGAACCATGAACACTTTTTTTGAAAGCGGCACTGTGCTGGAACCCTGGGTCTACCAACTTTTTAACCGCATGTGATGTGATATGGCTGAATCATTGAGCCCTTCTTTTTTCCGTTTTATGTTCGTTTTTAAATTATTAGTCAATATTTTTATTTAAAGTGTCAGGTGTTTCCAAAGCTATTAAAATAAATACATTTAATTTTTTTTGTTTGTTTAATATTTCTATAATGTAATAAGAATATTCATGTAAAATTTCTTTTAATAGTTATTATAATAATAGAAACAGTTACGAGATTTTATGCAAAGGGAATGTAAATTGGATTTAACAATTTTGAAGTCAAGTAGAATTTGACCTAAATTATAATCCAGCTGGAGTTAAGGTTATTGGTTTGATGGAGTGGGGTTATAGGCTTTTTCGAAAAAAATAAAATAAAAGGACAAGATTTTATATATAAAAAAAGTTATTATTGGATATTTTATTCCTTGTTAGTTTGGGATTTGGACTGCGATCTGGTCTACCTCAACCATTGTCTTTTCTCTCTTGGGGCCATTCAAATGAAAATGGACGAATGGTGTTATGATTGAGTATATCTGGGGAAATATGCATTTTGGCTACGCAATTGGTTTTTTTCTTTATAAAGTTGTGCATGGTTCATTCCCTTTCAACCGAATGGTCAAGTTTTCGACTGTTTACTTAGGCTTTTGAATCTTTGTAGCCATAAAGTTTAAGTGAGAAAGTACAACGAAGGCTAAATCCCAGGCAGTAAATTGAATTAGGGTCAATCAATAATTGGGTGGACCACAAAATATCCCATAGTCACACACTGATAGTCTAGTTGAAAACTTTGACAATGTGAAGACAACCCGTGCCAATATTTTTAAATCAGTGTGGTGTCTTTAGACATTGGATTACAACTATTTTAGTAAACAAAGAGAAAACAAGGAGGTGGAAAAAGAGAGAAAGTGAAGGGTGGTATTGAATGCTCCATCAAGCTACAGCAGGTATTATGCCAACCAAAAAGGGTTTCACTTTAACAGCATCATCCTCCATTTATAATTATGTAGTAATTGTACAATGGTCCACCCTGAAATAAGTGCGAGAAATTGATCACAGGCATGCTAACTGGATTACCTATAAGGTAAAATGGGTGAGACTTAGAATTTGGCTATGCCTCAAATTAAAGTTTTACTCTACGGTGGTAAGAATTTTATGTGCCATACATAGCCCTAGCTATGGTAGAGGGCAGGCACAATCTTTGCAACCAGGAAGGGCATTCAATTTTAGCTGTGTGTGTGTTTTTGTGATTGAATTGAATGGTAACATTTTTTTTCTCCATTTCATGAAACAGAATAATAAAGGCACACTCAATATACAAATTTCATTAACATCTTTGCCGATGCTAGCTTGTCAACATTTAATTAGAATTGACCAATTTCTTTATTTGTGTTGTTGGTATTGGAATGGTAGAGGAACCTCACATCCACCATGCCCAAAAGGAGGGACCAGGCAGGCATTATAGCCTCTGAGCCAATCCTATCTTTTTCCCTCACAACCAGTGACGTTCATAATAAAAGTTTTTTTTTTTTTTTAAATTACCTTCTTCTATTTATATGATAATGTTGTGGATTTATTGGTTGTTTCAATATTTATTTTCTTAAACCCAACCAATTTTTAAAGCTAATATATATAATTTTGGAAACATTTCCCTATGTTTATTTTGCAAGTTTTACACATGCTAACTTTTTTATTCTCTAAATAAATAAAGAAGATCCAGAAAATTATTCAAACATGGATTCAACCGAACCAACAAATAGAACAAAATATTAATTAAAATTAACTTATACTTAATTACTGACATTTAGGGTATATTAGTTTTGCGACCCTATTTCTTAAGTTAAGGATATTGCTTCATCTCTGATCAGAGTCTTCTCTCCTCCACAATAATAGATAGGATTAATATTGAGAATTTACTCAATGCGGTCTGACTTATTTCAATGTCATGAAGAAAATAATCCTATGACAAAAAAATATGGGACGTGTTACTACCTAAACAAAACAGACATGCGTCAATAGTATGGATTAATAGTAGTATAAATAAAAAAGTAGCATAAGGTTTTAATAGTATTAGGATAGAGATATCCAATGTTAAAAATTCTTCATATGTCTGGTTTATATTTGGTGTATGATAGTTGTTACATGATAATGATTAATATATTGTGTATGATAATTGATTATACTATAATATATATATATATATATATATATATATATATATATATATATATATATATGATTGTTCGTATATATAATTTATTTATTGGATGATTATTGTTCATACAACATTTTTCTTTAATATATATACTTTACTTATAAGATAACAGTGTCAACATTTTTTAATTTCTAGATAACTTATAAAACAAAAATATGTAGTTTTTTTCTTTTAAAAAAATGCTTAAGAAAAAAACTTATGAAAATCACGTCCCTAATCAGATCAGCCGCTACTATATTCTTTTTTTTTTATAATGTATTTTAGCCTATGTTGACACTTTGACACCTTTAAAGAAAGCCCGTGTATAAATGGACTTTGGCCCATTAGATGACCCAACAAAATTACTTCAATGCTTTTTGGTAATGCATTATCTTCGAATCTGGACTTTGTTTCGGGAAACTGTTATTCTCAATTTCTTCTCATTCTTATTTCACTTCCTTATCTTATATATATATATATATATATATATATATATATATATATATATATATATATATATATATATATATATATATATATATATATATATATATATATATATTTGTGAATAATATTCATCAGAAATGTGTTTCCATTCTATATACCAAAATAAAATTTGTGATTAATTCTATCAATTTAGAGACAAAAAAATTAATTTCTAATAGCAAATTTTCTTCTCTGATAATTCTTTTTACTCTGAATTTGTGGTGAGAAATACCAACCTTAAGAAACATGATTGTAATCATAGTAACTGACCTAATCATTGTCCTACGTCATTTGGCCCAATCTTCTTCACACCATAATGAGGCTTGATCCTACTAAAAATATGTTGATACATTCATTCAACTTCTGGCTTAGTTTTCAACAAAATAAACTTATATTGTAATATCAACTGATAAGATAAAATGTCGAAAAAATTCACAAGTATAAAAACAGTAAATTTACTTATTAAACTATAAGCATTTATTGTATGTATTGATTATATTTATTGTTAACTAATCATTATAACCTAATTATAATTAGATTAAATTAATAAATAAAAAATAATTTCAATTCATTAATATTTGATATTTTAATTAAATGAGTAATTGATTTATTATAATAAAATAATTTTTTATCGTAAATTAATGATTTCCTATCTATCGATATAATTTTAAATATAATATTTTTAATTAAAAGAATAAGTGAGTGAGAAAGGAGAAAAAAGAATCCAGAAAAAAAAGTAAAGGAGAGAAGAGAAAAAATAAATAAAAAATAAAGAATAAATGAGGAAAAGGAAAAACAAGATGCTCTTTAATGGGGAAAAAAGTTCAGATTAAATAAATTAGATGATTAGTCAGATTAAATAATTTATATATATATATATATATATATTAAGTTATATTATTTTTTTGGTAATTTATATATTTTTCTTTAAAAAAAATTAAAAGATTCATCTTGTTAAATTTTAATCTTAACATTTTTTATTATTGAAAGAATAAGAGAAAAAAAAACACAAAACAGATGAAGAGAAAAATAAGGAAATAATCGAGGAAGATAACAAAAATAATTATGGTAGACAAATTTATTTTGTAATATCCAATTTTTATATGCGTAATAAGCAGGTTCTTGATAAATAAACTTACAAATATCTTATTTAAGTTTTTTTCTTTTTAAACATATTATTTATATAATTGATTGTATGTTTAATTCACAAATATTTATTTTTTTAATTAAATAAATAATTATTTAATATGATAATTTTATATTAATTAATTATTATTATCATAAATAAAATTATTTACTGTTATAATAATTAAAATTATTTATTGTTATCATAATTTTAAGTAATTATTTGATTTTTTTAGTTTCAATATTAATTTTAAAAAAATTATTTTAACACATTTTTTATTAAAATTTAATATAATATTTTTAATTAAAAGAACATGTGAGAGAGGAGAAAAAAAGACAAGAGACTTAGAAGAGAAAAGAAAAATCAAAGAATTATTAAGAGGAGAGAAAAAATAATTATGAAAAAAAAACTAATAAATAGTTTTTTAAAGTAAATAAATTAAAAGACAATTTATTTAATAAATATTTGTCGTAAATTATATACTTTCCCATCATTTATAATAATGTATATTAATATTATTGTACTTTTTAATTTCATTAATATCTTTCATCATTATTACAGAAGCACATCTTAAATAGGATTAATTATTTAATTTTTTCATTCACACATAAAAAAATATATAAGGTAACTAATGTAAAATAATTAATGAAAAATGATTAAGAAAGAAACCGAATAGATAAATTAATAAAATACAAATAAGAAATATATATATATATATATATATATATATATATATATATATATATATATATATATATATATATATATATAATCCTTCTTGTAACTCTCGATTTAATTCCTTTTTATTCTATATTTATTATTTTGTACTGTTCTCTTCGGTATGTTCTATAGATTTGTAAGAAGAAAATAATAACAATATGGTCCTTCTCCAAGATAATCTTAAATTTTGTTTTTCTTGTTTATTTTCTATTAAAAAATTATAATGTTTTTTTGTTTTATTTTTGTTATAATTATAATACGAGTGAATAAAGCTCTTTTATTTTTTTTTGTTTAAAGTTTTTTAATTTTTAATTTTAAATATAGTAGGTAAAAATATTAAAAATTTAATAAAATAATAATAATAATAATAATAATAATCAATAAAAATAAATTATATAAATAAATAAATAAAACAAAGAGCAATTAATGTCAATACATAAGTTAACCAAACCATTAATATATTTAGCCAAACCGTTCACATATTTATTGTACTTCTTTTATTGCTAAACAGGTAAAGTTTTTTAACTTTATTTATATAACATAATTAACTTTCAAGAACATAAAGAATGATTTTAGTTTATTTATTATTATTGAACTCAGGAAAATAAAATCATAAATAAGGATATTTAAAAAAAGAATTAATATTTTGTAGATATTATGAACTTGTTTTTTTTTTAAAGGAATCAACCATCATTTTTTATTTCTATCTTATAATTAAGACTGGAGTGAATATTAAATATATTTATATTTCAATAAACAATTTCAATGTGCACGTTTTATATATTATTTTTAATTTATTAATAAATATGATTATTGAATTTTCTCATTTTACTAAAAATAAGATTTTTTTATAGGATATTTTTTTGTTTTTCACAAAAAACATTATAACATCACTTTATAATTTCACTCTATATATTTTACATCTTAATTTCAAAATAAGTAATATAAAAAATAACTTTTCATTATCTTATATAGATTTAAATATCATAATTTTTTAGTTGAATTTTTAGAAAATTTGTATCTTTTATCATTTCTCTTTGTAATTTCACTTAACTACTTTTTTAATTAGATTTATTATTTCTTCATCATATATATTGTTTTGTATAATCAAATAAATTTTATAGATTAATGTGAAGTTAGATGAAAAGATTGAGAATAATAATTGTCCATCATATTATTTATGATATAAGTTCCAATCCACTAATTTAGTATATGATTGTAACTAAATGCAAGTTCCAATTGACTTAAAATCTCATAATTTTTTGTTATCTTCTAAAAACAAGGATATGCTTATAACTAGAATGAAAAACTAATAATGTGGGCATCCATGACAATAAAATTATGATGAGGACCTTTTAATGCCAAAAATAAATGACCCCACTCCCTCGGTCAGAACAAATGTAAACCTTTAACTGCAATGAGCTGGACACAGCTATGAATAATAGGGTAGGGTTTTCATTACGCTCTGACCAAAGTAGTTTCATTTCAAGTCTTTCACTCTCACCCCTTACTTCTGCTTCTAGGGTTTTCTGTTTCTCTTTATAAACTATTCTGCTGCGCGTAGTTTTGCAAAGTCAAAGCAGAGAGAGTGAGCATTTTGACCTCTCAGATTGACTCCATCCTTCATCTCTCAACACAATTTTCCTTCAATTCATCACACCGGTTTTCCTTTTATCCGAGATTCAGTATGAATCCTTCAAGGGAAATGAAGATGCTTTCTGGGGCTCCTGGATCAAATCTCAGCCAGGCAAAAACTAGTTTTTTTCTGCCAATTTTCTTGCAAATGATGTGCTATATATAGCTTGAGTGTTTTCCACTATTGCATGGTGCTACTCTTTATCGTTGACATGCTGCTATGACCTTTGGGCCTAATTTTGGAAGGTGATACATTATTGTTATCATAACAGGCAAAATCATTCTTAACTGAGGATTCCACATCCAAATTTGAGGAGGAGAATGAAGATCCTCTTCTAGCAAAGACATTGTCAATACGGCCTTCAACTGCTGATGATTTTCCGCCTAGTTATGAAGGAGATCCTTTTCTGAATCCTTCAAAGGCCGAATTTTCTCACCTTTCCCAAATCAAATGGGAATGTCCCCCTTCGGTAATGGGACGTTAGAAATTGATAAAAGAAGGCGCTTGATTTTCATTATTTATTCATCTCTTATATTTTCCTTTCATGTTTCATACCCAGCACATTTATTTTATATTTTGATGTTGGTTTTGTATTATTTTCTCAAATTCATAAACTTATTTACTTTGCATATAGTTTGCTTTGAATTCCAAGTGGTGTGTAGCAACGGGTGAAGAAAGTAGAGAGAAAATTGTTCAAAGTCTAAGAGAAATGAGAGGGTTTGAAGCAGTTTATCCTGGTATCACAGTCAGGTAATATTGTATTTATTTACGAAGACTTGCGAGACTTTGCTTCTCTTTCTTACGAATTTTGTTGTTATTGCCTAGCCCTTCGGTTTCTTTTGATAGGAACATGGAATGTTATGGTGATATCCTCACTCCTGATATCCCTCTCATTCCCGTTGAGGAGCAAGCATCGGTGGAAGATAAACATGATGATACAGTCACAAAATATGCAGAAAACGAATTGCAGACACAACTCTTGCAACAATATATTCCGCTAGCAAGATCTTCTTCGGAGGTAGATTTATTTGCAGCTTATGCTACTGTTGCAGCTGCCATCATGAAAAGAAATGAGGAACAATGCCTGATTGATACAAACTTCCTCCTTGAAACGGTTAATGACCCAATAAAAATTGGAAACTTAATTCAAGAATACATATCCACCACCTCCACTTTCAATACAGCTACACCTACAAGAACTGTTAGTATACCCACTTCTTGTTATGCACCTGCTACTTCATCAGTCCCATTGACTACCCCTGCAAGCAAAACAACTCCATTTGTTTCATTGCTCTCCCCCACACCTGAAAAATCAACAATTCCATCTGTTTCATTAGAGGTAACTACACTTGATAAGCCAGTAGCAACTGCTCCTTTGACTAAGCCTGCATCTACTGAAACAGAAACCACTAACACAGTAACAAAACGAGTGGAAAAGCCAGAAGCACCACTGCAAAACCAAAGACAAGAACACCTTGAATCCGATGCTAGTTCAGTGTCTTCTCAACGTTGCGTGAAAGATGTCAACTATTATATGAATCTTGTTAACGATCCTGATGATAATAAGAAAGACATGCGGAGTCGTAATAATTTTCGAGATTCGAAACAATCACGTAACAACACCACTAATCCGGAGGAGGAAAAATTCAAAATTCATAAACCATGCAAATATTTTAAAACTTCAAGGGGTTGTCGGAATGGTTCTAATTGTCGTTATGAACATGAAAGGTCAGTGTGGAGGATGTAATCTTAAACTGCAATCTTAATTATGATCAAGATCAAGAAGATTAGAACCCTTTGTACATTGCACTGACAAAGGACTTATGATCGAGACTAGAGAGAGTCCTACAGAGACTTGGAAAAGGAAATATATATAATGTTTTTATAGCTTTACCATATTTTTTCAACTCGAGTACGCTTGAACCTTGGGTGGATGATTTGGTAACTCTTTACAGATTCAACGAGATTTATAAAATGGAATTAGATTTTAGGTTATATATGTATATAGTGAAAACGAGCTTAGTCTAATTCTTAATTAAAAGAAACCATGTGGTTTAATTATGTTGATTCAGTAAGTTTATGTTGGTAGAACAATTCAAAACTAAAAAAATATTATAGAGTAGATAGTTTAGAGTAACATAATAAAAACACTCCTATATGGTTACTTGATTGTATGTCATTAGTTACTAAAATAGTGTAAGAAAACATTAATTGGAAAATTATAACTGTATGTTAATCACTAAGTAGTGTAAGAAATAATTAATAAGAAAACAAATTAAGTCCTTGAATAAAACGAGTTGAGGTGGAAATTAGTAAAGAGAGGAGAAATTTAGACTCGACAAAAGTCATTTCCTAAATAGATTGATCAAGCCTCTATGGCCAACATGGTAACACGTATTCTAAAGTTAACCACAATATAAGTTGAAGAATTTTATAGTTGATTCTTCTACTTGATTGGTTTGGGTATATTGTATGTGATCAAATTTCTAACTTTTTATCCTTATATCCTTTTACTTGACCAATAAAATCTAAAATTTATGTTTAATTGGTTTGAGACAACGAAGTGTAGCTATAGTAAATGTGCTTTTTAAAAGTCTCTCTTGAGTGAATCACATCTGGAAATATTAGTAGTGTATACCATCTATCAATGTGATTGAATCATTATTGGCTATTACTAGAAAACTCTATATCAGTGAAACTGTTTAACCTGAGAGATTTTTAACTTTGTTGAAATAAGAAATTATCTCAACATAACTACATAAGTAAAATTAATTATTACATTCAATCATTTTATTTAATTTGACTTTAATATTTTTTTTTTCATTTTGGTTGTCTAAATTAATAATAATAAATTTCATTTGACGTGACTCATCTAAACATTTCTTAATTTGACTTAAATAGGGCTGCTTGATCAATCTAACGAGAAAACACTTTTGTACTCAAAATTTCTTCTCTTGCAGAAAAGTTACTATTCTGCGTACAAAACCATTTTTGTTCGTAGACTATTTCGCTCTCACATAAACTAATTTTATTCATCGATACAGAATCTTCTCATTTTTCTTATAAACTGTTTCTTAAACTCATTAACATACGATTCATGTAAAATATATATTAAAATGTATGATTATGTAACTCTAAACTACCTTGCACTTTCTGGAATTGAATCCTTCAACAAAATTATAAAAGCGTTCAACAGACTTACTGAAAACCTTAAATATTAAAATAAAAAAGTTTTCCATTTCTAATTCTCTATATGCTTTCCCTTGGTCATGAAAATGAAGAAAGGTTTACAGTCTTCAATCAGTTTTGACCAACAGAATATGGCATTTCAGATTACATCCTCCACACTAACATATCATGTTGATAACGGCAACGTGAACCATTGCGACAACCCCTTGAAGTTTTATAGTATTTGCAAGGTTTCTCAATTTTCATTTTCACCTCCTCTGGATTAATGACACGTGGACGTTTCAAATCTTGGAAATTATTATGATTCTGCATGTCTTGCTTACTATTACCACCATGTTTTCTAACAAGTTTCTTACATTGATTTTTCACAGGCATGTGCACATGAGGTGTAGGACTTCTTGCAAGAGCAGATACAGGCCCAGACAAAGGAACAGGTGGAGTTGCAGGCTTATCAAGTGTAGTTGCCAGAGATGGAATAGATTGAATTTCTGACATGGTCAACGTTGATTGTCTTGCACTCACAGTTCTTAAGGGTGTACTGATCCCAGTGGTGGTAACAGTTGAATATTCTTCGATTAATTTCCCAATCACTATTGGGTCATTAGCTATTGTAAGGAGAAAATCCATATCAATTTCGGTTACTTTCTCATTGCTTTCTGAGATGGCAGCTACAACAGCAGCAGCAGAAGCTGCAACTAAATTTGCCTCCGAAGATGCTGCTTGTGTCTCCAGATTGGAGGGAGAGTCTCTATGTTTTCTGACACAAACATCAGATTTAATATCTGTTACTGATTCATATTCCTGAATGTGAATCTGAGGGATGACAGGAGTAAGACTATCATCATAACATTCATTCTCCACGTTAAATGAAACAAAAGGGCTACACAAGCACAAAAGTTTAATTCAGAAAGAAATGTAGACGAAACAAACTCTCTCAAAAAAACAAGGCTTTCTCAATAAACATGAAATTTTACCCAGGAGGAATGGCAGTAGTGCAAGGATAATATGCTTCAGACACTCTCATTTCTCTTAGCATTTGATCATATTTCTCCATACTTTCTTCACCAGCTGCAACGCACCAACAATGACTCAAAGCAAACTGTATTCAAAATAAATAAATTAATGAACATAGTTAAATTGGTTCTTAATAATCTCTTATAATAAATACACCATGTATCTTTTAATAGAATATTTTTCAATATAGTGTCAAAGTAAGTTTACTAAATCATCTGAATATATAATAAAAGAAACATACATGAAAGAGAAATATAATGAAGATTCAACATCTTTGAAGAAAGTTCTAAGATCTCATTACCGAAGGAGGGCATTCCCATTTAATCTGAGAAATTTCAGAGAATTCTGAATATTGATTCTGGAAATGATTGCCTTCAAATCCGCGTGATGAATCACCATATTCATTGGTAGTTAAAGGCCATGTGGACAATGCCTTTGATTTCTCTTGAGATTTATTGCCAATTTTTGAAGGACAGTCCTCAGATAAGAAAAATTTTACCTGTTAAATTAGGTCAGACTAATGTATAAACTTTCAAAAAATAGACCTGAAAGGTATACCAACTTGTAAAACACTCAAGCATAAACACATAATTTGACATAGATATAAACCTGAGTTTTATATTAGAAATATACCATATTGATTATAAGAAATACGTTGATTATTCTTGTTTAGGAATAAATTGCAAAACCTCAGTTTGTATAAATGCAAAATTTAACGAATATCATGGTTCATTATGGTTCTGCTACAATTTTTCTACAGTGAATATAAAATCTTACAATAAGTAATTAACAAAACATTGGAGATGAAACAATTTCTTAAAATTCTCCCAACAGAATCTTTCATTTCAAACAAAGATGCAAAATACACGGGAGAGTAGATTGCGCACCATTTGTTATAGTTTTTTTTTTTTTTATATATATATATATATATATATAATCATTTGGAACCTTTATCCTTTGAAACATATACAAAAATATTTAAATTCCACAAAGAGATAATTAATTTAAATAAATATAAACAACTGAAAAGTAAAGTAATAAATTTAAAAAACTAAAAACTGATATTTATAATTATAATTACAAAATATTTAAAAAGTAATTATAATATGAAAATAGAACTTCAAATGTTCAAAATTAAATAATTTAATAATTCAAATATAAACAAAGCATTTATAAAAATATATTTTCATGATAAGAAATGATGATAAAAGCGATTATCAACATGGTGATGAGCCCATCCCAGTTAAAACTAAGCTTGTGTTTCTCTTGAAACTTATAGAAAAAAAATTATGAAAATAAGATATTACTAAAAGGTATTCAGCTAGAATTTTTCTAATAACAAAACATAAACAAAAATGATTAAAACTATCAATTTATAACACAATGCTTTAATAAGAAAACTGAAATTAAGGAGTCCCAGAACATATGTATTTACAAAATTTTCACTGCCATTGTAATACTGTTCCTTTATATATATATATATATATATATATATATATATATATATATATATATATATATATATATATATATATATATATATATATATATATATATATATATATATATATATATACTGGTTAACCTATGTTTTGCATAAATGGCTCGTACACTTCTACCTCTTGAAATAATATACTTACTTTTTGTTTTAAAAAAATACTAGAGAATATGTAATTGGCATTTTACTAATAGTTAAACGTTAAAAATAAGTTAAAACAAATATATGTAAACGGTATATTCTCTGTTGAGATAAATTTAGTTGAATTCAATATGTAGAAGGTATGCAAGTGAATTTTACTTCTGGAGACAGTTTGATTCTGAAAAAATATTTTAAGGTTTTAGACTTTTTCAGTAATATTTAGGAAGTTAAATCTGACAATTGTTAAGTTGTTTATCAATTAATTTATCATTTACAAGTGCATCATAGTCTGTCAGGTCCAAACAGTCCAATGAAAGCAAATGATTCACACTCATTTGCTCACCAATCCAGAAAAATGCATGCTTATCCTGATTTCAAAGTCCCTCTCGATGATACAGTATTTACATCAAAGTTTCAAGTTTAAAATGAAGTTTCATCAATTAAAGTGATGATATATACAGCACTAAATGATTTTTGAGTTTCAATTTCCACAATTATGATTTTGATATACTACTAACAAAGGAATATTATTTATACATTAATTTATGAATTCAGTAAAACAAATTCCCAATTAATTTTTTTTAACGTCGTCTTTAGGATCCACCATATGTTTACTCGTGTTTTTTTTTTTAATTATTATTTTCAGTTTAATTTTTAGCACTTTATGGCTGTTTCTTCCATAGCTGCAAAGGGATTGACTTGCACATGAAAGTGAAGAAGGGATTTGACTTCTCTTAACTAACAAATAAGAGAAGGATTGGAAAGAAATTAAACCAGATCGAAGCAAGATCAACAGAAAGTAAATAAACAAACATAAATTTTGGTGATGATGACGATATATACCTGACAAAGATGAGATGCAGGAGCCCACGAAACCCTCTTCAGTTTCCTTGCACGCTGCATATTAAATCTCAGATCTTCTTCTATCTAGTGAAGAAGAGAAAATGAAATCGAGGGTAGAGATGTTTGAAAATTGAAATGAATGAGAAATGAAGTGAAGAAATCTGACAAACCAAAACCCTTAAAAGAAAATATTTGACTGTTTGGGTCGGGCGCAGGAGAATAATTGAAAAAAAGACGCGAAAGGAGGGATTAAAGTGAACCCTAGAAATACAAGTGCGCCGTGACTTCAGTTACGTAACTTCGGTACCAATAAAAAATTACTTAGATAAATTCATATTTTTTATTATTTATCCATATCTTTTATTTATTTTTTTATTTTAATGAATTAAAATTTAATGTATATATTAATTTTTAAATATAAATATTTATTTCTAAGATTATGCATGGTTAAAGCCAACAGAAATGTCGGAGAAAATTTTAAGAAAAATATGTAATTAAAAAATAAAGAAAAATAATATTTATTATTTTATTTATTAATTTATACCCAAGAGAAAATATAGAAAAAATATTGTCATCAAAAAATTAAGATTGATGAGAACTTATGATTAAAATAATAAAGATGAAAAAAATATAAGATAAATAATTTATTAAATAAAAATAATTAAAACAATATACTAAATGTAACGTAGCGGTGAACCCAATTTTGAAAACATATTAATTTTAAAAGTTTTCAAATGTTTTATAGGAAATTATTTTAATAGTATTTGTATATACTAATAAGAAATGTTTTTAAAGTAAAATTTATTGTTGTAATAATTATCTTATAAAATGTTAAAGATATAAAAAAATATTTAATTAAAATGTCACTTATTTTAATTATTATAGCTTTTAAAGATTTATATGTTAAAAGTTACGCTTAAAAGAGAGGACAAAAAATTAAGATTTATTAATCATAATCTCCGTCATGAAAGGAAATTTTTTCAGATATTTTTTATTTTAAATTTTATTATTTATAATTTCTTTAAAAATAGAAGACTATATTAAATTTAAATTTATTTAATTTTATAGTGAGTTAATTGAGATGTTTGGTTTTACCGTTAACTAAAATGACTAGTGGCATGCACAGTTATTACATTTACATTCTAATTTTTTTCTCTTCGTTATTACACTCTAAATTAATGATATTTAATGGATATGGTTGAAAGTCTCACCTCGCCTATTTGGTATGTTTAAATACATGTTAAGTTACTTCACATATAGTCAATTGGTTTTATGTTGGAACCTTAACATGGTATTAGAGTCAAAGCCTAACATCTTTCCAGTTATTGTCATGAGCTAAAAGTTGTCCTTTAGTTAAGTCAAAAGTACCATTTGTCTGGTCCGGCAATGTTTAAATACATGTTAGGTTACTCTACATATTGTCAGATATGGTTTAATGAGCTAAAAGTTGTCCTTTAGTTGAGTCAAAAGTATCATTTGTGTGGTCCGGCAATGTTTAAATACATGTTAGGCTACTCTACATATTGTCAGGTATGATTTAAATACATGTTAGACTACTTTACATATTGTCAATTCTAATTGGTTTTATGTTAGAACATTAACAGTTATAAACATATTATATCTACCTTTCTCCTCTTATGGAGGGGGCGTGTTGAAAGTCTCACATCGCCTACCTCATGTCATTTTGTATGGTTTAAATACATGTTAACTACTCTAGATATTGTCAATTCCAATTGGTTTTATGTTGGAACTTTAACTGTTATAAACACATTATATCTACCTTTCTCCTCTTAAAAAGTAATATAGCTACTTATTTGTGTTTTGGTATTTAAGTGAAATCATTAATAATTTAAAAATAAAAACTGTTTACTAAAATTATTTTAACAAAATGATGCAAAAACATTTTGTATACTTTAAGTAATAATAAGTTATTGTTACATTTTAATTTCGTATACTTCATATTAATTAAAACAAAGATGCAAAAGCAAACTATATCTAACATTACCTATTTATAATCAAGTTACAAAAAACAAGTTATTTATTTTCAAATCAAATTTTCAAACTAAGAAATAAACCATTATCACTTTATGGATGAATGGTGACAGATTATTTAATATTAGATACCATTAGTTGTTGAATAAATTCTCATCATAATATATAACCACATAGAGAATATCAAGATAAAATTATATCAAATCCATATATATACAACAATCCTTTTCCTTTTATAATTACATTACAGTTGATTTGATACAAAAATTCTTAAAGATATGAACATAAATTAAGAGTATCAAACTCGTAGAATACTTATTTCATATATTTATTTTTGTAAAAAAAAAATAGCACTTATATTTATAAAATTACAATTTATAATTGTGTTATAAAATTTAAAAACCATACAAAATTAAGAATTAATAGTAAAGAGAAATTAAAAAGTCACAACATCCTTCCTCCAATATAATAATGAGAAAGAGAAATAGATAATTATATGCATTAATTAATTATAAATTTTTAAATTAGTAAGAGTTATTTAATAATACTTTATTTTGTTGTAAAACATATTTTAAAATATTTATTTATTTTTATTTATAATATTCATAAAAAATATACCTATACAATGTAAATAAGTTTTAATCTTTTACAAATTTAATGAAAAATTACTAAAAGATAAAAAAATTTCAATACATATATATATCGTACTTAATTCTAATTTAATGAATTAATATTTATAATTTAAATTATAATATTATAATATATTTATATATTTTAATAATATAATATATAAATGTAATTTTTTTAATATAATTTTTTTATTTTATTTTTAATATATAAAAATAATTAAAATCCGTGTATGGATAAAATTACCTGCATCACTCAAGTTGTTGAATTAGATACGAAATATTAAATTAGGTTGATAAATTAAAATTATCACCTCGTTTTATTTTAAGATAAATCGATCCATCAATTTAATTTATTTTTTTTAATCCCTATTTTGTTATCAATCTAAACATTACTTGATAAAAGAATTAAAAAATAACTTTACATTAATAAATTATATTTTGTGAACTTTTATACTCTTTTAAACTAAATATATTTGTAGAGTAACCTCCTTAAGAAATTTTTAAAGAAAATAACCAACTTAAGTCAAAATTTTAAAATAATCTTTTACAAAATCAAAGTTATTTCATATATTTGGTAATGTATTTTTGTAAAAGATGAACACTTTTATTTATAAATGTGTGATGGAATTAAAATTAAATAAAAATAAAAAGTAAATAATAAAGAGGGATTTAAAAGTTACAATATTCCTAGTCCAAAATTACATGAAAGAATTATGATAAAGATGGGATAGTTGTACATATTAATTAGTTTTAATTTTCAAGTTAATTAGAGTTAGTTAATAATAATTAACTACTTTGTACTAAAACATACATAACAAATTTAGAATAAATATTTCTTTATATTAATTTAGAATATTTGACAATATTTTGGAATGATTTAATTTTATAAAACAATTCTAACATTTTTAAAACAAAATAAAGATGCCAAAGTGAATATAAATCTATAAATTAATGAAAAATAATAATTAATTTTATTAATATTCACTAAAAGCACTATATAACTCGGTATTAAAACCAAGGATTTATTAACTTGCTAATTTATTATTCAATTAATTTGTTAAAACTATAAAATTATCGATTTATTAACTTACTAACATTAATTTATTAATTTATAAAAGTAATAACTTATTATTTTAACAAAATATTAAAATATTAATTTATTATTTATTATATTATTAATTTATCAACTTAAATATTTACTAACTTAGTAATTATTAGTTTATTAACTTATTTAGTGACTATTTTTTTAACTTATTAATTTATTAAATTATTAGCTTATAAATTTATTAAATTATCAACATTAATTTATTAAATTATTGATTTATCAATGTAAAAATTATTAAATTATGAATTTATTAAATTATTAATTTATGAACTTCAATATTTATTTACTTAGTAATTATTAATTTACTAACTTATTTAATTATTATTTTACTAACTTATTTAATTTTTTAGTTGATTAACTTATTAATTATTAGCTTACTAATTTATTAAATATTAAATAATTAATTTATTAAATTATTAACTTATTAATTTACTAACTTCTTAGTTTGTTAAATTATTAAATATTTAACTTATTAATTCATTGACTTAATTATTTATTTAGTACTAACTTATTCATTTGTAAATTGATTTTCAGTTATAAATTAATTCATTAATTATTTTTAAAAATATATTTTTAGATGCTGTTATGAAATTTAATAATTGGTAATAAAAAAAAAGGAAAAGCCATGTAAGATTTGTGTTTTCAAACCTTAATTTTAAACTGTTTTATTAAAAAAAAAACAGTTAAAGAAACTTATGTGTAAATTTGGATCACCAATTCAAATTACTGTATAGGTCATCAGGTAAATTATACGGTTAAAGTGCCAATATTATAAACAAAAAGAAAGAAAACAATAAAATAAAATCCCCTCCATTCTCCAACCCCCAAACAACGTGATGCATAAATAAAAACCACTGAAACTCACAGTTGACCGACACCCTTCTTACAATTGTCAGAGGGGAACTAATTTATATATATTATAAAAATTTAAAATTTATTAATTTATTTAATAGTTAATAATATTTTTTAATTCTTAGATTAAAAAACAAAAAAACTATTTACCATATATATATAATTTAATAATTTGAAATAATAATTCATAAAATATAAAATAAAAATAAAAATTTATTTTTTATTTACTTTCAAGAAAAACATGTCAACTTTATAAAAGAAATTATTTATTTGTTAGTTGTTTAGAAATATTGACAGATAAACAATGATACATTGACCACTTTTTTTAAAATAACTCATTTTATTAATATAATAAAATAACTATGAAAAACTTTACTAAAAAAATAAAATTATTATTATAATATAAAATACAGTTATTTGATGGATTATTGGTGTGAATAATGATGTGAAAGTATATTTTTTCTTTAACTACGTGTCATCCAACAAGAAATAATAAAACATTACTAATTTACAGAACAAATTACCATCATACTTCCGAAGTAAGTTGGTGAAGTTAAAAACATAAATAAGTTAGAATATGGTGTAAGAAATGATTATACTGAAGATTAAAAAATGAGAATGTGTAATTTATTGATAAGGTTGAAAAAGGTAGAAGTAAATGAATAAAAAGGGTGGTAAAATAAGAAGGTATCTGGAAGGGAAGGGAAGGAATGGAAAAGTAAAAGTGAGAAAAATGGAATAGAATAAGAGAGAGAGAGAGAGAGAGAGGAAGTGAGAAATCGTGAGCCAGGGCAGAAGATTGGTGTGGGTGAGGTGTATAAATTGGGGCACACAGGGCTCTGTTTTTTCATTCATTCAATCATTCAATAATTTCTCACCTCGTCAGAACAAAGTCACTCCAATGGAGAACGCTGTGGGATCCGGATCTGCCACCAACGGGGAGGTGGCTCCGCCGCGGAAGGTCGCATTGATAACCGGAATCACGGGACAGGACGGTTCCTACCTCACGGAATTCCTGCTCAACAAGGGCTACGAGGTGCACGGCCTCATCCGTCGCTCCTCCAACTTCAACACGCAGCGCATCGACCACATCTACGTCGATCCCCACAACGCGCACAAGGCGCGCATGAAGCTCCACTACGCCGATCTCTCCGACGCCTCCTCGCTCCGCCGCTGGCTCGACACCATCCTCCCCGACGAGGTCTACAACCTCGCCGCCCAGTCTCATGTCGCCGTCTCCTTCGAGATCCCCGACTACACCGCCGACGTCGTCGCCACCGGCGCCCTTCGCCTCCTCGAGGCCGTCCGCTCCCACATCGTGGACTCCGGCCGCTCTCACATCCGCTACTACCAGGCCGGGTCCTCCGAGATGTTCGGCTCTACCCCTCCGCCGCAGTCCGAAACCACCCCCTTCCACCCTCGCTCCCCCTACGCCGCCTCCAAATGCGCTGCACACTGGTACACCGTCAACTACCGTGAGGCCTACGGGCTCTTCGCCTGCAATGGCATTCTTTTCAACCACGAGTCCCCTCGCCGCGGCGAGAATTTCGTCACGCGCAAGATCACGCGCGCCGTGGGCCGGATCAAGATCGGACTTCAAAGCAAGCTTTTTTTGGGGAACCTTCAGGCCTCGAGGGATTGGGGCTTCGCTGGGGACTATGTTGAGGCCATGTGGCTGATGCTGCAGCAGGAGAAGCCCGATGACTATGTTGTTGCCACCGAAGAGTCCCACACCGTTGAGGAGTTCCTGGAAGTGGCCTTCGGCTATGTGGGACTCAATTGGAGGGATCATGTGGTGATTGACAAGAGGTACTTTCGCCCTGCTGAGGTTGACAACCTCAAAGGGGATGCTTCTAAGGCCAAGAAGGTGCTTGGTTGGAAACCTAAAGTGGGGTTTGAGCAGCTCGTTCGGATGATGGTTGACCAGGACGTTGAGATGGCTAAGAAGGAGAAGGTTCTTGTTGATGCTGGCTACATTGATGCTCAGCAACAGCCATGACTCTTCATCTTCGAATTTACTTTTTTTTTTTTTTTGTTAGATTTCTGTTCAGTTGGGGTGGGGGTTTACTGTTTTGGTTAAAAAATATAACGCTGGTCTTTTAAATCATTCATCATAGCGGAACACAGTTTATGAGCAATTGATGTTTTCGTGTTGCAATTGGTATTTCATAGTTGTGCTTTTCTCAGATATCTTTTTGTAAGCCAGCAGATTCATTTAATTAAAGCTTTATACATCTAAGTCAATTGTCTTGCAGAAGCCATTATGCTAACTTATTCCGATTGTTATTGCTTTTTCACATTTTTCCTTTGTTTGTACATTCCACTGCTGGAATACGAAATGTGGATGGAAAGTGGAATCTGTGCAATGGGAGTGTAGAAATCAATACCAAACCGATAAAAAAAAACCCATTGGGGTTATTTTGCGGCTCTGTCGATTGTTTTTGTTTGTGTGGAAATGATTACGCTTGTTTTAGGTTATGATTTTTGATGATTTGTATATCTCCTTTGAGGTTAGACTTGAATCAGATCTGGATGTTGCAGAACATGTCGGTTGATGAAGGTACTTGAATCTGATTTGTTATCTTATGGCTTTGTGATGTGCAAATATTTTGTAATTTTGCTTGCGAATCATGTTAATGATTTGATTTATTTCGTTGCATTCTTGAGTTGATTTGTTGGGAGTTCCAAATCTGTCTAATGTTTAGCATTTGTACAGAATAGTTAATAGATAAAACCAACAAATTTGGTTCCGAACCATGCTTTCTTGCATTGGCAAATTGCACGCGGATCGAAACTCAATCTTTTGAAATTGATATTAAATGACAACTGTCAAAATATGGGAATGTAAAGCGAAAAAAAAAAAAAAATCTCTTAAAAAGTTAAGATCATGGTCGCAGGTAAGCAATATTCGCTTACGAAATCTTGTTACAAATAATCCTATGGCTTTACGGATCATCTTACGGGCAAACCGCATCCGTCAAAAATCTTTTGCATGGATTGGTATTTTCGGCAAAACATGTATGGATAATTCACATGCACTTCTATATGACATCTTAATATTATTTTTATTATTGGATATATCTTTTAATTCAGAATCTATTTGTTTTCAAGTTAAATAAAATTTTGCTAGAATTAATTCAATAGTGCAATTAAAATGTGTACAAATTGATTATATTTACAAATCACAAATTTTATATTATAATACGAATCGCAGAATGTTTGGGGACACACTTCATACTTCGGTCCTATTACAAATGGATTACCATCTTTATTTGATATCTGTGATATAATTTGCTCACGTTTAAATGTAAATTTGATTAACATCGATAAAGACATTGGCAACATGTCGCACAATTACACGATCACGTGCTCATTTTATACTGAAATTGCCACCATTGTCTGCAACTGAACGTCGAAACAATGATGTGAAGTTAGAAAAAAGACTCAACCAAAAATGACAAATGTTATCACTTTAGATCTGATCACGTCCTTTCAATTTTTTTGCCTCCAATTGGCAACCAAGGCAAATAGGTGCGTGTCGGTGACGGGCATCGTAACATGGCTGGGTTGCTCTGTGGTTGCCATGAGTTGGTCCCAATTAATGTGAAATTTCATGTCCTCCAGCACATGGCCCCATAAAAAATTAGTTTATCATGTGAATGTGATCTATCCATTCTTCAGACTCTCGAGCACCTCAAATTCGATAAAAATGCAGGAAGCTTCTGAAAATATGGGCAAAAATCAAACCTGGTAGTCAAACTATTCTTCGGCAGAAGGTGGACCTGTTTCTGTTTTTGAAACTGTCCGCAAAATAGATGAACTTGAGCTGGTTTCTTGGTTAGCCGTAGCAAAAGCAAAAGGTTTGATAGATGACCGGAGAGATTCTGGGCCCTCTGCTTCAATCCTCTTGCATAATGCATCACAATTACTAATCACTTCGGTCAACCTTCCTTTGAGCTCTCCAATTTCCACCTGCAACTCATGGACTGTATGCACGTCCCAACTTAGAGTTAACAATGTTGAAAGCAATAAGAGCATACCACATAAAACTTATTATGATTTACTATTGACAACACAGAAGCATTTATGTCTACCTTTTTATATTACTCAGTTTTTAAAATAATTACTTTTAAAATTTAATTTTGTTTATTTTTAATTTTATATGTATATATCACATGTTACCTCTCTTCTTTGTAGTATCACGCGTTGTCTCTCTCTCTCTCTTCTTAGTATCACACCTTTCTCCATTTCTTATTCCTATCACCCTATCTCTCTCCACTTTCTATATCATATTCTCCGTCAAATCTATTTTTCTTATATTCTCTCTCCACTCATCATCACAATAGAACAATTTTTTTTATTTGACAAAGGATAATATAATTTTGTAGAAACACAAAAAACAGATATAAAGAAAAGGGTTCTTTATATAATGGTATAGATGACACAAGCAATTGAATGATTTTATGATTTCATAATCCTTGTAATGATAAAAGCAGGAATTTCCCTTTCAATTTAGCAGATGCTGAAAACATGTTTTACAGTGTCAGTCTCTCCCTATAATGTTCAGAAGTGTTCTAAATATTGTTTGAAATGTGTCTGATAATTACCTCCCGATAAATGCTGTGAGGCAGTTTTCATTGTAGACGTTGAATGATTAAATCTCTGAAGAAGTTTGATAGCCAAAGCATCTGCAACTTCTATTTTGTTTTCTATCTCCTCCTGCAAAAATTGCATCCATTTTCATGGCATGTACAGAAAAACAAGAGACAACGATGTCTATCAATGCAAGTAACGGTATTATCTAATAAAACAACATAATACAGTGACAAATTTTTGAAGGGTCTTCTCAAATAGGAATTTTACATTCAGAAATAAGTTATTTCAGTTTGAAATTTCAGAACATTATAATTATTCAGACCACTAAATGCCTTTTCTATTTTAAAAATAGAGTAGGCAGTTATCACCAAACAAGGCCCAGCATTTACATTTATCTCCCCTTAAACAATTATGTTAATAGTTTGATGAACATCCTTTTCACAATCATTCGCTACTAACATTTACATACTGAAATAGTTAGAAGATGCCAAAATCAACTTTACCAGCATGGAAGAGGCAAATAGACCAGCTTAATTGTTATCCACAAAGGTAGAAAGTATATGTTTGAAGGCAAGTCTTTTCGTGGCACCATTTGTTTAACAGATACTCACCATTCACAAATTGAAAACAGAATGACAGAACTGACCAAATTTCATTAAAATTGTTGTCATAATTGTTAACAAATAATCATTACTATTATATAGCAAATAATTATACCGCTGAAAAAAGGGGAATGGGTTGCCAACACATCAAAATGAAATTCCTCCTACTGGATTTTGTTAACAATCTGTATTTATTGACATAAAAATGTGACAAACTTAAAAATATATTCAAGAATATGCTACATACACTTCCCCTCTTTTAAATTTTCGTTTGAATTTTACATGCTAAATAGAAATTAATTTAATTTCTAGTTAACAGTTAACTCAATGGAGATAACACAGCTATTCGAGACAAATATCTTCTCCTTGTGGTTACAAATGGTGCCACAATACTGCTTATTCTAATTAGCAAATACAAGTAGTTTTTTATATCTAACAAGTACTTTAGCCTTTTTATGATAAATTTAACACCGTAAGTATGGGTAGAGGAGGAGTATGTAATTCACTTGAAATTGAATTATGCATGGAAAAAGTTTCTTCGTTTAAGAGAGGAGAAAAGGAGGGTTTGAGTATGGGTAGAGGAGGTGTATGTAATTCACTTGAAAAAATTAAATTATATAAATGCAGGGAAAAAGTTTCCTCTTGTGGAAGAGAGGGGAAAGGGTGGGTAAGATGTGTATGTACACATTAGTAGATGAATACAATGAACTATTCTTGTATTAACCAGACCTGTCTTTTGGTTATCTCTTGGGCCTTTTTCTCCTGCCAATCTCGGTACATTGAGAAGAGCTCCATTAGAACCTTGGGATTCACTGTAGCTGCTTCAACCATGAAAAATAGAGAAACTAAGCAATTAGCCACTATAGAACTACTAGTATTGAAATGCAACTACCAGCATACAACAGAGTGAGCCCAACTAACATGATATATCAGAAAATGGGTTTTATTAGAACAAAAAAGTGATAAAAAAAAAAATCATATATGAAACATACACACATCAATGTGTTTCTGAAAACCAACAAAATTATGTAAACAACAAATTGAATAATGTAAAGTCTTCCCTATATCAATGAGTCGAGAACATTCCATTTCAGCAATCATTAAAACTGCAAAACATGAGCGCAGGACAAATTTATGCTCAGCTCTTGTTTGTGAGATATAAGATACGGGAATATAGGTAAGAACTTTAACAGAAAAAAGAGATTCCTCAAACTCTCAAACATGTTCAGATGTAGACTTCACATGGTAATGCAGTAAGAATAATAAAAGTACCCCTGCGAATATGATAGGTCCATGGGTTGAGAATAGCATGCCCATAACCAAACCCCCAACAAACAACCAAACAAGCACATGGAAGCTTTATGTGAGGAAGAGATGTGGCGCCTAAAAGTGAATCATCATGATGATTCATGGAAGAATTGAGCTGTCTGGCTGATAGGGAATTCTTGCACAGTGCTCAGCAATGCAGCGTTATATTATAGAGGTGGGTATGGTCAGACCATTAAGTATTTTTTTTTTTGTCATTTCATGAATTAAGATCTTGTTGCTGTAAACAGGAGGCTAATTCCTACAGTTCTGATGCCTTCTTACTGTGCTAACCCAGGAAAATCCTTCAGTTAGAGGGGCTTTCATCTCACCTTTCAATTAATAAATAAACATTACAGTTCAAAATTCACTTTTGAATCTACCAGTGTTTTGCTAATGCTACAAGCAAAACCAATTTAGTTTAAAATCTGAAACCTTTTGCCAAGGTCAAATACATAACCCATGTAATGTCCTAACTAATTAATAGCTTGCACCAAGAGAAAAAGTTCATGAAAACTACCAGCCATCGAATCTACTTTTAAGAAAAAATCAGTTACAAGAGAAGCTATCTAGCATGAGTTGATATCACAACCAATAAAAGAAGGGACAAAATATAACTCTGCATTTTCATGTGTCTTTAAAAATAGTCACATAAATAAATATTCCATCGTAAATTAAAGATGGCTAGAGCCAGGCAGGGCAATGACATCTAATTAACCACAGCCATTTTAGGAAAAGGAATTTCAACCAAAAGGAGCAGAGTTAGATGCATAAAATAGATTCTTTTGGCCATTAACCCCTCTGTTCAATTCTACTGGGAATATAAGAAATAAAAGAATCATTATCCATTAAACCATAGAGAGATCATCACCTGAAACCGAAGACGATGAAGGCTTCCTCACTAAAATATCAGTTAAAGTACCCTCTGTTGGGGGTGAGGTCAATATCGGTGGTGTCTGCACCCAATCAATTAAGGGAATCATAACCAAATAAAACAATCAATAACAAAAGCCCTCACAATATGGATTAGTTTTCTCATAATAAAGAAAAAAAAAAGTACATACAATTTTGAGAGATTTAAGGCGCTCCAAAATAGGGTCAGAAGCTTCCGATCGCTCCGTTATGGTGGTGATTCTGTCATCTAGCGTCTTCGGTAATAGCAAATCGATAGGGTAAGTGAACAAGAACACAATTAACAGTTTTTTTAGTTTGAAAAAAAAAAACGGAATTGAAAGATCATACCTGTCCGCTTGAGAAAGTAGATTCTGAAGCGCCCATGTTTGGTATTGCCGTGCGGAACCGACGCTCAAAAATGAATCTCAAAACCGAATCTCTCACTCGCGTAGGGCGAATTTGGGAAGGAAAACGGTTCTGATACAAATTCGTGTTGCAAGAACAGTATGTTCAATGAAAACAACAAACAAGCTATGATTGGAATAGACTGCACGTTCCCGTAAAATTAAGTTTTGACTATAAGAGTAGAAAAATAAAAAACCTTTGTTTTAAGTTTTTTTTTCTTTACTTTAGTTAATAAGTTAATTCAAAATGAAATAGAAAAGCTAGTAAAATTGAAAAATCTACTATAAATGAAATGGAGAAATGAAAAAGAGAAGAGTAATTTTTTTATAAAATAAAATATAATGCTTTATTCTTTTATTATTTGTTGTTTCTGCTGATTATTAATTTCTGTCAACAATTAGACTGAACACCAATTTAAATTAGTTAAATTCAAAAGAAACAAATTTAAAATAATTTAATCAATTAAAATTGTAAAAAGTTAAATAAAAATTACTTTGAAAAGTTTAAATAGAAAACTAATATATTAACTAGGTTTACTTAATTTTTAAAATAAAATAATTTGACCGATTTCATTGGAGATATCAAGCATACACATGATTTGAATCAACAAGATTATAAGTATAATTTAAATGAAGGATAGGCATGGCTTGGTCCTAATTCTAATTATTATTGGGTACTTTACTTTTTCACCATTATGACGACTTTATTTATGTGAACGAGTATTCATTTAAGATATTTTTTTTTTACCTTTTAAGGAATTTCAATATCAAAATTTATAATTTCTTAGAGTAACTCGTAGTCGATTATATCCCATTGGGATTTCTTGAAGGCTTATGTTAGAAAAAATACACAGAATTTTTTCATGTAGTCATAGTTATGAAATTGAAATAAAAACAAAATAAAGACGGAATAATTGGACATACCAATTGATAACGGAGTTCAGCCAAAATTACCTACGTCTCCGGACTATTGTAGATATTTTACTAGGAGAAAAGAAAATATACAGGTGTTTACAAAGCACTCTCAAAACACTCAATCCTCAACCCAATTACACCCAGAAGCTAGATTATTTTCTTTCTGCTTCTTGTTGGCTAACTCTTGTAATGGTTGCTTTTGGAATTGGATTATAGAAATGAGTGAAGTGAAAGAACATTTTATAGCAAAAGGAATGGTTCTTGTGCATTTAAGGTTTGTCTCCAACCACTTGCCAACCAACCACTTGCCACCTTTTTTTGACTTTTCAAACACCAACAATCTCCCACTTAAGGACTGATTTCAATCTGTCCTCACACCTTGATTAATGCAGTAGTCTTCTCTAGTCTGCTACTCTTGCAAGCCAACTGAAGTTGAGCACAACTTCAGTTTGTCAATGGTCACCACCTTCGTTAGCATATTTGTTGGGTTCTTGCTTCCTACAATCTTCTTCAATGTTAACACCTCATCCTCAAGTAGAGATCTGATGAAATGATAACGAATATCAATGTGCTTGGTTCTGGAGTGAAATGCTGAATTCTTTGCCAGATGTATTGCACTCTGACTATCACTATGCAAAACACTTCCTTCTTGAGTGAATCCCAGCTACGCTAACGAGTCCTTAAAGCCATATCAATTCTTTATCGGCTTCATCACTGCTACATACTCGACCTACTGTAGTGGATAAAGCAACAATTTTTTGTATTCGCGACATCCAACTAACAGCTGTAGTACCAACCGTGAAAACATAACCGGTGGTGCTTCTTCGGTGATCAACTTCACCTCCAAAGTCTGCATCTACGTAGCCCTGTAATCTTAGATTTCCTTTTCCAAAACACAGGCATTTTTTTGTTGTTCCTCGTAGATATCTTAGAATCCACTTGACGGCTTCCCAATGAGCTCTTTCCTGGATTTGCCATAAACCTGCTCACAACTCCCACTGCATGGCCAATGTCTGGCCTTGTACAGACCATTGCGTACATCAAACTTCCAATGGCTGAAGCATATGGAACCTTAGCCATAATTTCTTCTTCTTCCTTTGTTTGAGGAGACTGATCCTTGGATAGAAAAAAATGACTGGCCAAAGGTGTATTGACTGGTTTGACCTTGTCCATGTTAAATCTTTGCAAAACACGGTTGATGTACTCCTCTTGAGATAACTGCAAAACTCCTTTTTGCTTATCTCTCGTGATTTGCATTCCAAGAATCTTCTTTGCTGGTCCTAAGTCCTTCATGTCAAATTCCTTTGACAAATGCATCTTTAAATTTCTGATATCCCTCATATTTGAACCTGCTACTAACATGTCATCAACATAAAGTAGCAATACAATATAACTAGACTTATACCTCTTGAAGAAACAACAGTGATCGGCATTGCACTTCTGGAAACCTTCCTTGTGCATGAAGCTTTCAAACTTCCTGTACCACTGTCTTGGAGCTTGTTTCAGACCTTACAAGCTCTTCTTCAATTTGCACACCATATCCTTCTTTCCTTCTGAAAATCCTTCAGGTTGGTGCATGTAGATCTCCTCATCTAAGTCTCCGTGGAGAAATGCAGTCTTCACATCTAATTGCTCTAGGTAGAGCTCTTCACTAGCCACAATACTTAACACTATTCTGATAGTATTGAGCTTTACGACTGGAGCAAAGATTTCAGTGTAGTCAACTCCTTCTTTCTGCTGAAATCCTTTGACAACTAGTCGGACTTTGTATCTCTTGGAACCATCATGGTCTTCCTTCACCCGATACACCCATTTGTTGTGAAGTGTTTTCTTCCCCATGGGTAACTTGACTAGTTCCCATGTCTGATTGGAGATCAGAGACTTCATCTCTTCTTTCATAGCAAACTCCCACTTGCTAGCATCTGTGGTTTGACAAGCTTCTATATAATCTTCGGGCTCCCCTCCATCAGTCAGCAACATCTAGTCCATATATCTCCTGTTTGGCACATGAGGTCTAAAGGACCTTCTCAATACAGGAGTTGGAGTAAGAGGTTCTGGTTGCACATCACCTTCTTCAATTGATTCCTCTGACTGAGGACTTCTCACTATAGGATTTTCTAGGACATCTTCCACTTCTGCAAAAACTGGCCTACTCGATTCTGAATTGCTAATACCTGTTTTATGCATGTCCTTGTACAACACTCTTTCATTGAAGATTACATCTCTGTTGCGGATCATCTTTTTGTTTTCATCATCCCATATGCAGTAGCCATACTCATCTTCACCATAACCAATGAAAATGCACTTCTTTGATTTTGGATCAAGTTTATTTCTACTTTGATCACTGATATGGACATATGCTACACAGCCGAAAACTCTAAGATGTGAGAGTTTTACCTCTTTTCTGCTCCATACCTCTTCTGCTCCAATGGTACCGATGGACTTCGGTTGATCAAGTAAGCTCGTTGTGTTAACGCTTCGCCTGAAGCTGCTTTGGTAAGCACTGATCGTACACGCAAGCTTACGGCTCTTTCGATCAACGTTCGGTTCATACGCTCGGCTACATCATTGTGTTGAGGCGTACCTGGCACGATCCTCTCCATTCTGATTCCGTGCTCATAGCAAAACTTCTTGAATCTGGTGTCTACATATTCACCACCATTGTCGGATCTGAGCTTCTTAATCTTCAATCATGTTTCATTTTCTACCATAGCTTTCCAAATCTTGAAAGCTTCAAATACTTCTGACTTGTGTTTCAGAAAGTAAACACATACCTTTCTGGAGTGATCATCGATAAACGTCACGAAGTATTGCTTCCCACCAACGGATGGGACGGTCGTTGGACCCCAAACATCGAGTGGACAAGCTCAAGTCTCTCTTTCTTTGGAATTCTTCTATTTGTCTGAAAGCTAACTCTCTTCCGCTTTCCAAGTATGCGGTCTTCACACATGTCAATTTCTACTGACTGAAGACCTGGTAGTTTTCCTTTTGAGTGCATGATCTTCATCCCTTTCTCACTCATATGCCCAAGTCTTTGGTGTCATAGATTGGAATTTTCATTTGTTGCAACTGCAATCAAATAACATGCTCATGCAGTCTTGTAAAGAGTACCACTCTTTTTGCCTCGAGCAATTGTCATCGCACCCTTTGAGATCTTCCAATCATCACCGTGGAAGATTGTTGTGTAACCTTTACTGGCTAACTGAGATTAAGTTATTCGTCAGGTCGGGAATAGGTATGACATTTTTCAATTCCCATACAGACCCGTTCAACTTAATCTTTATTGTACCTTTACCTACAATCTCACACGATTACTCATTACCAAGGTAAACTTTACCAAGATTTCCGGGAACATAATTCTCGAACAGTTGCTTTTGTGAGGTAGCATGGAATGATGCTCCAGAGTCTAACACCCAAGACTCCTCCTTACTTTCTAAAGAGCATATCAACACATCATCTTTCCCTGAGGTAAAGACAACATTTGTCTCGTCCCTCGCTTCTTGATTCTTTCGTGCATTCTTGCACTGATGTTTGTAATGTCCGGTCTTCCCACAATTCCAACACTCGATTTGCTTCGAGTTTTGGGAACTACGATGATTTCTGGACTTGGATCGTTTGCCCTTTGATTTTCCGCGTCCGCTTTCTTTGGTTGAACTTCTTTCTTTTGACTCTGTATGCAATACTGAAGAGGTTGATGATTCACCTGACTCCCTCCGCCGGATCTCTTCACTGAGAACCAAATTATGAATATCATCAAATTTTAACTTATTGCTTCCCGATGAGCTACTCACAGCTGTGACAGTAGCATTCCAACTTTCTGGTAGAGAAGACAAAAGTATCAAAACTCGTACTTCATCATCGAACTCGATCCCAACTGAACTCAACTGAGTTGTAACAGTATTGAGTTCATTGATATGTTGCGCCGTTGAAGCGCCTTCAGACATCCGTAGATTGAACAACCGCCTCATCAAATGAACTTTGTTTGAGGCTGATGGTTTCTCGTACATACTGGAAAGAGTATCCATAAGACCTGCTGTCGTCTTTTCTTTTGCAATGTTAAAAGTA